TCGTCGTCGTCGTCGTCGTCGTCGTCGTCGTCGTCGTGGTCGTCGTCGTCGTCGTCGGCGGCGTCGTCGTCGTCTCCTCGTCCTCCTCGTCCTCCTTGTCCTCCTCGTCCTCTTGTCCTCCTCGTCCTCCTCGTCCTCCTCGTCCTCCTCGTACTCCTCGTCCTCCTCGTCCTCCTCGTCCTCCTCGTCCTCTTCGTCCTCCTCGTCCTCCTCGTTCTTCTCGTCCTCTTCGTCCTCTTCGTCCTCCTCGTCCTCCTCGTTCTTCTCGTCCTCCTCGTCCTCGTCCTCCTCGTCGTCCTCGTCCTCCTCGTCGTCCTCGTCGTCCTCGTCCTCGTCGTCCTCGTCCTCCTCGTCCTCCTCGTCCTCCTCGTCCTCCTCGTCCTCGTCCTCCTCCTCGTCCTCCTCGTCCTCCTCGTCCTCCTCGTCCTCCTCGTACTCCTCGTCCTCCTCGTCCTCCTCGTCCTCTTCGTCCTCCTCGTCCTCCGCGTTCTTCTCGTCCTCTTCGTCCTCTTCGTCCTCCTCGTTCTTCTCGTCCTCCTCGTCCTCCTCGTCCTCCTCGTCGTCCTCGTCCTCCTCGTCGTCCTCGTCGTCCTCGTCCTCATCCTCGTCGTCGTCCTCGTCCTCCTCGTCGTCCTCGTCGTCCTCGTCCTCGTCCTCGTCGTCCTCGTCCTTGTCCTCCTCGTCCTCGTCCTCGTCCTCGTCGTCCTCGTCCTCGTCCTTGTCCTCCTCGTCCTCGTCCTCGTCCTCGTCGTCCTCGTCCTCGTCCTCGTCCTCGTCCTCGTCCTCGTCCTCGTTGTCCTCGTCCTCGTCCTCGTCGTCGTCGTCCTCCTCGTCGTCATCCTCCTCGTCGTCGTCCTCGTCGTCCTCCTCCTCGTCGTGGTCGTCGTCGTCGTCGTCGTCGTCGTCGTCGTCGTCGTCGTCGTCCTCGACGTCGTCGTCGTCGAGGTCGTGGTCGTCGTAGTCGTAGTAGTAGTGGGAGAGGTGGGGGTAGCGGTAGTAGTAGCGCCGCGCCCGCCGCAGCCGCCCCGTGCAAAGCGTGCTTCCAGTCCTTTTGACTCGTTTTATCATGCCAGAAGCTTACCAGCATTGTGTTTGCACATGGGCAGGCCAAAAACGCTGAGATACGGAGGTTTTCTTGCGAGCACATGAAAGACATCGATGCTTTCTTCTGCAAAAATGTGGGGGTTCTCCGACGAAAATGTGGGGGCTCTCCACTTGACATTTAGAATAAATAGATTTCCCTCCGCCTCGCACTCGCAGCAACAAAGAAGAGCTCTTTTTACCACCCTTGCAAACAAGAGCCTGCCCTCGCAGTGATGGTGGCGCCACAATTAAGGTTTGGTGCCAATATGCATACGAGAAAGGCTTCTCTTAGATAAAGGCTTCTTATTTTGAAGAGCAATTCATAGCAGTTAGCAGCGGAAGGAAGGCAGGCAGGAGTTTTTTTTGAAAGACGCCGCCCATGTGCCCGTTGTTTGAGCTGTTGAGGTGCCGCGCCTGGTCACCCGAGAAGAAGGTGTGGTGCTGCCAGAACCGGCAGAAGGGCTGCTGAGCTTAACAGAGGTCAAAGCAATTCCGGGAACACTCACTTTGGCACGCTTGTCGGGCCATTTGCCGCAGATCGCAAGGCTGCCAGGACCCGGCCACGAAACCTAATTGTGATGCCGGTGCCGGCATGATCTGGAAGCCGCTGGAGGGCAAATGGCTGTTCTAGTGGGGTATTTTCCGTTCTGCTACGCCAGCTGTCATGTATTTGTTGCTAAAATGCTGACATCTGCTGAACGCCACCGTGATGCCGCGTCCCAGGAAGGTGTTCATCTCGCACCACTGGACGTGGCAGGTGGGCCTTGCTATTTGTCGACTCTCCGCTGCGCATGCTCAGCGCATGCTCAGCGCCACACTGCCCTCTCAAAATGCTCGGCAGGCCGTGTCCGCGGGCGGCGGGGTCGTGAGCAGGCCCTATGCCTGCCATGCTGGCTGCTGGGCGAGACATGGGCAAGACTGCGGATCCTCCACGAGGGTTTCGGCCATGTCGGCCGGTGTTTCGTGCGCTCTTTGAGTGTCGGTGCGCTGAGCCGAGGCTTGCCCAACTGGGCCACGGGCTGGTCCGTGGGCAAGAAGAGTTGGCGCCGGCCTTGTACTTCGCATGTGAATGTGCAGGATAGAGGGCGTTTTCGTGGCGGGGCGGATGGTGGAATGTGGTGGGATGTTGGGGGTGGGGTGGGCTGACTGTGGTGGTCTTAATTTTTAAGGGCTACTCGTATGGGTGGGGCGGGAGGGGGGAGGGGCGGGAGGGGGGAGGGGTTGTGCAGTCAGTGTGGGGTGGCTTGAGGTGCTGCAGCCACGAGCAGCTGGGCTGCCCCGGTTACCATTACGGAGGCGGCGGTGGCGGCCACACGCACACGGTGGTCACCACGCACGTGGTCTCAGGCCGGGTACTGGGTAGGTACTGGCAAGTGCAATGCAATTACCCGTGCCTCGAAGGCCCTTGAAGCATGCGCACCACGCTACTGCGCCAGGCGGTGGCGGTGGCAGCTTCGGCGGCGGCGTCAGTGGCGGCGGCAGCTTCGGCGGCGGCGTCAGTGGCGGTGGTAGCTTCGGCGGAGCCGCCTACACCTTCCACGGCCATCCCCCGTCCGCGGCTGGCTCTGGCATGATGTGGCACTGGGTGTCCTGGAGCAGGTTATGAGACATTCCTTGCAACTGGATCTGCCACTCCCACGAGCAACACGGACACGCAAGTCTGATCCTGATCCGAGGCGACTTCCGGCGGCACGGGTCACTGGGTGCAGGCCAGATGACCCAGTGGAAGCCCGAGGCTAGAGTGAGCGCAAGGTGCAGTTTTTCCCACAGGTCCACACGCATGGCGGCCTGGCCTTCGACTGCTTTGCCGGCATCACGGTCCAGACCCTAAGTAGGACCAGTAGGACTGGCTTCTGCGGGTGGCGACTCCGACCCATACTTAATTGACCAAGTCACACTCATGTGGCTCCGGTGCCCGTGGTGCTCTGGATCCAGATGCCCTGGAGGCTGGCTGGTCCGGCAAGAAGAAGCACTTCTGCTGCATGCACTTTGACAAGTGCTGAGCAGGCTTGGCGCGTGCATGCTCGTGCATGGATTTTAAGGTTTCTGCGTTTTCGATTCGAGCGGTGTGACCCGATGTAAACAAATCGCTGCACAGACCGCTTGCAACAATTTCCCGTTTCTTCCAGCATTTTCCAGGAGGTGACTCAGCCTCACAGCCTGTTTGAGTTGCAGGAGAGACAATAACATTCAGCATTTGGAGTTGCATTTGGAGTTGCATTTTCCAGTAATGCTGGATGCCGTTACTGTCCCCCCCTCCACCCTACTGGGGGGCGTGGGGGGTGGGGTGGGGGTGGGGGCTGGCTTTGTATGAGTTTTTTTGGGATGAGTTTATATGAATATACAAGGATGCATACGGATTTTAAACTGATGAGCTCAATGAATTTAAGGGGTCACCGAAATTTCGCATCGCCTGATCATGTTTTCACAATTCCAGGGCGTCTCTCGTCAAATTGATCCCGCTGACTTTCCGATTTTTCTCTCACAATTCAGGGGAACTGCACTAATCAGGATACACTACTGCAATGGACCCACCCTTGGACACCCCCTTCCATCCACCCCCGGTGTCGTCGTGCAGTCAGGTCCGCTGCTGCCCATCACATCATGCCTCTTCCGGGTTCTTGCACTTTCCTTTACAAGCTGCGAATACCAGAAAGAACGACTCCCTGTGATTAAAGCGTAAGACTGTTCTCATAGACCGCTTCTTCCGCTGTGATGTTCTTTGCGTTCCACTGCTCTCGAGGTTCGTCCGGCTTTCACGAAGTTAAGGTGCCGCAGGAGCCCCGGGAGTTGGCCAGTGCCATCACGTGCCATCCCGTGCCAAAGAGGAATGAGGAATGGCTCGGAATGGCCGTATAGCTGCAGCAGGCAGAGGAGTTGCAATGAGGTGGCACCTGTGTTGCAGGCATGGCATGGTGAAGGGCAGAAGCAATGTTTAATCGCTACTTCACAATGGTGGTTGGTGGCGCTTTCTGTCTTGGGGGTTCTTGTACCTTCTTTCGCTTGGTGGTTACTTGCTGCCTGCGTGGGAAGGGTGAACTTTAGTGATGAGAGCCCACAAGCACAGAGCCGAATGTTGCTTTGTTGCAGCCTGAGTTAAACATGCGTCCTCTCAAAATATCTGGGAGGGCTGACTCATCAGCACAGCCAGTTGTTTCTCAGTCCTTCGTATAAGAAAACGAGGAAGAGCCCATTGATAGCTGAACTCTCATCGCAAGGTCGCGGCACGACAAGCACATGGTAGTCCTTGAGCAGATGTTGGCAGCTGTTCCAGCTTTAATCGTTTGACAGTTTGAGTCGCAGCGACGTGCTGCTAGGCATCGAGTCGCGCTTGTCTCTACTTCATCGCGACAGGGCAATGGTCCGCAGCCAGAAGTGCCTCAACAAGTGGAATTGAAAATGCGCAAGTCAGTTTATTGGGAATGCGCTCAAGGGGCTGGCCTGAGCTGGAGCTCCAATCTCTAATCATAGGAAGAGCAGAAGGCACTACAAAACGAAACAGAACATCCTAAGCCCTAAATCCATCTAAATCCATTCAGAGTCCTGCCCTGTGCGTGATGCAAAGGTTCACAGCTGCATCTTTCTTCCTCAATTCTCAAGCCAAGCTCAAAGAATGCCTTGGCATTGTTGCGAGCAGGGGCCCTGTGATCGGTGTTATGACTGTTATGAGAACCGCGAAGCCGGAATCGTCCAGAATCTTGCTTAAGCTGCCGCGACATGCCATGGGCTTGAGGACCGCCTTACTTGCAATTTGGTCGGGCGGCCGTCGATGCCGCGGCATAGCATCTGCAGCGTGGGCAAGACGCATTCTGATCATCTTCGGCTGCCATGACAAGCCGATCCCGACCACGTTTGAACTGGTAGTGCCAGTCCCTGACAATCATGCGAGGCTTAACACGACACTGTGCTGCAGTGTTCACGTCGCAGTCTGTTGTCTTACGTCTAATCTTGATGCCTGAGAGTTCCTGTAAAGTGTTGTAAGTTCGATTGCGGCTGCCTGGCTGCCTGGCTCAAACACTCCAATCACTCAATCGCCAGCAGCTGTGGACCTGTGATCCTGCCCGACACTCCTGTGACGTTTGAGCCCCTGCCTCGGTAAAACAAGGAGGTGAACGTGCGTGCTGTTGGGCTTGTGAGAGGAAAGTGGTTGCAGCATATTGCAATCTATTCTTCACTTGGACTTCTGACGTAAGACTCGCGTGTCCCAGGCCGCCCGAGCACAAAATGCTCTTCAAAAGCAGCGTGTTTGCCTCAATTTTCCCAGTGACCTTGGTGCAGGACTTCAGAGGTCAAGGATACCTATCTGTGAGTACATTGTGGGTACGGTGTGGGTAGTTTCGAGGCGTCTTTTCACCTTGAGACATACACCTTGAGTTATCCCCGATAGTGCAGGACAGCTATCCGAGTGCATCAATGAGACATGTGTTGTCATGGTAACGTTGTGCAAACAGTGGCCAGAGTGCACTGTGCTGCTTCACGTCTTGAAGTTCTTGGAGACATTTGCTTGGCATCGTGAATTCTAAGTTTCTGCTCGCGATCGCCTCTGTCGTGGCGGAGTCCGTGACCAAAGTGAACGTTGGACACTGGCCTGAGTTGGAGTAAGGGCATGGGTTGCATTGGGTTGTCCAAACGGCGCCTGTCAGATTGTCGGCACATGGCCTTCCGCCTCAAACCACCCTTGCTGGAAATCCATACGCCTGTGGCCTTTCTGTTCGTGACATTTCCTGACACTTCGTCCACTCGTCGGCAAGAATGGAAGCAGACATGGTGCTTTTTGAAACGATTGCAGATTCGGCTCGTGGGAGAAAGGTTGCTGAGCCCTGCTGCTCGGCAAAGGCGGCGACAAAACACCCTCGAGTAGGCCGTCGCATACTTAGACAGAGGGCCCCGCGCTTCTACGCTTCCGTGCAACGTAGCCGAGGAGACTTCTGTGGCCATGCCTTTCGGCTGCATGTCGGTGGCAATGCATCGTCATGTCCATGTGTGGACAGGTTGGAGGTTATGAGTACGAGTATGAGAGGGAATGGTTACAAATCCATGAAGTGACATCACAAAAACAGCTTCACGATTCATATCGAGGTCTTGGTTTAGGTTTTGTCCGGTCGTATCTGATCCATCATTGGGGCTGCTGTCTGTTTCGGAGTCTATCAGAGAGGGAAGAGCAGGTTTGCGGCATCACAGAAGCATTGTCACTGTGTGAGTCAGATGCGGCACTCACGCCTAGATCGAGTCGAAAGCTGGGCACTGTGTAAGGCAGACAATGGAGACTATCACCAGTGCGCAAGCTCACTTGACTGTGTCTTGGGTGGATTCGTGCACAGTATTGTAGCTGTTGCCATTCTCTACGATATGAGTCTCATTACGTTGAAGGAGTTTTCTTGTGGCGGAGGTAAGGCCTCATGTTCATACCTGAAGCGTCGGAAAGCGCTAGGCCTCCCCCAAAAGAGATGCCCTCAATAATAAGAGAGCGGCATAGGCGTGTAGCGCAGATCCTATGCGGACTGAAACAAGCTTGGACACGAGCCAGTCATGAACCCCAAACCCTGAACCCTAAACCTTCCGGCTTTTATCTAGGGAGATGCAGGCTGCACGGTGAAAGTTCAGTGTTGGGAGTGTAGGCTCTGTTTGCGCACACGTTTTTTTTTTTTTTTTTTTTGGGGGGGGGGGGGGGGGGGGGGGTTGGGTCCTATTCCAGAGCGATACCCAAAGCGATACCCATGTGGCCACCAGCTCAATCTCGAAACTTCAGCCTTAGCTCCCACGTGGAAACGAAGCCCGGAACCTCGAATGCAGTAGTAAAGCGATAGGTGTCGTAGCAGCATTGAGCCGGAGTCCTGTAAAACAATAGCCTCCCCCCCTCCCCTTACCCCAGAAGCGAAACCCCACGAAGAATCTTCGCGGCTGCTCATATGAGCATGTGCAAAGCACGGTGCAAGGGTGAAGGTACCTCTCGAAATCTGTCGGAGATCTATGTTGAAATCCCTTCTCTTCTGCCGAGGCATGAGTGGCCATTGCCAAATGAAGCGTGGAGTGCTGCTACGAGGACTGGCTTTAGACCGCAATCCTCAAAACTCTAGCCTTTAGAATGGCGTCTGCTGTAGCGGAGACACGACTTGGATGCTGCAGCAACATATCCCGCAGGATCAGCACCTGCACACAGTCCGGTCGCTCATGACCCGGTCGTCCACCCGATGGTCCACCCGGAGGTCCACCCGGTGGTCCACCCGATGGTCCACCCGATGGTCCACCCCATGGTCCACCCGATGGTTCACCCGATGGTTCATCCTGGCTACAGTCCGATGATTCCAGCCATTGCCTCAGACGCAAGAGAGAGAGGCCCCCTTGTCATTCGGACTGGATGGAGCAGTGGGCCCCCGTAGTCGGGTTCTCTGGGGGGCTCTTCGAAGAACGAGAAAAAGAAGAAGAAGAAGAAGAGAGAACCTCTGGGGGGCCAAGCGTGAGGGAGAGAGAGAGCGAGAGAGAAACACGTGAAGCAAACGATAGACATGGGACTCTCGCGCCCTTCGGGGCGGCTCCCCTCTGGGGGGCCTAGCGTGTGGAGAGAGAGAGAGAGAAGCACGTGGAAGCCGCACCAACGGACCGTGGACTTCGCGCGCCCCTGGGGGCGGCCTTCTCCTTCGGGAGGGGGCCAAGCGTGCAGAGAGAGAGAGAGAGAGAGAGAGAGAGAGAGAGAAAGAAAGAAGCCTCAGGCCCCATGAAAGAAAGAAAGAAGTATGCCCCTTGGGGCGCCCCCCCCCCCCAAGGAAGCACGCAAGAGAAGTCATTCGCGAGAGCCAGCGCCTATGACCAAGTTAGCAGTGAAACGACACAAGCCCGCAGGCAACGCAGCCCGCGATTGCCCTGGGCGCGAATTTCCAGAAATGGACCAGCCCAATCCTTACTGCCCGGTGGGGAGCATTGGTCAAATAATCGTTTTTTGGTCAATTCTGCACTGGGACGTTCAAATGATTAAATGCAGTTTTGATATCAATTCTCAGTGCACTGGACGGGAAGGTGACGACCCGTCGAAGTACTTGGCAGAAGGGGCACGCTGCTTCCCTGCCACGTCCAAGACATGTGCTGGGTCCTTGATTCGGCGCAGTGTGCATGGTCAGACTGAGACACTAAGCATGGTCGACATGTTTTAATCTGCTTCACTTTTGCAGAAAGAGGGTTTTGCCGGATGCCGGGAGTTTTTGCGGTCTGCAAAGGCTCCCTGGAATGGCTGCTACATACACCGTCGGAATGGGTATCAGGCCAGGTGATCCCTACTTTCGAGTAGTTCTCGCAACGATATAGGGTTACACGGAGTTGCACGGGTTAATTTTCTCGCTACGCAGCCTGGCCAGGCAATCTCTTTTGCCGAAGCAGGTACACAGTTCCTAACACATGCCAAGGAGGACCTCTCTCTAAGTCGGGGTACTTGTAGCCGCACTTTCGCATATTTCATCCGCAGCGGGTTTGCGAGTGCGGATAGGGGCAACTGCACCTGCCCTGCTCAGGCCCTGCTCAAATAAAAATTGGGAGACCTTGCCTACAAGAGCCCGGCTAACTGCCAGTACTGTCCCCCCTATCAAACATATGAGACTACCAGAGAGTTTTTCAGATTTCACAAAGAATGGATTCCAGATCATCCAGGGGCCTTCCCAGAACAAGGCTCACTGGGGTGGACGGTGTTGGGGTCCACTCAAGGTCCATACAGGTACATAGGTCCAAGGGCTACCAACAAAGGGAGTGGGGCCAGTCGGTAAGTGAGAGCTTGCAATCAGCCTTTCGGTAAAGCTGGCAAGGCGGTAAGGGCGTCCGTTGCCAGTGGCGGTGGATACTGTAGGGTTAGTTAGTATTAAGAGGACGCTCTCGGCAGGGATCAATTCTGACCAAACTCCAGAGCGGGAGTGGGTTCAGTGGGCCGTGAGATTGCAACCTGTGCGCCGAGCTATTGCAGTGGCCAAGCGGTCAAGGGCACTTACCAAAAGCTACGTGGTTAAGGGCAGGGGGGGAGTGAGGGGGGAACACCCTCGCGCTGCTGGCGCAGCGTTGGGCAACGGAAAGGGGGGTTTCTGGACCCTCGTTCCTGAAGGCTGCTGCGTGGTCGGGGTGCTCCCCGAACTACTACGGCCCGAAGTCTCGGCGGATGGTTTAGCATCATAGAATGATAGTCTGAAATAGTTGTTTGGCCAGACACAGCCACACAGCCGTTTGTGCAGGGCCCTCCTCAAGCAGGCGATATCGGAACCTGCATGGCGCATCTGGTGCAGCACCTGGGCACACGGGCATTTGTACATTGTACATCATAATCATCCTTTCACTCTGTCTTCTCCTTGTCCTCATTCTCATCGCAGTCCTTCGACACTGGGGAATCCCCACCCCCCACCCCCTTCTAAAAATTTGGCAGCTTTCGAGGTGCAGAGAGGCCAGCGCTGCGGCAAGGCAATTGCTCTTCAGCTCTGTACGCTGAGTTTGAGGAGATTTGAGGTCTGGAGATGTCGGCTTCTGACACACGGAATGTGCCTGGAGATGTCAACCTCGAAGGCGGCGGCGCAGTACCACTACATCAACGTCGGGCGATGCCCACCGTACATGAACTGTGTGGCAGCGGCCTGTCATGCACCCCAAGCCTTCCCAAGGGTCCCTAAGGCCCTCATAGCCCACACGCGCCTCGAATCTCGAGCTCCCAACCACCTTGTGTTATCTTGTGTTTGGTGTGCTGGGTGCAGACATGGTGCCTTCAACCTCCTAAGGACGCCGTCTACCGCCCAGGCAGGAAGATGAGCAGCCACAAAATGCTACCGGGTATCTGCATTAAAAGGACGGGGTTCCAGAGCAAGTCGACAACACAGGCATGCTTGGCAGTGGCAGCTGCCAGCAGAACCTGCAGGGCAGCCCAGACATACTCGAAACTCTCAATACTCTCAGACGGCCAGTGCAGTTAGGATTTCGATGAAGTGGCAAGTTCGATGTGCTCATATCTGCTAAGGGGTGGCATGCTCCTTTCCGCAGTCGACCACTTCCACATAGTTTGATGACCAGATGGAGGACAGGAACTGCTAGGCAGATCGAAGCAGTTGATGAGACACGGCCATGTTTGCAGTGCTTGTGTGCACCTTCTTGAACCAAACGCTCTCTACCACAACTTTTCAATACCATGAGAAGCCAAGGGCCCTGAGCAGCGCAGTGTATTCAACAGGGCTCATCTACTGTAAGGTTGGAACCGTGGGCCCTTAGTATGGTCCCTTACCCTTGTCTACAGGGATCCGAAGTGTGGGCCCGTACTATAAAAAGTGTGTATAAGGGTTGTATAAGTTGTATAACAAGGGACCCAAATTAGGGGCTCATACTGGGAACCCCAGAGCTCAGCTTTAAATTCGGGTCCCGATTGCCAAGGGGGGGAGGGGCAGTGTTTGGGATCTGTTTAAGGGTTCTTTGCTCCTCTGCTCCTCTTTGATTTCCAGTTCTTTTTGTGTGTTATACAAGTGACAAGCGCAAGTGGCCTTTTCATGCTATCCAACTGCACGTCCCGCAAGGGCCCTTTGGCAAAAGGAGTGCACTGCTTATCGAGAAAGACATCCACAGAAAGGAAGGAAGTCTGCGGGCCATACCTATTCTGCGAACCAAGCTCATTGGACAAATGTGCATGCTGCGACATTCTGTTCACTCCTCGACATTCTGCAGGCCCCTCGAAGGTTAGCTGGAACACGAAGCTTCACACAGGGAAGATGCCTGCGCGAACTAGGAAACAACTAGGTAGGTACCTAGGACCTAGGGGCAAGCTGAATGAAGTTAGCGGAAGGCCAGGGCCTGAGTGTGAAGGGCTGAAGCGGCTGAGGGCTGTGGCCTTCGTTTCGGGATGCTCCGGGTTATACTGGAGAGGAGACTGAAGAGACTGCAGTGACAAAAGGAGAACGGAAGGACGAGCGTCAAGGGCGCAATGCAATAATGGCTGTGGTGCAGAAACGTACAGACCTGCGCCCGAGTCAAGATCTCTTCACGACGATTGTTGAACATTTGCCTTCGCTCGACTCCAGGATGGTGCCCCCGACTGATGGATGTTTCATTTGGGAATGACAGCAGGATCGGTAGCACACTGTAGCATGCTGTTGCACGCAAGTGCCACACGGCCGATAACTCTTGACCATTTGATGCAAAGCGATTGCCCAACGCAAGCGGCCATGTTGCACTTCTCTTTCACAAGAACGCCAGCCGCTGCCCTCTCACCATGTTTCCAGCATACTAGCCTGGTTCATCCTGCTTCCGCAGCCTGTTTTTGACCTGAACTCTTGAGTCGTCGCAGAGCAGTACACCCTACATAGCTGTTTGAAGTTGCAGCAGCTTTTGGCACCTGTACTTCAATAATGACATGCTTGCCAATGTGCAACATGCCACAACATACAGAGCCTGCACCTCGAAAAAAAGTCGGCGTGCGCTTGCCAAGGCTCGCCTGTTGAGTGAATCTAGCCAAGTGTAGCTGCATATACGGCTTGGGAACTGAAATTGCTCAAGTGAAGTAACGCCAGCATTCTTCATGAGCCCAAGTCTAAAGCCTACAGATGCAGCTTGATATCGTTTGACACGATTCGGCAGCTGTACCACATCGGCCACATCGTACCACCTCCCACAGCATGAAACCAGCTGTTCGCGCGCAACAAACAAGGGGAGGCCAAGCTGGATGAGCCGTGGCTGAGACTGCTGCTGAGATGAAGGGCTGGGGGCAGGCACTGACAGCCCGGTGACAGATTTCCTCTTTGCGTCTGTTCTGAAATGTTCTGAATCTCCTGCGCCCCAATGAGCAGGTGTATGGACCATATGGAGGCTATGGAGGCTATGGAAAGGGTGGCAGGATGCCTGTCATGCATGGCCCGGCGGGGAGCTCATTTGTGACATTGTCCTCGACTTTGTCGAGAGAACAGCCCGAACTCAACTCTCAAAAGCGCCGCCGCGCCTTGCTGCAACTTCCGGGATTCCGAGGTGGAGAACCGAGTCTATGTCAGCAATCTTCCTTGGCATGTACAATGGCAAGAGTTGAAGGCCCTGGTGCTGACACCCTGCTATTCGTTGCAGCTGATTGCAGCCCACGCATCTCCTTAAGCGCATCTTGCCTGTGGAGCTGGAGGACCATATGAAGTCTGTTGGGGAGGTGGTGTATGCTGATATCTTCACAGAGGAGCGATGCAGCAATGCAGGCAACTTGCAAGGCTCATTCGCCTTCATTCTTCCGTATGGTATTCGAGTGGACAACATCTCGTCGTTCTTGCTCCCATCTCACCCTGCCATCCGTCTACTCCTGCTCGTACCTTGTCCTATCACCTTATATCACCTTCACCTTGTCTCGTAGTCGAGTCGAAGTCTTCTACTAGTCACATCAGCTCGCGTTGATCTTGGAGATGGGCTCCTCTTTCGCAGTTCCTCTCTCCACTCTGATTCGCTCTCTCTATATGTCTCCTTTTTGATTTTGCTGCATCTCGCTGTGTAAGCTGTGTCTGCAGGAGAGCGGGCGCTCACGTGGATGCGGCTTGGTGGCCTTCCGACGGCTGGAGGATGCACAACGGGCGGTGGTGCCCTGAGCTTCCTGCAAGCACTGCAGGCCTCAGCTTAGAGGCACGAAACCTGAAGAACCCGTGGAAGCTGATCGGGGCTCTGAAATGCAGGAACATGGCCCCGGCACCACGTTAATTCGAGTCCAACCGGACAAGCCTGAGAAGCTGTAAGCAAGGAAGTAAGGAAGTATCGAATCCAGGAGTTAGGCGCAGGATTTGCAGGGAGTTGCTGCAGGACTTGATGCCCAAGAGCCCAAGAGGCCAAAGAGGCCCAAGAGGCGCAAGAGGCCCATGGCCTTCCGACAAGAGGCCACTTTGGGGCCCCTTTTGAACCATCTCTGAAGACTCTGACCATGGCGATCCATGGCGCATCGCAACGGAGAGAATCTGAGAAGGAGAGCACGGTCACCGAGGGGAGCCCTGATGTGCTAAAATGCGTGAGGACGTGAAAAAAATTGAGTTTGCTGTCTTGTCGTGTTTGGGAATTTTGGGAGTGGCAAAAGGAGATGGCTGTGAAGAATTTTCGTGTATCGAGGTGCTGGAGCTGAACGACTCCGAGCTATCAGGAAGGCAGATCGCTGTGCGGGAGGCCCCCTTGTCCAATATCCACAGGAACGTACAGGAACCATTATGCCCGTTTAATGCTTGCAGAACTCCACATGCCAGTGAGCCCATGTGAGCGCCCGAGAAATGTCTCCCAAGTTCCCGGGTCCCAAGACTCTGCAACGTTGCCAGGACCGGGTAGACCAGAGCACCAGCGAGCGAAAGGAGCAGTTCTCGAATTGTGTTGTTCTCCTTTGAAGTGTGTTGAAGTGTTGTAAATCTGTAGAATGGGCTGGGAGCAAATCAATTGAACCTGGCCGTAACATGTTTACCAATGTCGCTGCTGCAACCTTGAGCTGGCGGATTTTGCGTGAACCCCGTGAACCCCCATCAGAGCCATCAGAGGCGCCGCGCAAGGAGGTGGAGAGTGTGGCGATAGTTTAGCATTCTTTAAAGGCTGTCGCCGTTTGCGACCCACGAGCGTTTTCCCTCCTAGTAAAGCCCTTTGCCCACCGCTGGCATGCGCGTGTCTGGTTTGCACACGTTTGCACGCATGCTCCGTGCAGAAGCCCACGCGACTCCACCGTCCCGCGCTGAAATCATCATGGTTGCGCAGCAAGCCGCAACAAGCACAGAGTCGCACAGTGTTGCAGGTGTTGAACGCCAGACAACACGATTCCCAACACTGGCTTGGAATTCATGTCAGTGGCGGCAGACCAGCAGAACCAACAGAGCACGAACGCGGCAGCTTTGTGCACGCTGTTCGCTGAGACAGCCGCTGTGCAGAGGGCCTGTCCGTTCGCGTGTCCGATGTGTGGAAGCATTGACCGGACGCTGTGTGGGACGGAACGTAGCGCTTGCTCTTTTGTTTTTCTGGCAGCGGGCCCTTGCTTAAACAGCACCCCGACGGAGGCAGGGGGAGGGGGGGGCGCTTGCGCAACTGACCAAAGGCATCTGTTCTTCACAGCATCAGCCTTGAGCTCTCATCCGTCCTCACAGCTACTTTCGCCTCCACGAAGAAGTCGCGGCGCAAGAAAGGCGAGATAATCACCGCGCAAGAAGGCAGCATTGCTAGCCGCTCTACTCGGCAAAGCCTCCCGAAGCCGTCGTTGCTGACATTCCGTGTCCCGGCTGTCAGCCTAGGCTGAGAAGGCACGGGAACGGCTGACATCAGTTCACGGTTTAATACTGTTGAAGCCCTGGAGTCATACAGACCTTTGCTTACGGAGGTGTCAAGTGCCACGTCAACGTCAGCGACGCCCATGCTGAGCCATACTGCCCCCCCTTTTTATTAATCTTCTCCTCAGTCCCAGGACTGCCGAGTTTACGTCGGAAATCTGGCCTGGATTGCCACGTGGAAGGCGAGATCTCCCGAGATCACCCCTCTTTGCCTGATTCGTTTGCGAGCCAGCTCTTCACCACACCGGTCAGGACCTGAAAGACCACTTCAGATCTGTGGGTGAGGCTGACGAGATGGCTCTTGGGTAGCTTGCACATTCCTGGGACACGTAGAGTAAGTCTGAGTAAGTGACTGAGGGAGCCGTGCGCCGAAGGTGAAGCGAGCAGATATCTTGAGCGAGGGCAACTTTGAGGGATCTCGATCAAAAGGTCTGTGGACTTATCTGGACATGAGGCGGCTTGCACAGCTCCATAAAAATGACTGCCCCTTATGAAACAAGGTGCCGGTATTGTGGAGTTCAACACGAAAGAGGAGGCTCAATCTGCTCTAACGCTGCACATTGAAGACAGAGGGTTGTTGAGCTCTGAGAGTCCTTCTTTTGAGCTGCCTCTTTTGACCCGGAAAACTGGCGACATCGCATGGTCTTCATGCAACTGCGCATCGTTTTTGCAGCATTGATGAGTATTTAGCAGTTACACGCGAGCAGGCACAGGCTGCCATCGAGCAGCTTACTGGCACTGAAATCCTTGGAGCTTTGGCTGCCGAGATGTCTTGAACTTCTGAACCCCTACAATCTCACAGACATGAAGATATGAAGATGAAGATGCCCATGAAGATGATGCCAGACGTGTGCCGTGTTGTGTGGCATGCCTCGAGGCCGCAAGATCTTCGTCCGAGAGGACAGAGAGTGCGACGCACAGCTTAAGGCATAAGACTTGTAAGCCCACCATGAAGAGCCTGAGCTCAACTGAGTTAGAGCTTTGGTGCCCTTCAAACCTACCCTGTAGCCACTGCGATCTCAGAAGTTCCACGCAGGTCGAACCGCCCGCAGTCCCTAGCATGGCCAGGAGATGCCCTAGCCTCAGGAAATGCAAGCACCCAAAACCGAAAATGCAACTTTTGAGAAACACGTTTGAGAAGAAGCACGTCTTGAAGAAGAAGCATTGTGGAGGTTTGGTCCAGGGCCATGGCTGTGCTTTGGCTTAAGGTGCAGACATGTGCAGACTTGAGTCAAAAGTGCGTCGAATTTTGAAGTGAGTTTTGGAGATCCAAGGCCGGTCAAGGGCCTGCATTTCGCAAGGGACACAAGCTCAGATTGTCAGCAAGGTCTACCTACATGTCATTGTGTGCCTGAGCTGTTGCCCAAGGCTCGGAGCCGTTCACGAAAGTGTTGGCCGGAAATTTGTTGCAGCCTGAGAAACAGAACAGCTTTTTTGTCCTTACCCGCACGATACGAAGGTAGGCTTAGGATGGTGCGGTGTTGAGAGATGTCGAGGGTCGGGGCAAGGCCTTACAGCGTGACCTGGCAGCAGCTGAAGGACAGCTTGCTTAGATTCTGCTCAACAGGCTCAACAGGCTCAACATGATTGTTCATGCCACCCACCGGCGGTCCGCAGGATCACATGCGCCAGGTCGGAGAGGTGACGTATTTTGCTTGTGATCCTAACTTAGTTAAAGCCTGCAAAGCCACAACCCGAGACAGCTCGAAGCACCTCCAAACACATTTTCATGGTCTGTGACCCTGAAGCCCTGTTTGGCTAGTCATCTTGATGACGGTAAGAGGTGCTGCACGTGGAAATTCTCACAGACGACAAAGACGCGCGTGGCAGATCGAAGGCATGGCCGGAGCTAGGAGTAGGATAGCAAGTAGAGGTGCATGGCAAGCGCATGTGTCTTGTTTGGCATTGCACTCTTCAACAGCCAGCTTTTCACTTGCTGCCCTCAGTGTCCCATCAACACTGTACAAGGCCTGAGGCTAGATCTCATAGAGTCCAGCAAGCCGAAGATGTGACAAATTTGAAAAGCTTTCGAGGGCTGTGGAGTTGTCGAGTTTGCCACCTTCGGTGCGGCGAGAAGAGCCGGCCGCTGAGCGCGTCCCCAATGCCGTCGATGCAGTTTTTGCAAGGCATCGCACATGTTCAAAAGAGGCCGTGCAGTTTCTGCACGACTCCATGCTGCAAGGCGCTGCGCCTCTCAAGTAGTGAGGACCTGCTGTTTAAGAGAAGGTGTGCTTGAAGGTTTGGAGTGCAAAGATTGCCCGTCCTCTCTGAAGATCCCTCCATTTCCATTGTGGTGCACTCGCATTGCGGGCTTGACATGTGCCCGATCTGGATTTCGTGATTCGGACTTTCCAAAGCTTCGGCGCTTGATTTTTTTTGGTTCCGGAGCCTTCGCACTGTGAGGCAGGCTGATGTACGTGCGAGAGTACGATGACCTCAAGGATAATGGTGGTGGAGGTGGAGGCATCCTGCAAAATCTCGCACCGCTCTGGAGTTTAAGTTCGCTGTTGGGCATGGGGCATGTGGTACCAGCATTCTGTAGGTGCAGCCATCAAGGTCCTCTCCTCAGAGCAAAGGCCAAAACCTCAGTCTTGCATGCGTCTTGCTCTTCAGGATGCCAAGGCAGGGCAGAAGTTTCGCATCAAGGCCGCGGGCGCCTGCGAGTGCATGAGCAATCTGGTGCCAGATGCCTCCAAAGCCAGGTCGACAATGTGGCTCCGGGGACGCGCTGGCAGGACCTGAAGGAGCCGCAAAATCGGAGACCACAGGATATACAGGATTCAATGGTCAACGAACCTGAACGAGACGTTGCACATCGTTGCGCATCGGCAGTGATAGTAGCAGAGAGGAAGCTGAAGAATTAGTCTTTGCAGCATTGAAGCTGTTGTCAGGACCACTTGAAGTCAGCTGGTGATGTGGCCCATGTTGCGACTTGCCTTAACCTGATGTAACAACTGCGTGACTGTCAATGTGTGCTGCGTGAGGCGATGCTGACCGGATCTGGCTCTGGTTCAGCCACGGCCGCTTACACGCCTTCACCTCAGCCTTAGCTTCAAGTTTTTGAAAGACATCGGAACTTCCAGCCAGTACGATCGTCCTCTGAAGGGCCCAAATCCGCTTGCTTACCGCTTGCTGCTTGGCCCTACAGGTCCGAGGAAGCAGCGGTCCGAGCGGCGGCCACGCTCAATGGATCCTTGTTCCGGAACCAGGTGCGCAGAATCTATCAGAAGGTCGATGCCGATCTATAGATTGGGGGATGCTGCCCCCAGACAGGGCTGAAACTTTTAGCTTTAGATTAGCTGCTGTCTGGGAAACGGGTGAGGTTCGATATCAGAGCCATGGCCGTGCAGGAATACTTTCGCGCGAAGATTCGGCAAAGTCCAAAGGTGTGATATGCAAACTCATGCAAACACGAGGATCCTGACCTGCACGCGCCGTATGCATACGAGGGGGATTCTGCCTGCTGCTGGGTATCAGCATGTTCTCCCGCACGCTGCCGGAATAAAGAGAAGACCGCTGTGAAGTACGGGGCTCCAAGAGCATCGGGACTTGCGGTTACTGGTAGGCCCTACTGTCGGCCCTACTGGTACAGGCTTAGCACGAAATTAGGGCCTCTTGCCTCAGGACACAGGGCTTAGCATGAAGCCCAAACCTTTGGATGCCTTGGCACCTCCTTGGGGAGGGACGCGTTCAAAAGTTGTTCCTCTATGCTCCTCTACGGGTGATCTTCAGTGGCCAGGTTCTCAGCATCGAGATGATTCCGAACCCCGTGCAGCAGGCCAACGGGAGATATCCGTCCACGCTTAGCTGTCCACGGGTGATGTCTCTGAAGGTGACAGCTTCCTTATGAGCTCGGGCTTGAACAGCCGTTGCAAAAGAACAATTTCGAAGAGCAGCTGATGGAAAAATAGTGAAACGACAGCTCGCTTCAAAAAGGGTCGGGCTTCTGAAAACCCTCGTGTGGGTGTCGGGAGTGGGTCAGAGTCGACAGAGCTCAAGAGAGAGACAAAAACGAGAGAGAGACTAAGAGGGGACGTCTTGGCCCACTTTGTTTTGGAGTCATTCACAGTCGAGGGCTCTTTATGCTTTCATGTGTTTTTTTTCGAATATCTTCCCCAAACAATTCAGTGTACAATGTACAGGGGTTCCTGCAGCTCGCTGGGCTGCTTGTCTCCGCTTGTCTCCCTCATGTGCAATGGACAGCCACCCTTCGTCTCATCTTGGCCACTATGTATGTATCTCATACACACGTTATACAGAAATGTGCCGCATGGTCTTCGTGCTGCATGTGCTTCAGAATTGCAGCAAGCCATTGGGCAGACAGAAGATGACGCCGCTTTTCTTCTCAAGTACAGAATCCGGCTGGCACCAAACGTGCATCAAACCACGCAGCTGAAGACGATTACAGATTCTAAACATGCAGTGCTAGTGAACGGTCTCTTCTGCACCTTTCAGCTGCACCGGAAACAATCACTCTTGATGTTCGTGGTTACCTGGTTACGACCAACAAACTCGTAGTAGGCGCGATTCGCTTTGTCAACATGTGGCTCCACAGCTCACGTGTCCAGCACGAAGGCGCCCACAAGAGAATTCTTTGGTTTCTAGGAGCATCGCCATGGAAGCTGGCCACTTGTCCTGACCATGCCGGCTGTGAGCGGAAGCAAATCTAGCAAGCAGGCAGGCACCCTGTGTAGCAGCGTTCTTGAGTGATGCGCGTGTGAACGGAAATATCATCCCGTAGGATGAAACCCAGCAGTCCTTCTTCGAGGCACGATGCATGGTTGATCACAGGCGAATTCTTCATATGTCCGCTCACTGCTCTAGCACGCTGCAGGGTGTAGGGGCTGCTCAGCGTTGCTTCTGGCATTGCTTCCGGCATCCCGCCCAAATTCGATTGCTGAATTTGGCAACCTGCCATACAGTCTCTCTATGCGGCGCTTGATGCGGATGCCAACGAGATTGCGGAGGGCTCGGCCCTTAGACTGCCCAAAGCTTGAATACGAAACGAAAGAACGAAAGGAATGCCAAGGAACTGATTTCCTTTCAAACCTATCGCCCTTCACCAGTTCAGGCCTGTTTCTGGGAGCGGCCAAGGCACGGGCCGTTTCAAACATGCCGGCATCTGACGAAACTGCTGCGAGGCAGCCTCTGACAAGGCAGCGATGAAGAAGCGCAAGATCTCCCATGCTTGCGCCCAAGGGAACAGCTGTAGCACTACATAGCTCCCTCGGTTCCATGAAGCTGGACAAGCTCAACGTGTTTCCAGATGAACTCCGCCTCAATTGATGCAGAGGGTATAGCTGCGGGTAGCCAAATGGCCAAGGCTGAAGGCTTGAGAAGGTTGGCGCCCCTTAAGGTACTGATTGCACACCCGACCATGCCAGAGAAGCACCCGCAGCACTTCAAGCCCGGCACACAGAAAACGGACAGGGAGAATTGACAGATCCAACTGATCAAACTACGAAAGCGACATGTCGAGACATGACTTAGATCTGACCGTCGAGGTATGGCCGGGCACCACTGGTCGATTTGCCGGCCTTCAACCTGCCAACAACCCAGAAAAAACGTCTTCTAAATTTTGGGCGAGGGTATGGTTTGATGCTGCGATCCAGCAAGCGGCTGTGTCCTGCAGCGCCCCAGATCAAGGTTTGTGTCAGAAGTAGGCTGCTTCCCCTCAAATCGTTCAGGAACCTATGCTGTGACATACCACCACCCCCCCCCCCCACCCCCCCCCCCACCCCCCCCCCCCCCCCCCCCCCCCACCCCCCACCCCCCCCCCCCCCCCCATGCCCCTTGTAGGGCAATCCTATGCAAGTGCCCAGACCTGGTAACATCTTCAGAGCCAGACTCAGCCCTCGAGCCCTCAAGCCTCAAGGTTGGAGCAGATCCCAGATGCGATGGCTTTCCTGCGAGAGGCCTGGGTCCAAGGTTTCGGCGAAGATGCGACGATCGCCAGCGCATGCTGAGCCACTTTCAAGCTGGCGGTTTTGGCGGTTTTGGCGGTTTTGGGCACCCGGGCTCCCTTGACGTGCTGCAGCTGTTCTTGTTTTTGTTCGTGGCGTGCGACCCCGCAGCCTGTTTAAAGGTCAAGAGTCCTTCACAGCCTCAGAAAAAAGAAGCAGCAGCCATGGCAGCTCTGCGGGCTTTGAACAGGTTGGTCACTCAGTGACAGCGACGAAATTTGGAAATCTGCCGCACCTGGCTTCGACTTGAGTCGCGTGAAAGTTTCAGGCACTTGCTTCAGGCGCCGCGCATGCTGGCGCGTCATGCGCCTGCAGCATCCTTCGCAAGTGCACAGTTCAAGGCCACCTGCTCTGTCATTATTTGTAATGGGCTTGCCTGTCTGGTTCTGCCCTTCCTGCGTCACCTAAGGTGTGCATCAATGGAGGTGCAGGAGGGATTGGGCAACCACTGACCATGCTCATGGCCATGAACGAGTCGGTCAAAGAGGCTCGATCCTGCCTCGTCGCCTGGGGATAGCTTTGCCTGTGCGACGATGAAGGTTTCCGTCCAGGACGTCACCATGGCTGCAGCCACTCGCCAAGTACAGAAGGGCATCCATCACATCTTGCTAAAAGCCTGTCGCAAGGTGCCTCCTGCAGGAGTTGCAGCGGACCTTGGCCATCTCGAGTTTCCAAGCAAGGTCTGAACAGTGCATGCCCATCTGACTCCGTTCTATGCTGACTTCCGTGCAGAAGGGTTTAGGCCGCCTCCATAGCATGGTTTACGGATGTTTACAGCTTCTCAAATCAAACTCCGGCTTGAGGTTCGAGGGCATCACAACCTAGCATGCGCAGCATTTGGCTCCAGTGGCTGGTGGGCTACACGAATGATGTGTTGTGTGTGCAGAAGCGGCATGCCGCAGGAGATGCTTTAGGTATCTGAGCTCAAGTTCAAGCCCGCCCACGCTCGGAAGAGTTTGGTGGCTTTTGGCAGATTTCCTCTCTCATGGCATGGACTACGAGGAGGTTCCACCGATTCCCAGCTGTCTCACAAGCTCGGACTTTGACGCGAATGCGATGCGTGGGCCGCACCGCTCGGGACATCATGGAAACGGACAAATTGGAGCGCATACTGCGCCGTGATAAGAGAAATCCATACTTGGGAGCTGCCAAGCGTCCACCGCGTCAGGCAACTCAGTCCATGAGTTTTCTGCAGGTATTTCCTCGAGAGATGTTGGACTGGCGTTTTGAGTCTCTGGAAGAGGAAGTCAGGTCGGGAGGAAAGCAGGCTGCTCGCGCGAAGACTGCGTTGCATTGGCTTCTCAGCCCTGTCTTTGACAAGCCCAGCTGAAGGGAAGCACTGCTGAAATCACACGTGTAAACAGAACGGCAGCCTTCCGTGCCCTTGGCTGAGCTATGCTTAGCTACGGCTTAGCTACGGTGAGCCCTGACCTGGGAAATTCGAGAAGCTGCGTTTGCGTAGTTTAATTTTAACGCTACGCGACCCGCCTCGGCCTGGCCCAGCGCAGCGCCCGGCGCATGTTCGCGTCATCCGCAGCTGCACAGGGTCACATAGGCGTCCAGGGCAGTGCACGTAGCTTGCCTCGGGCTGGGCGAGCATGGCGCGGGTGTGCTTCCACGGGCGCTCCCGTTAGGGATTCGTTTTAGGGATTAGTTTTAGGGTTGAGGGGTGACGGTTGAGGGTTGAGGGTTTGAGGGTTTGAGGGTTTGAGGGTTTGAGGGTTTGAGGGTTTGAGGGTTTGAGGGTTTGAGGGTTTGAGGGTTTGAGGGTTGAGTGCTTAGGCTATAAGGTTTAGGGTTTAGGGGTTTGGAGCTTCGAGTGCAAGAGGTTCAAGCTTAGACTTTTCGGCTCGTCACTTAATTGAGCCTCGGGCCCTCAAGCAAAGGGGGGGGGGGGCGTAGGGGGGGGGGGGGTAGGGGGGGGGGGGGTAGGGTAGCCTGTTCTCACAACCTATACACCTTCGGCCCGAGGCCTCGGCGGATTTTCAAATTCTCTTGGAAGTTAGAGCGGTTCATGTCTTGTGCAGGTGGTCGGCTACGCCACGGACCCCTCCAAGCCTGCGGTGGACCAGTTGGAAGAGTGCCTGACGGGATGCCACCTTGTGCTCGTGCCCGCCGGAGCGGACAGCTCAGCTCTGATCCTCGCGAGTCTCTGAGCCAGATTTCTCATCCGAACAGCCACATGACCATGCACAGAGTATAGTTTAGCAGACCACGGACGAAGCACAGGACGAAGCACAAAGCCTCGCAGACAGTGCCTGCAGGTGCCTCGAAAGCCAGGCATGACTCGCGATGACCTCTTCAACGTGAACGCTGGCATTGCCAAGGGCGTCGTGGAGGCTTGCGCGAAGTTCTGCCCGGACGCAGCACGGGTCTCGTAAGGGTTGCTCATGGTGCAATGAAGTGAAATGTCAACCGCTGTGTTGCTGAGGTCATTGGGCTCATTGTGAATCCTGTACCATGGTTGCACATTGCTGCTAAAGTCTCGCTTGCCTTCGTTTGCTTCCGTTGCAAAACTGGTAAAGCACCAAAGGTGAATTCCATTGTGCCTGCAATGGCCCAGCTGTACAAGAACAAAGGCCCGAGAACTTGCAAAACTGCCATGCTAGTCACCTCGGTTTGAGCGCTGCTTTTTGTTTAGGTCTTGACCCACTGAAGATTGTGGGCGTGACTTCCCTGGACATTGTCCGCGCAAACAAGTTCGTCGCCGAGATCACGGGCAAGTCGCCCACGGAGATTGAGGTTCCAGTCATCGGTGGGCATGCAGGTGTGACCATCATGCCAGTCTTCTCTCAGGACTTGACTTGCTGTTCTGCGCAGTGGATGCCGAGCCTAAGCGGTGCCGTGTTGTGATGGAGACATGATGCACGGAAGGACCCCACGTCTGCAACGATCTCTGCTGACAAGCGCGCTGGCTGAGTGTGATCACAAAGTGCAGAGTGCGTTCAGGCTTTCGGATAGCCGAGGATCCCAGCACTGGACAAGCGCACCCAGGATGGTGGCACCGAGGCTCGCGAGTCCCCGAGCCCTTCCTGACAAAGCAAAAAAACGCCGCAGAGGTTGTGGAGGCCAAGGCTGGCAAAGGCAGCGCCACGCTGTCCATGGCCTACTCCGGCGCGCGCTTCGGGAGCAAGGACCTCTTGTGCCCCCTTGACTTACACACACACATGCACACACATGACTCGGCACAGGTTTAGGAATAAGGGATAGCAAGGGTGCATGATCTCATTCCATTGCCCCCCGCCTCCGTCACTCCACCTCCCTCCTCCCTCCACCTCCCTCCGCCTCCCTCCGCCTCCCTTTTTTCCATCTGGAGGCAGCTCGGACCTCGTTGTCTGTCGAAGGTGTCAACACTCATAGGTCACAAGGATCGGGCTACCTGTCGTCGTTGGGGGCACCTGAACCTGTCTTCGCGTCTTAAAAGTGTCAACAGCCACAGGGCTCCGGCCACACCTTTTCACTATGTTCAACATGACAAACGTGTGACCCTGCAACGCTTAAGGCTTAAGGTTAAAGCAACAGAATCGTGGACATTCTATGTTGACCCATGTTGGCCCAAAAGATGTGGCCCCGCCACATCTTTTGCAATGTTGACCCATGTCGACCTGCAACATGTGAACCGTTGTCCTGCCGCATCCTTCGCAATGTTGACTTGAAGTCGCGTAACCGACCCCGGAGGAGGAGGAGTGGTTGCGGCCCTGAACGATGTATGAACATACATGTCGTTCAGGGGACTAGAGTCGCCAGAGCCGGCTTTCTCGGTCGATGGAGGTGAAATCCTGCGCGGGGGTCTCCAGGTTAGATATTTCAGCCATTTTCGGAAATTGAAAAAAAGAAACTTGGGGCCTCCGCGAAAAGTTCCGGAGGTTCGATGGCTAGGGCTGCATCCTGAATTACGTCAATGCTCCAAGCATCCTAGAATGAGCTTCTCGTACATTACAGGACGTGGTTACACTTGGCAGAGCTTCATAGGGAAGGGGCACAGGTATTTACAAGTGTTTTAAGTGTTAAGCAGATCGTGAGCATACAAACAACCCTCAGCTGCATGTATATCCTCACGTGACTCGGCTAGCTGCCTGGAAGAGAAGAGATTCAGATACTGTCATGCAAGATTTCTGATGTACTTTGCGAAAAGTGAGAAAAGGAGAATCTTACGTAGTAGATGTGCACTTACGTGATCCTGAGGCGCATATGGGATTTGCATGCAAAGTCGTTCTGCTCGCGATTCTGGGAAAGCTGTTGGGTTGGCGCGGTGTCAGAAAAGAAAAGGGTAGCTCCCTGGCGAAGTTTCATGCGTTGAAAAAAGTAACAAGAACTTCGTGAACTACGTACACATAATTTAAAGCTACGTGACCCGCCTCGGCCTGGCCCAATGCAGCTCCCAGAGAGGAGGGACGTGGGGGGGTTTGGGGAGGCGGGGCCTGCACCGTCTGCTCCCACTCTTGCCTACAAAACATACCCCAAACATACCCATGTCAAACCAAAAAAAGGCCAGCTGGGATTAAACCCGAAAGGGTGGGCTGCCAGCCTGCCAGGTGGGGGGGGGTTTGGTTGTCCCTGGTCCGGGCAAACGCTTTCATATCTGATCCCGGTCACCTACGGGGAGGTACCCATTCCAGGCAAAAAAAGGGGGCCGTGTGGCCTTGGTTTGGTGCCTGTTCTCACAACCTAGACACCTTCGGCCCGAGGCCTCGGCGGACTTCTAGACATGCATGTTCTCAATATGGCGTTAGTCTGCCGCACCCCCCCCCCGCCCTCCCCCGCTCTCCCACATTAGTTCCAAGCCATGAGTTGCAAGCTTAGATCTGTGGCATGCCCGGTAGGTCCTGAAGGGCCTGGCTGGCACTCCGACGGATGAGTGCGCCTACGTGGCCTCCACAGTTACGGAACTTCCGTACTTCTCGTCCAAGGCCGGCTGAGCGTCTGCCAGGTCATAAAAAAGTGGTCGGGGTACACTGGCGCACAAGACTGCGAATGGGGCACATTCATGGAAATATGTCAGGTGACCTTTGGCACCAAGGGAGTTGAGACGATCCATGGCATCGGCACCCTGAACAGCTATGAGCAGGGCCGACTAAAGGAGGTCAGGTTCTTACTCCGTCCTCGTCAGCGCGCGTTCCTCTAGTAGAAGAAATACAGCATCTGATTCTGGAGGGGCGTGCCGTATTGTGAAGAACTGTGAATCTCGTGCCAACATGAGCCTCTCTTTTTTTCTTGGTGTGGTTTGTGGTTTTGGCTGCAGGCAATGGACCAGCTCAGCAAGGAAATCGACAAGGGCTTGGAGTACGCAAAGGCCAACTGCTGAGGGCTTGGCACCAGTGCCCAGTGTTTCGGCTGGCTGCGGGCGCGAGAATGAAGCGTTACTGCCCCGGTGCAAGCGTGGACGCCCGAATGCCACGCCTCAGCACATTGATTTACAGAGGAGTAGGTCCTGTTTTCCAGCAAGAGGCGGGAAGAGCCGGCTAGTTTTGCATCACTCCTTGAGGAGGTGCCGTGGCCGATGGAGCTGAGCCAAAAAAATGTATTCTGCAAAGAGTGCTTGTACCTTGAGCACGGTGGCGAGGTGGTCCTAAACGGTCTCAAGCTGCGACAAGTCCGTTTATATGATTCCCACCTTAAGGCGCGCTCGAAAGGTGGCAAGGCGCAGCCCTATGAGTGTTGGCCATGCTTAGAAGTTGAGCCCTCTGTGGGATTATGGAGGGACTATTGGAGCGATGCTGTTTCGCGCATGCCTGTGACGTGTAATTAGAACGGTTTCGGTGATGATGTGCATGACATCGCGTGACCAGCATCTAGTTCACACGTGGCCAGGTGTTTTGCTACTGCGCCAAGGGCATTTCGCGGAGCTCCAGTTTGGTGATCGCTTTGCTGGCTTGGTTTGGATAGCAGACCAGATTGCAGGCCTCACAGGCGTCGGAGTTTGTTTCGGATGCCTGTGATGCCTCTGATTGTTCAGTGTGCATTGTGTGCATGCGCTTGGTGCTATCGACAGCTTTTGCCACTTGCACACCTGCAGCCTGCGCAGCTTGCAGACGCTTCAAAGAATTCTTGCATGTTCCTCGGCAATGGCGGCCGAGCGGGGCACCTTTAAAGCACGATCCTGGACTGGACCGAGCCTCTCATGAGCCGAAGTCCATGTCTGCTGCAGAGCCTCGGCCACAACATTTTTGGGGCTTGACGGAGGGATCCGGAGGGCGCTGGCTTTGCCTTGCAGCACAGTTCGGAAGCATTCGGAAGCTCCTGCTGTGGAGGTGCTTAGCCGCTGCAGCCTTGCTCACTGCCGGCTTTCTTCTCTGTGGCTCCGACTGCAATGCCCGCAATCTCCCGTTCGCGGGAAAATTTGGGACCAATCCTGGACGTTTCCGAGTCAGGCGTGCTGACGCACGGGCCCGCTCCAAGGACTCCGCGTCGCATCATGTCTTCACGTGTGTTCACGACCGCGCTTGCCCAACATACTCGTACCCCAATCACCACCGCCACTACACCACCGCCACACACTCACCCCCCTCCCCACCCCTCCCAAAGCGCTAACAGAGCTCAGAAAGTTGCAACAGAAATCGCTCACGCAGGTACATGGGTTTAGTACCATCGTGCCTCCAGCATTTCGCTTGCCTCCGACAGTGAAGCGAAGTGCAGCGAAGTGAGGCGTCAACGAATTTCTGCATGTTCCTTTTTGGCGTTTGGGACTGAAACCGACGAAGCTGTGTGGGAGTCAAATCTTTCAGGGCTGCATGGGTTAAGTTTGTGGAACTGTTCTGATGTCAGGACGTGCCACTTCTTGATGAGGAGAGCAACGACTTGTTCCTCATGCTCAGGGGCATAACAACAGCGACTTCCCTTACCTGTTCTGAAATTGCAGAGATTGGGAGAGCACCTTGCAGTAGTACTTTTCTACAAGAGACACAGCTTCACTGTCGTAGCACAAGACGCGCTAGAAGTCTCAAAGATCAGCTTTACTAATTGAACTTGGGCTTGCAATGAGACCATCCCCCACCCCCACAACGCTGCTGAGGTGAGCTTCTGCACTGGTACTCCTCCCATCGACTGGCTTCGACTGAGAGTTGTGGCGGTGGTGGCTGCGAACCCTTGGTTGGCAGGAAGCCTCGCGCGGACATCAGCAGAGGCAGGAGAGGATGAAAGTGAGACCTCAAGGGCTGCCTGCTGCCATCGTGATGGTTGCTATGAGCTGCCATGCCTGTGCCGACAGCCTGTGCCCTTTGGACTCCACACGGATGAGAGTCCAAACCGGGTGAGAAGCCGAAGATGGCCCGGAACGACTGACCCTTTGTGTTCTGACCATCTTAGACGGTCGCAGACTGTGCAGGATCGCGTGCTTCTTCACTACGCAGAGGATGCCGGCGAAGAAGCCGCAAGCCGATCGTTCCAAAGCATCGGGCTGCTCTGCAGCACGTCATCAGAGGAGAGCCTCCATCTCAGCTGCCATTCGCCCAGTGCACTTAGTCTCAGGCCTGACATGCTTGACATACAGCCCGACATGCCCTACGACGTCCTTTCACAGAAGCTGAGTGGTTCCTGCGCCGAAGTAAGGCCAGGTCTGCGGCTGACATGACCTTTTAGATCTCCATTCCGATTATACATCCCCTTAGACCCCAACAAAAAACACAAAAAACGCATGCCGATATGCTTGCAGGTCCGGAGCAGAATGCCTGCGAGACTCAAGTGAGCCCTTGCTGAAAGTGACTGTGTGCAACGGTTCGCGCCGATTCCTCAGCTTCACGAGGCTGTGATAGCCGAAGTGTGGAGCAGTGTCAGTCTAGTAAGGTGATCAGTTTGCACTCATCGTCTCACTGTCGCACACCATAGCCGACGGGCGCCCTGTCATGAAACTTCTAGGCTTCTTGGGCAAAGTAGCAGAACGCAGTGCAAAGACCTGGGAGGTATACCTACTACAGGATCTTCAGCATGCTGACGCGCAAGCTCACGCCAGTCTCCCTGAGACCCGAGCGGAAGCTGGACTTCCATGAGCAACGCTTTCGTGCCATCGGCCGGTGCCTAGCCGAGCTGCCATGAGTCAGGATGCCTTCTGGAGCATGATTTCACCTTGGTGCGCACCGCTGCACAGTCTCGACTAGGCCTGAGTACGACTTCATCTTCTCGCCAGCGTATGTCTTGAACTCCCTTACCAGCAAGATTCTGCGTGGAAGACCAACCTGTCTGGCTCTGAACAGTCAGTCAACTGTTCCACTGTCCTCTCTACAGTACATTGTGACATAGTGACACGGTATGCAGTATGCTGCCATTATCTGCCATTCAGAGTTCGAGGCCGCAGCTATCTCATTAACATGCAGAAAGTGAGGCAGCTGCAGGTCCGTTCCTCGACCCGGTCTTCATGTACTCCAACGTACTCCAACAACGCACAACTGACTGCTTGAGGCCATGCTCACCGCGGACAGGCAAGTGCCTCTCTCGACGAAACTGAGACAGAACAACTCGCTGTTCCGTCGGTTTGTTGCCGTAACTGCGCTCTATCTGCCCTTTCAAGGAACGATGTTGTAACTGCATACATTGCAAGAATATTTGGGGCCCGTGTCGGGCTCTCAAGTCGCAAGAATGCGGAGCGTGTCCCGACTCCAGCTAGCTGAGGCCTGTTCCATGGCCGTGAACTTCCGCGGACGCCTTGCAAGCTTGAGGGAGGTGTGGGCACTGTGCAGCGGAAGTGTTCTTGGTGAGATGTCAACGCCATGGTTTGCCATGCCGCCATGTCTGGTGTCAGGACGATGCCGGCAACTACCAGGCACATGGACCTTTGCGTACCTTTGCTGTAGTTTGCTGCGCTCTGCAATGCTCTGCAATGCTCTGCAATGCTCTGCAATGCTCTGCAATGCTCTGCATTGCAGAGTGCATCTCTCCTCAGGGCCTCCTGTGGTTCGGCCCCGATGACATTTCAAGTCCGGCTCTGGTTCGGGCAGCGTTGGAGCAAGGAAGATGTCAGGGGGTTTATCGACGGTGCGGCAGCGATCCAGCATCATGTTTGCATTATTTGTGAAGCTTTCTCTTCTGAGCACTCTTGTTGTTTCACTGTGGTTAGGGGGTCTTGGGAGGGTTTCGAAGCCCCCAAGAGGGCGAAAGCATGCGAGAGAGTGGTGTGTTTGACGAAGGTTGGCCAACTCCCAGGCTTTTGGGAAACGCTCTGCTCACGCATGGGGGCAAGCCGCTCAGCCGGGCGTGACTGTGACAAGCCTGTCCAGCGCCCTCTGTGTTGCACCGTGCCTGCAGGTCATCACCAGCTGGGTTTTCCAAGATGAGCCCATGTTGGAGGGGTGCAGGTTGGGGCTACACTTGCCTCACTTCGACTTAGATGATGCCAGGGCCTTGACTTTGGCCAGTAAAGCTCATACCTGAGAGGATGTGCTTCACATGTTCTGCAAGGTCAATTCAGACATGGCTGTAATCTTCAGACCGCGTGAAGGACAACAGGCAGTCTGAGGCCAAACCGTCAGCATCGCTTGAGGGTGTTTGCAGAGCCTTTTCCATTTCGAGCATCCATTGACAAAGGTCATGCTGTTCACAAAGGAGCTCGACATCGATGCAGTGACAGCAGCACCAGACAGTATTCTTGGAGAGCCTGTCGCGTTCTGCCTCGAGAAACAAAAGAAGCTCTTGCAGCTTACAGGTCTGAGAGCTGACAGTCAGCGGAGGAGTGCTTGCAATACCAGTACTTTGTTCATGACATGCAAGTGTTTAAGCAGTACCAAATGCAAGTGAGAACGCAGATATTCGACGACCCCTACTCTCTCTCTCTCTCTCCTACTGCTCTTATTCTCCTGCTGACTCCTAAAAGCTTGTGGTCGGACTATTGCAAAGCCATGCAAGCCCGGCTCACAGAGAGTGCCAGGCCTTGCTGATGCTGGAGCAGGGCATAAGCTTCGAAGAAGCGTGGACCTTCTGCGAGAAGTCGCGTCCTCATTGACTCATCCGCTAAACCTCGTCTCGGTGCTTCTTTTGTTGGGCTTGAATTTGTTTTCAGTTCAAGGTGTTTAAGGTACCAGTTGGAGGGGGCATGGCATATTGATTGCAGATTGACGAGTTTTGCAATGCTTCAGGGCAACTTCAGTAGCACTTCCCGGCTAAAGCTTGCATCCGTTGAGCAATTGACTCGATGCCCAGTTCCAGAAATTGAAAGCTGTGACGTTGTAAGGATCGCACGGATGTGTAAGGGGTGGAATTGTCCTTGCCTGGAAATTCTCAGTGAAGGTTTTGCTCGGCGAAGCATGCTTAAGTAGACTCAGGAGGTGTCTTCTCAGGCGCAGATGTTTTGTTAGCTGGCAAACGGCCCCCTGAATATGCGCAGGAAACGGCCCATCGTGTATCCCAATGCTGCGACCTGAGGAGCTTTTATTGGAGGAAGGGGGGAGGAAGGGGGGAGGGGGCTTCCTGACGCTCCCGAGGTCGGATTTCAACAACAACTTCGGCATCTCGAAAAGATCATGGCAGAAGTCGTTGATTTCAAGGCTCTCGAGGTTCTGATGGCCTCAGGATCGGCTTTGGGCTTGATTGCAGGCGCCCTGGCAGAAGCAGGTGAAGCAACTGCGGGAGGCCCGCTGTTGCAATTCCGCTCCCTCCCACCTATTACTCGTAACTCATCATGCAGATGATCCTTTCAGAGGCACCCTTGGCCCAAACAAGAATTTTGATGGAGCAGGCTTAGACACTGGCCTGCAGGCTTTGCCAAAAGGCGACTTGGAAGGACCGAAGCAGGTGTCCAAGATCCTGACTCTGCCCTGTTGTTGGCTTGTAGCGACGTAGGGAGGCGAGATGCTTCGAGATTCCCGGACAATGGCACAAAGCATCTGGGAAGGGTGTTGTCGCTGAGGTCCCCCCTCCCAATTCGGGATGCCATAGGCTCTTGCATGGGGGCTGCCGGGGCCTTGCAACACCGTGCTTGACACGTCTTGACAACAGGGCTTTGAGCGTGGGTTTGACAGGCATTAAATGAGCTGGAGGCCCTGGTAGAGAAGGACCGAGGGTAATGCTGATTGAGTCATTTGAGTCATGTACTTTGCTTCAGCATCCTACACCTGCGAAGTCCCAGACTGATAGGTTCTTTCTCAACCACAGTGCCGGGCTAAGCCGAGGGACCATTGTCTACGCGACGTTTAGGAACCGCATTTCTCGCAGCGTCAGCAGAAACACGCGAGAGTCCGTCGCTTGAGAAGAGGTTGCTGCAAAAGAGGGAGCTTTGGAAGAGACAAGGGTGTCGACCTCGGTATATTCGGTAGCTGCCGCCGGGCCCTTGTCAGCTGTTTGCATAATGGTTCTCGAGGAGAGGCTGAACGGCAACAGAACATTGCCGAAAACGCCAACAGTATCAGGGCCATTTATGGACTATCTACGACTGTGATTCTTTCCCGATGCTCAAGGCGTAGCCGTATAGTTCTTTTGTGCGCTGCAGGACGATTGTACGAATCAACTTCCTGCATCGTCATTGAGGTTCATCGAGCATGACCAGCACCGACGACCAGTTGGCACTGTTGTCATCCATAACAGGTGCAGATATCTCAGCTTGCCGGAAAGCCTTGGACAACGCGGCAGGCGACGTAAATCTGGCGGCCCAGCTACTCCTGCCCGATGCTATGGACGTTGACGGCCTTGTGCGCGGGGATTGCTCAGAATGCCGGGAAGCCAACGTTTCAGGGTACTTCAGCGAGGGATCAGATGCTACCTTTTACTGCCAGTCCTGCTGGAAGCGATGGGATGGAGTTGAACAAGTTGAACCGTTGCATAGGTATCCTGACCAGCTGGAACAGCAAGAGAGCATGTTGCAACGTGATCTTGGTCTGATTCAAGCATCGACGATCGAGGAGCTTGGTCAGGCACTTGTTCGGAAGGTCACTGAGAAATGGCAAACGCCGCTGAACCGCACCGGAGATCAGTTTGCCTGGAATGAGTCTGGCAAAGAGTCCTGGAGACGAGTTGCCCATGCCGCTGCAAGCGCTGTCGCCCTTGAGGGAGAGGAACTCATGAAAAATGCTGCACGTTTTCTGTCTGGAGCCGTGCGGGCGGCCGGCGAAGATCTTTGGAAGTTGCTAACCATCTACGAGATTCAGGTTGCATCACAGTTGCCAAGACAAAAGAGCTCGTCGCAAACTCCAACCACCAGAGCCAAAGCTTCAGGCTGCACAGGTCTTGCGTGCGCGTCAGGCATCCTGGGACAGACTGAAGAGGTGGATGTCTATATTTACGACTATGGCAAACTTGATGTGATTGCAAGACTGCGCTGCGATGGCATGCCTGCTGCAGCACTTCTGTATGACCCGGCTTGTACCATGTGCCCGATTGGAATTGGGGTTTCCGGGCTTTGCGTGTCTCGATTTACGCTCTACCCCCGCACAAAGGCCTTTGGATTCGGCGGTCTGCCGTTGGCGGCAGTCCTGTGGGAGTTGCTATTAGGCCCTCGTAATCTTCCCGAAGCCATTGTCTTTCTGAAAGGCCTTTTTGCTACAGGCAGGCAGATGGCTGCCGGTGCTGCTTTGCTATTGACGCAGCCAGGTCATGGTATGGTCATGGTTGAGTGGTCCCGCACTACAATTCACATTTCTCCTGTGGGATTGGAGGGCATCCTGGTCCATGCAAATCATTGTGCTCTTGGCTCCAGCTTAGTCGACGAGGATCACCAGAGCATTTCAAAGCTCTTGCAAGAAAGCAAGAGACGCCAGTCAACAGTTGAAGATCTCTATGCAGATCAGCTCTTGGCAGGGACGACCCAGCTTGGTCTGAGCCAAATCCAGGCCTTCTTGTCTGTGACAGGCGTGCAAAACGATGATGTTCTCGCAACCGTCATCAGCTGTTCAGAGAAGCGTGAGCTTTACGTCCGGTTTCGGTTACAAGTTTCTGGCATGGAGATGGTGGAGGACACGCTGGCATGTGATTTCTGGCAATGCTTTAACTGACACCGTCGCCTACAGCTTTGAAGGTCAGATTACACAAATTTGCACGCCGTGTTGTCGACAGACGGTTTGAGTGCGTGACCGGCACCATCCTGAAATAGATTGTCTTACGGTTGCTGTCGAATCCCTGAACCGTAACAGCTCCCGCCTGCATGTGCGACACCTGGCGGCGTGCATGTTTTCAGGCTGTTCTTTGAGAACCTGCATAAGTACAAGTCCAGATCTCAGCAGCTGCAACTTGCACACGTTTCGAACTTGCACCAGTCCTGCCTTGTCCAGCCTCTTTGCCGGACCTTGGTTGACATGGCACAGCTGCTGCATATGCATATGCATACGTGTCCAAAGCAGTTGCTCAATGCTCTTTCTAGCACCGATGAGTTTGGAAGGCGTATCAGGAGACTTTGAGCCGACAATGATAAGAACCAACAATGAAAAGCACTACGGCCCAGCCTGTGGCATTCAAAAAGGGTTTGCTGATGACATCTGATGACCTGCTTGGTGCCCAGAGAGACCCTAAAACCGTTTTGAGCCCAGGGCCATCCCGGGGGACCTCGCGTTGCTTGGCCGTGCCAAAGTGGCGGCTGACCAGTTGAGGCCGAGTTCGGGCTATTGCTTTAGGGCCCAAAGTTTAGGTTTATAGTTGCAGGATTTAGGGGGTGTATCGGGCATAAGGCTCAAGGTGTTGGAGCAGATCTTGGATGGAGCTACGATGCGCTCCCTTGTACTCATGGCACAGCCTGGCAGATGTTGTGGTGTGGAGTTGCACAGTGCTCGTTGCTCAAACCTTGGAGTTAGGCTTCAGGCTGAAGAGTCGTGTGCTGACACAGTTTAGTCTAGTGACCAAGGCCCGATTCGCAACCTAGCGCAACTCGTTAGACTACAGCTTTGGAAAGCCAGACCGTCGGTTAGTGAACAGCTTCTTCCCGCTTTGCATGCGACCAGGTCTCTGCAAAGAGTCTACAGCGACTCCCTGAAAGGTGTCCGCTACCCAGCAGATGCAAGTACAGAAGAAGAGTCAATCCCACCTTTTGCATCAACAAAGGTCAAGCTAGCCAACGCCGTTGCCCAAGAATTGGAGGCTTGCCAACAAAGTTTTCTTGATCTGCATGTTTGCATGCATCTTACGATCTATTGTGCAGGACTGGTCCAAAGTGGCAGCACCAGAGCTCGAAAAAGCTGAAGGTGAAGGTGCAGCTTTTGTCGGTTTTTTCTGAGGCATCGGTGTTTCTTGAAGTGCAGGTCGGCCTGAAGCAAAGGCCGAAGAGAAGCCCAAGGCGATTGTTGCTGCTTGGAGACATCTTGCAGAGACCCAACAGCTGGACAGGAATTGAGCAAGAAAGAGAAGAAACGGCTTAAGAAGGACACCTCAAGTCCGATGACCGTGAGCGTCTTTCGTTTGTGTTTCACAGTGAAGCAGGAAAAGAAACGCGAAAAAAAGGCAAAGAAGGCTGAAAAGAAAGCGGCAAAGGCTTGACATCTTGATTTTTGCTGCACAAGCATTCGCTTCGGAGCATTGCGGCAGACCTTGGCCAAGATCGAGCAGGCAGCCAAGGAGGCTTCCGCATGGCGACAAAGACATCTGGCATCATCTGGCTTATCCACGTAGAAAGCTTACTGTAAAGGCAACGTGCCCGTTGGTTTTGCAGAAGGCTGAGCACATCGCGAAGCTTGCTGGTGAAGAGGAAGAAGAGGCCCTGAGAGTATGTAGTTTACCGGTTCACAATATTCGCTACTGTCATCCGCCGTCAACATGGAGTGTTTGGATTTGCTTGCTGCCTACATGATGTTTACCGTCAACATCCAGCAGCTTGCTTTGCCCTGCAAGATTGCAGGCGGCCAGACGAATAGCTGAGGTGGAGGAGGAGCTGGCAGCAGCTGAGGCCAAGGAGTGAGAGTCCATGTCGGAAGAGTTTCGCAACTCTATAATTTGCAATGTGTAAGTTACCATGTATATTGCAACACGGTACACTCCGCATACACTTAGTGGGTGTTTCTTCTCACTCTCAGCTGGTGCAGGCAGCAGCTGCTGCCGCCGAAGAGTCCTCAGAAGAAGACCCCGAAATGGTGGGGGCGCCAAAGCACAAGATGACGCTTCCTGCGTGGACGCTGCATTGAAAAAATCGCTGCAGAAACATATCGTAAATCAACTCGTGACTATATGGTGCGTGGCCATGAGAATCTGCTTGTCATCCCGAGTGGTTTCTGACCTTAAGGTGGCAAAAGCAGAACGGCTGCGGGAGCAACTGAGCGAAGCCTACGAGTATTCCGCGAACGTGGCGTGCTCGGAGATCTGGGGTGGCGGGAGGGCTCCCCTGCTATGCTCCGGGGAGGGCTGATTCCTTCCGGGTTTGGGACAGCTACCCTTCGGACTCGAAAGTACCCTAATTACATACTAAGCTATCAAGACATTGTGATGTGAGGTTGCCTTGAAAGCAGCTGAGAAAGCAGAGGCGCACCCGTGGCCTTGGAACCAGGGCTTACAGGGCAGACACTTCAGGGCTTTGACAGGAAGTTTCAAGTCTAGGTGCTCCGGAATCAAGAAGTACAGGCAGCAAGAGAACAAAAAGAACTTCCTCATCCCCTTCCAAAGAAACAAGGAGTCAGATACGATCCAGCATCTGGAATCACCCTGTCAGGCCACGGTCAAGGTGGTGAAGAAGCGACCGAGGCCTTCCGGCCTTCCAGGGTTTGTGGGGGGTTCATGCCAAGAGCCTCTTCGTGGGTCAGAATGTTGAGCTCGGAGGTCCTCCTCCTCCTCCGAAGCTCAGGCCTCAGGCCTCAGGCGGTGTCACGGTGTGTCATACCTGAACAAACTCAACTCCGATCTCGTTAAGGACAGCTCCGATGGCTGACCGTGGTAGCCGACCAAAAAAAGTTTGCACCTGGGGTGGTACCGATGAGGACCAACTCATGAGCTCAGCATGAGCCCCAAGCGCATTGATGCACGCGGCCGCGGCCGCCATTTTGCTGCATAGGGCTCCGGGTTTGTATATAAGAGTTTGTATCTAGACTTTCTATTTTCTGGGCTTGGGGTTTAGTAGGTTCAGTGAGTTTATTTCTTCAGGATTTAGGGTTTCGTACCTTCAGCAGCTTAGAGTTAGGGCCCCAAAGTGCCAAGTGGCCTGGTCCTGTGAAGCTGCAGCGCGCAGCGAGTGGCCGAGGTGGCATGAGAACGCTATTCGGTTGTTGTTCTTGTTGATGGGTGGAACTGCAATCATCGATGTCATCGTTATTTGCTATGCGTGTTCTTGATGTGATGTTCCTGATGCGCAGTAGTAGGGATCGTTTGTATTGTTACTGCGTCTTGGTCTGCTTCTTGAAACCAAGCATCAGAGCACAGGCTATGGCCTGTGGGCGATGGCGAAATATGGCCTGGAGGGTGGGTCAGGGTTTTGGGGTTCAGGATGGTTTTGGGGTGCTTGTGCGGAGTGGTAATTGAGGCTCTCCTTGTTCAGGTACTCGCCCTGCTGCTCGTCACTCCAGAACTGTCCTCTGCCTTCATCGAGGAGCATGGCAGACCATGCTGTAGATCCGGACACCCGACCTTCCCTGGCGCAGGAAATTTTTCAGCAGTTCGGCGGAGGTGGAGGAGGACAGCAGCTCCAAGCTCGGATGAAGCTCACAGGTTCTGATAGGGCGAAGGCTGCTAAGCCCTAATAAAGTGCAAGGTTCCATTTCACCATGGGCGACGGCGGCGTGTTCGAGATGGGAGGAGGTCACCAGAGACCCACCTGCAGCATCCGCTTGCACTATGTTGAGACTTACCATTGAGTAGCTTCAAGATAGACGTGTTGAGGCGAGGTAACAACCTAGGAAGACATAGTGGAATCACGCATGTGCAAGGACGGTGAAAGTGGTTATTTGAAGGTCAACATGGCAGACTGCGCAAGCTTACCAGCTGAATCGTCGATCTTTGCCCAAGCAGCTGCAGCAGCTAGCAACTAGCAGCCAGTGTGGGAGAAGCGAGCAATGCGACTGCCTGTCCCCAAGGGTCGATATGTCCGGGATAATTGGAGCTACTGAGCTACCAGCTTTGTTGAAAGGTTGTTTTGCGTGCATGCCCAATCATGCCTATTCTCTGAGTGGTTGTTTTTGTTGCATGCAGTCCAGCCAAGCCAGGCAAGGGCTTGCTGCTTTGTGCAAGGCCGGTTAAATACTGTACCGAGGTAACGCGCTGTGCGAGAAGGATACTGCGGCAGTCACAGAGACGCATTGGGCTGAGACGCAATGCTACATCTGCATGTGTCAATCTAGTCTGCTGGATGCCAGGATCACCTCACGACATCGAGTCAGGACAACCAAGTTTACACGATGGCGCAATCTGCTGGAAAGAAGCGCTCGGACGATGCGATTGCTCTCGGAAAGTACGAAACCTTGGTCAGGCAGGGGTTGCCTTGGGAGCCTGCACGAGTTGTCAATGTAGCAATATGATCGTTTCGTATGATCTTTTGCAGGGAGCTGCCCCGGTGTTTGCGAGCGCCCTCGGATGAAGGGACCGAGACCAGGTCAGACTCGAACTAAGCCTTTCTGCTCGGGACGCATGGACTGACAACTTGAGTGCGATGTGCATTTAGTGGCCGAGGAAATCTTGGTTCACGTTCATCGACTGATGGTTTGCGATCATCCAGGCCCGTCCTTGAAGCTTGCAGAGGTTCCTCGCAAGAGGCCTTTTCTCAATTTTCAGCATGTCGTAGTTCAGACAGGAAGACAGTTCGGATTGGCGCTCCTTCTCCCTGAAGAGGCGGGGGGCTCTCAATGAAAACAGCCGCTAGCCGTACGAATACAGCGCCTCACACTAGGTGCCCGCTGGCGCCTGGAACTTCTTGCTGCTTCCGCCAGGACTAAAAATTTCATTCGCGGGAGTTTGCTTGGTCTCCTGAACTTCGTTAGAGCTGAGACTGAACAGAGCGTTGCGTATGCCGGAGCCACGAACCGTTTGTACAGTATCTGTCGATGCCCCATGCTTTTCTTATGGAGACGAGGATACGAGAAACCCGTCCTGGCGGAGGTGCAAAGTCTGAGCACTCTGCTTGTCGCTCTTCCACGGTACTGAGTGCTAGTCATGGTCATGGGGCACACACTGGCCCGAGAGGCCAAGCCAGTGGGCTGCGCAATCCGTTTGACCTCACAGCAGGAGGAGGACTTGAAGGCCCTCTCTTCTCTTCAGTAGGCGCAGCACTTGGGAAGCTCGGGCAGCACTTGCAGGTGTGGACGCAGATGTGCTTGGAGATTTCTCGCTGTGAAAGGAGCTTGGCGGGCCGAAAGTACTTGTTTGCAGAATGCTGCCTTATTCTCGCATCATCTGCAGGAGCTGTCCGCTCCATCCCAAATTCGCGCAGCCCATGCTGACGCAGTTTAAGGCCACCGTTCACAGGGGGCTTGCGCGTGACCTCGTTAACAAGACTGGTGCCCGCAAATGTTCCCAACATGTCCAGGATCGGTCTGGAAGATACATACCAGCGGGGACGGTGCAAACTCTGGACGACGAGGATCCAGTGGCTTCTGTTCAAACATGTTCAAACCTTCAGTCCATATTCCCCGACCCAAGACCGATGCAAGCCATGAAAGCTAAATCAAGCTAAGTGCACAACGCGGCTATGCCCAGCTCACAGAAATGTGAGGATCTTCCGGAGAGATCTTTCTGGCTCCTTGCGCCATTGGGGCTTTCGGATTCCGTGCAGGCTGAGAGCATCCTCTCACAGTCTGGCGTCCACATTTGTCCATTTGTCCATGCTGTTCATGAGGCGATTTCCTGGGAGTTTCTATCATGGTCACTCTCTGCACTGCGCCGGTTTCAGAAGCGGCTCGGACTTCCAACTCAACTCCATGGAGCCATGTGATCCCACTCTGGATGTCTCAGGTCATCATCGTGGCTGTATCTTGGCATGGAGAATTTAGCATTATTTTTGCATTCATGGCAACAACGTGGAACTTGGTGTTTGGAGTGCATTTGCTGCTCTCAGTACTGCAACCGCGTCGTATGAATGCAAGGTCCATGCCCACCACCTGGCCGGGGGAATCAGATCCTGCTATCCCTACAGACATGGCCTCGAGCTCGGCATCGGGTTTTTGTAAGGTGGCCGGGGCGTTCAAGTTGTCATCACTGCATCTGTATCGTTCTGAGCGCAAACATGTGTGAGGCTTTGGATGAGGCAGTGGTCCTGGGCCCACAACCCGATGGAAGCCGTGGATCCGATGTGAAATGTGCGAAGCCCAAGACTCTCTTGTGTCTTGCGTCTTTGGGGGCTTCGAATTTTTTTCATCCACACGAGTAATTCGAAGCCAAACATGTAGGGCTTCCCGACGTTCACAAGAAATCCGCCCCACCCTCCGACCGCCTCTTCTGTCACATCTTGCTCTGGCTTTGTAGAGTTTGACACTGGACACTGATATCCTCCCATGATGCATCCCCTTCAGGATACTTCGGGTATGGGTTTGCGCCTGGGGGCGCAAAGAGCTTTCGTATTTTGGTGTCGCAGATTTCACACACTACGTTTTGGGAGGGGACTCCGGGAAAGACCTGCACTTGAGGGTTCCAGATTTGAAGTTCTGTGCCTTTCTCTGAGCGATTCTTCTGTATGAGCCTGAGAGCCATTCTGAGGCTTGTGCGTCGACCTACAAGTGAAGGCTGGATGCTAACGGGGTCCGCCAAGGAGTTGTTTTAAGACCCACTGCCGACCACGCCAGTCTTCTTTGAGGCGATTGACGGGGACAGCTGCACCTTCAAGGGCCACAAGTTCAGTCGAGCATCTTGCTGCATTGTTGGGGCATGTTCCAGTCAAATACTAAGATATGCTGTGGGGGGCCTTGCACAGTGGTAGAGGGGCAGTGGGATTTCCACTAGTGGGAAATGGGATTCTACTGGCCACTGGATTCCACCAGTGGGTAGTGGAATCACGAGTGGATTATTGGGTAGTGGGATGCCACTACTGGGTAGTGCATTTCAACTAGCGGGTAATTTTAACGCTACGCGACCCGCCTCGGCCCGGCCCAGCGCATCCGCGTGAGCATGGTGATTCCGCAGCGCCCAAGTCGCCGGACCCCAAGCAATAAGGGTTGGGTTTAGGGTTTAGGGTTCCGGGTTTATGGTTTAAGGTTTGGGGTTTAGGGTTGAGGGTTAGTTTAGGATTGAGGGCTTAGGGCTCAAGGTTCACGCTTTGGGGTTTAGGGTTTTTTTTTGGGTTTAGGTTTAGGGTTTCGGTTCAAGCTTAGACTCTTCGGCTCGCCCCCGGCCGTGCTCACACCAGTTGAGCCTCGAAAAAAACCGCTCACCAATGGGGGGGGGGGGCGGAGGTTGGGGGGGGGTGGGGTGGGGGGGGGGTTGGGACGGGCTTCAACTGCCTCTGGTCCTGGCGAACCGTCCGCTTGCGGACCCCGGTTTCCCAGGAGGGGTACCCATTTGAGGCAAAAAAATGGGGTCCGAAAAAAGTGGCTTTGGGTGTGGGGGGAGGATTTGGAGGGGGGTGCCTGTTCTGACAACCTATACACCTCCGGCCCGAGGCCTCGGCGGATAGATCTCCACTCGCGGCCTTCCCGGGTTTCGACTTAGTGAGAAGTGGGTTTCCACTACTGGGTGTGGTTTCCACTAGGTGGTAATGGGTTCCCACCAAGTTTCCACAAGTGGGCAAGGGGGTTTCCACTGCTGGGTAGTGGGGCGGGTTCAACCCCTCGATAGTCTCTCGAAACCCAACATCTCCACAGCGTAAGCACTACGGTTCTTAGGGTTTGGGCAGCTTGAGGAAAGCCTCCGTGTCGAGCCTAGAAGTCTAACACAAGCTCTCTGAGGCAGCCGTGAATGCTGGAATTGCAGGGGCCCGAGATGGGCGACCATGTGCGTGATACATGCGCCGCATCAGTGTCGTGGCTTGGCGAGGCGCCAACTTTCACGAAGGTGGAACGAAATTTGAAGGAAGAGAAGAAAGAATTGGAGTTCAAGGCACGGTGGCGACCTGATGTTGGTACGCGTATAGTGCTCTGTGAAGGCTTTGGGATGTGTTGAGGCTGAGGAATGTGAGCTGATGCCGCTGACCCATGGTCATGTACAAGTGCTTCGCTACTTACCAAGTCTGCTCCCTGCTCAGATGCGCTCAAAAGCCCATGGAGCACCCTAGAAGCTGCCTATGTCAATAAGTCAATAAACCATACACCTTACTCACTCCCACTATCGAACTCTCCGAGGCTCTGGCGGCTCGAGTTTGTAGCCTTGATGCAGGCACCGCAAAATCGAAACGGGACGGATGCTGCAGTGGACTGCAGGCCTGTAGCATCTTCGTGAGCATGGCAGGAGATGACGCAACGCTGCGATGGCTTGCTCCAGATGGCGTTGCCATCTGCTCTTGGGGAAGCGATGACGCATTCACAGGCAGGAGAAGAGAGCAAGGGGAAGAATCCAGTGCAAACCTTCTGCCCGTGTGGTGCATGGAGCATCAGTAGGTGTTGTCGCTTCCGTTCCATCCACCGGGGACGAGACGGTTCTGTTACGAACGCATGGAGCTGATGGGTGATGCCGCGCCAGTCTCAGAGAGCACGCAGCTATGAATCGCAGGCCCTGTTCAATGCCCTTCACGTCTAGCAGGTGTTGAAGTTGATGGCTTGCGCACATGCAGCAGCTGCGCTGCCTCGAGCCAACGAGGTTGAAACCTTTGTTTCTTGTGATGCTGTGTTTTGATGTTGTGCCTATCTGTCTCTTTTTTTTGTACCTTTGGCCCCTCTCCACCTCAGGGTCAACTGTCATCCGTGGCACAGTGGTGCGAAACGAACAAGTGGCTCCGCAAGGCTGTCCAACTCCTGTGAGCAGATTTGTGAGCGGGACAACTCTTAAGTAGACTATTGCAGACCTAGACTTCTAAAAGCCATATCGACAGGTGAACGAGAAGACGATAAATGTGGGCTCCTTCCTTCTGCTCCACGGCTTCAGGCTGCTGGGATAAACTTGGCAAAAACGCAAGAACTGCCTGTATTCCTTTTGCCATCCTTTGCCTGCGTTGCCAGGCCCAAGACCCGATTGTCAAAGCTGCGCCAGAATCGGGTGCCACAGAAGGCCAGCATTGCAGCGAACAGCCGCTCTATGTTTGGGCAAGATGTGGCAAGACTACGTAGTTCTACATAGCCTGCATTCCCACAGTGACGCCACCTGCAGGTTGCAGCAGATGCAGTGGAGGTGCAAACACGTCTGCTACCAATAGCGGGAAACCTGGACCCCAAGTAGGTCTTGTCAATCCTGCTATCGCTGCTTGAATTTTGCCACTGGTGCCGGCAACAGTGGCGACCGAGCCAAGAAGCTGTATTCGGTTTGCAAGTGGTGAGATGACCTGAGTTTGAATATGAATCCAAGCTCATTGACAAGTTGTGGAAAAAGCTCCTGGTGAGTTCCACATCCCCCTCCTTGCGAGAAGTTCATGCATCGAGCAATGATCTTCGGCTTCTCCCCTCCTCCTCCTCTCCTCCTCCTCTCCTCCTCCTCTCCTCCTCCCCTCCTCCTCTCCTCCTCCTCTCCTCCTCCTCTCCTCCTCCTCTCCTCCTCCCCCCCCCTCCCTCCCATTTTGCAGGCTGCCTTGGGAGCGGTCTTCAGCTGCACGAGTGGGGCTTTGACGGAGCCAGCATCCCAGGAGGGTTCGCCGCCCCATGGGATGCAGGGAGCACGGCTTAAGGTTGAAACAAGGGGGAAGGTGAAGGGGGTGGCATCCACCTCCCCTCCTCCAAGCTTAATCAAAAGGGACAACAACGTGTACATACCTATAGACTGCTGGGCTGCTTAAGATGACTCAAAGAACCCTCAACATCAGCCGCCCTGCCGGAACTTCGGATGGCCAATGGCCATGGACCAATGAGCTAGCACTCCAGGGCTGAACAGGAGAACCCGAAGCTTCAAAACTCAAACCCCACATTCGAAGAATCTTTCGGTCAAGGGCTATCACTAAACAGGGAGATGGCGGAGCCAACGGACGCTCGCAGCATGGTTTCCATGGGCAGTGGAATGGATGCCTGCTGGAAGCTTGGATTTGCTTAGCCATCCTTTTTGGCGTACCTCCAGTGCAATTAGAACCCGCACCTTAAAGCAGCGAGCAGCACGCGATGATTCAAAGAAGCGAGTGGTGTCGGTTGGGTTCCCTGAAGGAAGATATTTCGGGTCTTGGTGCAGAACGGCCCGAGCACCGCTGCTCGACTTCAAAGCTTGGGTTCTCTCGCGCCCGGACTTCATCAATCCTGGGGCGTTTTCTAGCGAGCTCACCCTTAAAATAGCGGATCCAAACTAAGTCACGCGACCTGACCTTAATTTCGTGTGGGGTTGAAGGATGGCTAAACCATGCGCAACCAATCCTAAATACCAATCACCCTCAACCAAAATTCTAGATCTTTGTCCTTCATGTGAAGTTCGTCGTGCTTTAAACTGTGAGCCCTAAGGAACCTGAAACTCTAAGCCCCAGACCTTATGCACACAACCCCAATGCCCAGCAACAAGCAGCAACATGAAAGACCCAAGCAAAGAACCCGAAGCCTTCACCCTGAGACTTTTCAGCCTTAAAACCCTATAAGCCCTAGACGCCTAGTTAATGAGGGACTCTGGTCTGTAGGCTGGAGAGGCAGCTTAAACACAGCAAAGCGTGAATGAATCCTGAATTGCTAGAGCTATAGGTTGCTGGGCTTTGGGGTTGTGTGCATAGGGTCTAGGGCCTACGGCTTGAGGTTCTTGAGGGCTCACTAAGGCACGATGAACCCTTCACATGACGGAATCTGGAATTTTGGTTGAGGCTGGTTGGTAATTATTCAGGTTTGGTTGCCCATGGTTTGGCTGTTTTTGGTAGGTTGAGGCCTGGCCATTTCAATGAACGTTGGCTGTTTGGGATGGGTCCAGGCCAAGGGTTGCAACCAGCCAATTTTTATCCAGGAGGCTGTTTTTGCACAAGCTTAGCATCCATACGCTGCGAGGCAGATGCCAAGGAGGACACCCAGGCTAGTTCCACGTCTGAACGCCGGTTCAGTAGACACTGAGACTGCTGGCAGGCTGCCTTTTCTTCTCCTCTTCTGCCGAGCTTCAAGGACTTCCTCAGGAACAAGAACATACATCACATGGCTCCACACAGCCCATTCTCGCGCCATGCTGGGCATCCCAATCACCCCCTGCAAGGGAATTCTGCGTAAGCATCCGGCCGTATGTCCCTGACCGATTACACATGGATTCTGTGGCTTTGGTAACTTTTTCGTGCTCTCTGCAGGATGCAGTTTTGGCCGAGCTGCATTTGCGCGGTGCTGTGCCGGTCCAGTTCACAGACTCACAGACCCAGGTGACAAAAGGATCTGCACACGGCAACTGCAACCAACTCAGGACACAACAGATGCCAATGCCGCAGAGGAGGTGGAGAAAGCATTTGGCAACTCGTCAGCACCGGCAGACTGCATTCTCCAACATTCGGCAGCGGGCCAGAAGCTGTGAAAAGATAGAAAAGAGCTGAGGATATCGCTTTCGTCGCTTGCTTGCAAAGCCTCAGAGGAGTTTGGCTAGTTTGGCTATCGCGGTTGGAAGTTTGGCCGACGTCTACTTGAGGAAACTAAATCATCAAGTTAACAGACATCTTGATTTCAGAACATGTACGAAGTGTTGAACGCGCATCTGCGCCCAGATGGCCCTTGATGGCCCTCATATGTGCCCTCATGATCCATGTTGGTGCAAGGAAACCGAACGCTGCTGCGCACACTGCGGGCGGAAGTGACGGGGGCACGACGCAATGGCTTCCAGCGATTGGAGTTCCTGGGCGATGCGGTGCTTCTGGCCAGCCCCGCTGGGACATTGTAAGTACTGCTCATGTTAGGCAAAGTGTCAAAGCATCTGTACATTGTGTCGCTCCCATGGGTTCATATGGCTTCTATTCCGCCTCTATGTCTACAGCTATTCAATCCTGTTCAACTGCGAAAGGTGGCTGTGTGCTGCCACATTATGCAGGCATCTGGGCGAAGCAAAGTGCGTCAAGCATCAGCAGTTCTCGACAACCAGCCTGGCCAAGTGCTGCAAGGAATATCCAGACTTTGACGAGGGAAAATTGCCGGCTCCTGTTTGTCGAGATCGTCTTCTCAAAAGACTACTGTATTGCGCAAGAGTGAGGTCGGAGACCCTGCATGCCTTCGTTTGCAACAGTTACCTCTCGCGGAAGCTGATCCGGCGGTTCGGCCAGGCCCGCAAAGAATCCATTTCGCGGCATTCAGATGTTGTTATTTGTTGGAGATATGGCAGATGGCCTGTCGGATCTGCCGTGTGTGCAGGCGCAAAGTCTCGCATCTGTGTTCTTTCCCGAGCAGTCACCACAGAGAGCGCTCCTGCCGGGCTATGTGGAGACTGTTTTGGCCAGCGAGGCACGTTGCCCGGATCTCTGTGGCGCAAATGGCCGCACATGTGACACAGTGTGACACAGGGGGGCAGTGTCAGGCGGGGACTGACTACGTCATCGGCCAGGCAAGTGAGGCACAAGCGGTGCAGCGGTTGCCGTCTGCCTTCTTGGATGTTTCTTGAGTCATCTTGTCGATCCTCAGGCCCAAGCTTTACCTAGCCGACTCAAATTCGTTGCGGACAGCTACGAGGCTAGTTTGGGTCGTCCCTTTGCAACATGCGCATGTGTCTTGAAGGTTACATGTGCTGACCCGAGGTGGCTCAAGAGGCTTGCGTAAGGGGTGCACAGGTGTCCTGTAAACAAAGAGTGGTGGAGGATGCTATCCGACGATCCTTATCTTTCTGGTGATGCTGGCCGCAGTACTGTATACTGCAATGCTTTGCGAAACACGACGCACGCGGGCCACATGTCAACAACGAATCACCAAAAGCCCTATTCAAGCTAAAAGCTTAAGTTCATCTGCTCAAAGCGCCTGTAGTTTTCCATGGCCGGCGGCCGCACTCAGGCCAGGAGCCTTGCTCTTGAAGAGGGATGGGAAGGGAAGGGCTGGGCAATTCTGCACAGCAGAGTCTGGTGTGGAAGGCCGTGGTCCATGTTGACCATTCGGCCATTGTCTCCCAGGCACAAATTGGATGGGTCATGTTTATCACCAAATCGCATCGCTTTGTTTGTCCCAGAAGAGGCAAGAGGGCGGGTACCACGCTTTTGAGGCCGGAAGAGAGTCCATTGAGCAGACTTTGCACTGGCCCATCAGACGGTCATTGTGTTTCCACCTGGTTTCAGGACCTCCAGAGCCCCATGGAGGCAAGATCGGCAAGATCGCACGCAGAAAGGGAAGAGGATGGGGCACCGACGAAGCCGCAGAAGGCACCATCTTTGCAACCGGAGCGTGCCAGAATGTCCAGTGTGCATAGAAGACCTCCGAGCACGCATGTGCATGCCGCTGGTCTGAGGAATTCGAGTCCCAGGCATCCAGCTGCAGCGAGCCGACGTTTCCCGCTATACGAAGAGCGCGGGCGACAAGAGAAAGACGGCAGTGGCAACGTCAGTCCATGCAGATCTTTGCACAGCGCCTGGAAGCAGTGGGTGGCTCAGAACTCAAGCTTCGAGTACTTGAAGTCAAGAATTTGGCAACTTCGGCATTAAATCTAGAAATCTAGCCTACAGTTACAGAAAATCATCCCTTGCCAAGACCTGAGGTGATGGAAGAGAGAGGGAGTCTCTCTGAAGCAACAGCGGAGACACCTCTCACGGATCAGGTGGACGAAAAGTCCTTTCTCCAAAGAGCTCGCACTCTTTCCGTGTCGACTGAAACTTGATTGCAATGAAGGACAGGCAGATGTGGCAGGCATGGGCAGGAAGCGCAGAACATGCTCATGGCAGAAATCAGAGAGCAAAATCCCCTTGCCCCCTTATCATGAGGGCCTTATCAGGAGCCCTTCAAAGCTTTTCAACTCTCGAGCGAAGAATCCGAACACTAAGGCCAACTCCATTGCAGCTTTTGCCTCCTGGTGGGTTACACCCGATGAGACTGTCCTCCGGCATCTTTCATAAAGGATGTTGAAGCATAACTGGAAGGGCCTAATATCGGGCCGGTAGCCGATGTAGCTAGCCTGCTAGCCCACGCATGACTGTAGAAGCGTCCTGAGGAGCCGCCTCTCGATCGGCAGCTTTCGAGGTCGAGCTTGGATTCCGACAGTGCTGACAGTGCGGCGGACTCAGTGACAAGAGTCATCGTGTCGTTGAATGTAAGAAACGCAGGGGTTCTTCATTGCTACCGGGTCAAGGGAAGCACGCGCAAGCTGCAGGTCCCTTCACCTGGAAGCAGGCACTCACTGTCATCACTGTCGTCGGACTCTGCGATCGGATTGCTCGGCGAAGCGCTTCTACGAGCTCGGGATGAGAATGAGATATCTCTTTCCCGGGCGAGACAGGCCTTTGCTCGCAAGCTTTGGACATTCCTTTCGGGGTTGCGAGTCCTCTAAGCAGGTTTATTGGGCCAAAATGGGAGCCAAAATGGGCTCGTGGTCAATTACCGAGTTTGACCGTGTTTAGCGTAACATAAAATGGGGCATGTCGTGCCAAGCTTGCGCTTCGTCAGCTCCGAACATGTGAGAACAATAATATCAGAAGCTGTGTCCTGGTGCTTCTAGGGTCGAGGGTTTCTGCAATCTGTCACGCGGACTATCGCAAAGCGAGACACACTCGGTGACCCAGCAGGTCGAGGTTTAGGCGTCAGTCAGGACCTGGACCCATGTACAGTAGAGCTGTTGAGGCCCAGTGCCGGTGAAACATTGTGTGTTCCCTGGCCTCCAAAACATTAAGGCCATTAAGGCTAAGGGACAGTGCAGAATTTGTTTGGCTTCCGAAAGGCTTGGGCACCTCAGAGCCAGTTCATCAGGTTTGTTTCTGAGGTTCTTAGGGCAGTACAGCCTGGACCCCCAGACCCCCAAAACATCAGCCGCAAGCTCCAGACTCAGGCCTCAGTTGCTGTGTACAACATATACGAGTCTCATGCTGGCACGAGCTGGTAGCCAGAAAGCAGAGCAAGAAGATACTACCTAGCAGCACATGTGTGCCAGGGAATCGATGGCATGACCTGTGCGCTGGCTGCACTGGCACAGTTGACGCTACCGCATGCTACCGCTGCGATTTCTCGGGCGCATATCATGGGCATTTCGCAATGACGTTCCAAGGCTTCTGTGAGCACTAGGGTGAGTTGCCATGTGAGTAGACCAGTCGGTTCATCACTGCTTCCGCCCGTCTTTTTTGCGAGACATGCGTGACCTGGAGCAGATGTCATCCAAGGTACGCTTTCACCAATGGGCATCGCCTAGTGCCGCTCCCATCCTGGGAAGATATTTGCAAACCGTACGCCCGCACCGCACACCGTAAAATTTAGAACTTAGAACCCTGAAACCCTTTAAGCAACGAGCACCGACCTTCAATCGAGCCCTTCACCCCCAAATCCTTCTATGTCGCAGCGGACAGAACGAGAACTCACGAAAATGCGAAAATGCAGGCTTCTGTGGCTCCCTTTGCCTACAGAATTGTTAAGAATTGTTCATCCTTACTCTAGCAAGAACCCAACAATTCAGCGCAATGAGGCATGAAGCTGTACGTAAATGGAGCCGCAGGAAGGATCTGGCAGTTTGGATGCTGTGGCAGTCAGTCATCTTCAGCTGTTTAGGTGAGTACGGCTGAGTGGTCCGTGATCCATCGTGTTTCAGATTTGACTGCTTGCAGATTGATCTGAACCGGATGCCAAATTGAGCTCCAGTGGCTGTAGCTGTTTACACGTGATGTCAGGTGCTGCTGCGTCGCGGTCTCAGGCCGTAGAAGAATTTCTCTGCTCGGTCCGAATGGAACGAGCATCAGTTCACGAACGTCCTGCTGCAGCGCAGCAGAAGATTTGAGCACAGCAGTCCTCGGCGAGCAGGAAACGGACTTAATCATGGGTGTACACTCGCTCTCCGAAACTGGGTGGTGCTCAAATGGCGTCATCTGTTGAGCAGCCAGTTGTCAGCTGCCATCAGCTGATAGCCCACCTTGAAATTCACAGTCTGCTTCTGGTACGCCTTCCACATGCTTTGCAAGAGATTTTGTTCGATTTCATCCAAAAGGCGCGTTCTTAGGCCCAGGCTGTCCTGCAAAGCGAAGGCCAAGGAGTACCTGAGAGCACCAGTGCTCCACAAGAAAAAGCAGAAGTGTAGCCAATGTGTGCAACGAAGTGGCTTAGCCCAACCTTACTTCCCTCATGTGTCATCAGCACTGTGCTTGAAGTTCTCACAGCACAGCTGGATCAAAGAGTATTCTGTGAGGCGTTGATTGCGGCGGTGCTGTTGGACACAGGCCGCAACTGCCCATTCCTGTATTGCACAGTGATCAGGAACATCAGGGTTCACCGATGTTTCGCGCACAGGTGGCGACATGGATGAGACCTGGGCAGTGTTCGCCAAGGATGTGCTCAAGTCGAGCGGCAGAGTCAAAAAGAAGCAGCAAAAGCAAGCAGATCTGAGCAGGACTTCGAGCTTCCCAAAAGCCAGGTGACGGAGAAAATAAGGCTCGCGACGCTACTCGCTTGAGTACAGCATGCCAGTTGCCTGTGGTCCAGGGCTTGGCATGATCACCTCCAATCAGCAGAGAAGCAGGAAGTTGGGCTTGAAAGCGGTGAGCAGCTTCCTGACTTGTACTTTGGCATGTAGCAGACAATGCCTTCGCAGTCTGAGTCATTTCTTGGTGACTGATGTGACTTTCCTGAGGTTGGTTGAGGACGTGCCGGAATTCGACAAGCTGCCAGAAGGAGAAGGACGCAAGCGTCTGCTGGACTACTGCCGGAGGCATCCTGCTTTCCGTCGCCAGAAGAGGGGCGAAGAGCAAAGCAAAAGAGCACGTAAGAGAGCACCTTTTTTCAGGCAAGGTGTAAAGGTGCGCTTCGAGGCGGTGCCAGCTCGGGGCTCGGTGACTTGGTGAGACCGCCTTCTGTTTACATGACGGTTTTCTCAAGATGCATCAATATAGTAAGTACCCGGAAAGGTCAACGGTGTATGATGGTGTATGTATGCTATGATCTGCCAGCCGCAGATCGCAAGTCGTGTCTCCACGGGTGTTCGTGATTGTTCGTGTAGTCCCTTTTTGTCGTGTTTTCGTGCCGTGTTTCCCGTCATGTCGTCACGTCGTGTTTTCGTCATGTCATGTTTGGTGTCTCAGTCTTGCATCTTCGCGTCGTGGTTTCTCGTGACCTGTGTCCGCGTTCGGGTTCGTGGCTCCTATCAGGTTTTTCATAATCCGGATTATGAACCAAAGCTTCACGTGGACGGAAGGCCTCCGGTTGTAGCGCAACTTTGCCGATTTCGGTTTTCGTTTGGCATGCTGAGGCAGAGGAAACTTCTGGCGAAGTCCGGATGTCGCTGTCTGAGCTGAAAGTTGCTTTACAGACATCTTTTGTTGGTCGATGGTCCTCAGGAGATGCGTGGTGGGCGGACGGTCACTCCCAGAGGCACAGGATTTGTGGGGCCGCAAGTTAAGAGTTGCGCTTGCGTAGGTATATGTTCTATGTCAGATGTTAAGATCTAGCTTTACCAAGCTGCGGTTGCCTTGTCTCATCTTGTCTCTGTGCCCAGAGGCGAATGGCGTGTCCATGAAACATGCGCAGGAGCCGCTAGAGTCGCTGGAGTCAGCAAGAGCTTTGCCCCCATCCCCACCTTGAGCATGACATGCAGCCTCGTTGCAGATTAGCTTCGTTGTCGTCCTGCGTCTGCATCGCATCGCAGGATGTGGCAGCTGAAAAGGCACTTTGGGAGTTGTTACGTCACGAGCTCAGAGAACGAGAGAACACATCACTCAGACAGAGAACACAGAACACATCACTCAGGGATCTCACAAGCTTGGAAACATACAAGGAAACAGACAAGTCCAAAAAGGCAGCTTCCAGCAGTTCAACCGTAGCTTCCGAGGACTGCCGGACAGGAAGCCAGAGACGAAGCACGAGGGACTTTCAGGTGCGACTGATGTGGCGTATACTGGAGTCACCATGGCGTAGGCGAGAAGGGCTGTCACGGGCTGTCACGGGCTGTCCAGATGCGGAGATGCCTTCACAGTCGCTGCAAGCAGCGCCAGCTTCCCAGGCACGGGCAGTCACGGGCATGGTGTGAAAGTGCTCCCGTGGACTTTGGGGGCTGTATAGTATTCCCTGCCAGTGTTTGCACATATTTGCACATGCTTTTCCCCTGGGGCGCTTCTGTTGGGAGTAAAGGACATGCGCCCCACCGAATTACCCACCCAACCCACCCCCCCCCCCAACCCCCAACCCCCCAACCCACGCCCCCCAACCCACGCCCCCCCCGCCCCCCCCCCCCCCCGCCCCCCCCCCCCCCCCCCCCGCCCCCCCCCGCCCCGCCCCGCCCCCCCCCCCCCCCGCCCCCCCGTGCTCCTCCATGCTCCTCGTGACGTGCAGAAGTTCTGCAGCAGAACTGTCGTCGCCTTTGGGTTCCGATCATGCTCCCCGGCTGCTTCCCGCGTGCATTCCATGTTTTGAATCGTTGTCATTGAGTCATCGCATGGAAACATATTCCAGTGAAGTTAATGCACACTGGCCCTCTCACCGGACTTGTAGTTCAAATGCATTGATGGACAGAGCTGCTCCCCGAAACATGTACGCGTCCACACTTCACTCCAGCATTGCGCACTGTGGTCGATGCCGGTATAGGTCTTACTGAAATCCGTGAGTGCATGCCTTCCCTGAGCCAGAAGGTTGATGACCTCTCGCTACAGAGACCCAAAGGTGTCGCGCGCCAGGACAGCCTGAAACATGGCGTTTGATACTCGAGGAAGTGCACGAGCTGGCCCTTGCACCGCGCCAGGATCTTCTACGATACTGCCAAAGGAGCTTCTTGGAATCGGGTAGCACGGGTCGTGTGTGTGTGTGTGTGTGTGTGTGTGTGTGTGTGTGTGTGTGTGTGTGTGTGTGTGTGTGTGTGTGTGTGTGTGTGTGTGTGTGTGTGTGTGTTTGTGTGTGTGTGCAAGAGAGTGAATTGCAGGAAAGGCCTGCAGCAACGCTTTCTTGAGGACGAGGACAGAGCAAGAAGTGAAGTAGTTAGATTGTTAATGGCACACAGTTCCCAGAGCTCAGGCAAGTAAAGGTCGTGCGGCTAACTTCATGGCCAACCGACAGCACAATACCAGCTTGCATGCGGTGCGCTTTCCTCATGTTTTGCGGCTGTATCTGGGCGCAAGGAAGAGGATGAAACCAACGCCACGACTTACTGCGTGCCGGAGCCTTACGATGGCAGAGAATGCAGCTTCACTTTGCAGTCGAACCAATCATGCAAACTGAGGCGAGCCAAAGTGGAGGAAATAGTTTACCCCGAGGCAAGAGCAAAAAACAAAGGTGCCGCGCAGGACGAGTGGGCAAGACGGCAAGTTGTGCAGACTCTAGACACACCACAAACCACTGGGTCTCCGGGGATCCCTCCATCCCCAGCAAAGGACATGGCAGCAGAGCTGGCTCTCCTTGAGCTGCGCGGCGCTGCACCAAGAGCTTACCTGGTTTACCACTCTGCGACTTCTGCAGCTATGGGATCCTCTAGGGTAACATGCGTCGCTTTAATTCGCTGAGCCGATGTGCAAGTGTAAGGACCCGACGAAGAGGTGCAAAACAGTCAGGTCTCCGAAGGTGCAGAGACGGAGAGAGGCGAGGAGACGAAGAGTGTGATGTTATATTTGTAGTCCTCACGCAAGTCTCGCAGTGCTGTCGGACGCACAAGGCTTGTGGTGGGGATTCTGGTTTTGGTGGCTCAGAATAATTCGGCTACCCCGGACAAAACGGAATAGTCACCCGCCCCAGCTCCGATGAGAAGAGCAAGACACATAGTCAGCCAGCCGTTTTAAAGCTAGTAGCCAAAAGCTCAGCTTCTGAACGTTGCAGAGAGAAAGACAACCGGGCTTGAGTGAATAAGCTTCAACTGGTGGCAACTTGGCTCTGGCACAGCGTTGTTGCAACGCTACAAGTAGTCGAATGTACGCAGCTCCAAAGTTCGAAGCGCCCTCCAGCAGGCCCAGCATCGCAAGCTGCGATGGTGCTGCAGAGAGCTCCCGAGGTTCCTTGGCATACCGTTTTTCTACGAAGACAAGCGGTAAAGCAGAGGTAAGGCGGCAGTAAGCAGACCGTCCAAGTTTTGGGTTGAGATGGCCTGAAGTTGCAGGACTTCAGCCTAGACAGCCTGCCATCTGCCCGGCCGAAGGGTGTTGATCGGCAGGACAGGCTTCTCAGCTCCTCCTTTCGCTCTCAGCTTCGCCATGCTGTTGCGTGCAATATGGTCTCCAAATGGTGCAATGATGTGCAATGTACAGGAGTTGCAGAGCCACTGCTCGAGGCGCAGGGAAAATATCTTCAGTCGCATTTCGAGGCTTCCCACCTTCAGACTTGGCTCACCGCTTCGTTTTTTCAGGGCGAAGCTAAACCTGGCGTTCAAAGAGGAGGACGGGATTAATCGAACCGAAGTTCCCTTAATAAATTGAGCACCAGCGGAGCACCAACGCGAGCAGTCCTGCGGCTGGAAAGGTGTCCGGCCAGAGCCACTGCCCTACCTTCCGGGTGCGGGAGGCTTACCCGACATGCTTCCGCAAAGTCACAAAGAGTGACAACAGGGAGACAGCAGCTGCTACTGAGCCGAGGTGTGCCATTGTGCAGGGGAGAGGGTACCCTCAGGCACTGCGAGCAACACAAGAGAAGAAGCAACATGCACCAACGTACCAGAACCAGTCTTCGAAACAAGAGTACTATACAACCGGTCTTCAAAACTGCATCCGTACATGAACGCGTTGCCTGACAGGCATCTGCTGGGACCAAGGATAAAGCCAAGGAGCCTTAGTGTGTGGGAGGGGTCTTCAGATGTTTGCTGTTGCGGTCCTTGATTTGAAATTATAGAGTTGGGCACGACTTTGTCGTAGCATAGAAGAGGATCTCGCAGCTGCCTACGCGCTACATTGCCTGCGGCGAAGCCCTGTCTGATTGCATCCGCGCAATTGCAACATCTTGCAACTCCAAGCTCCCGTGCAACATGCGAAGTGACAAGTGGTCTTCACCTTCGAAGGCAACCTAGCATCGGGAGCGCTGGAGCTTGTCACGCTGCCGTTTCTTGCACGAGGTTCAACGACAGGCACCTTGCGGAAGCTGGTCTCTGCTTTCACTCAAAAGCAGAGGCCAGCTTCCCCAAGGTGCCTGTCTTTGCACTCCGCGCTTTGATCTGGAGCTTCGGCCTGGCTTGATGGCTCGACGCGGGCGCAAAGCAAAAACAGAACTCCTTGGGCACACCATGGCACACATTGGCACACCCGACTCTGCCGCAGCTTCCTTGAAGCCACAGGTGGTCGACGGGAGAAGCCGATCAAGTGGCCCAAGGGCACGTCGGCGGCTCAAGAGCAAAGTCCGTGTCCAAAGGACCTCGTCTGAGAATTGGGCGGAATGTATGGCGCAGTGTTGGCCCACCTGCAGACTTCCACCGCTAAAGTTGCGCTGTTTGCTTCTCAAAGCCTCTCACACCTGGCGGCAGCTCTTACCGTTGCAAAGAGATGCGCGTTGTGAGGTCTGACAAAATCTCGAAGAAGTTTGCCTGGATGAAAGGCGGGTGCACCCTATTGACAATGCAACAGAGTTACGGGCCGCTGTGAGGGGGTAGGAGGGATGGGCGGGAGTTGAGGGGTTGGAGGTTACAGCATTTTTTAGGGTATTTAGGGGGCACCGCCAGTTCAAGATGTGATGGCCTTCTTTGCAGTGAAGGCACCGAGTGGAACTGGAACAACTGGAGGAACGTCAAGTTCCAGAAGGAGTGAAGCTGCATGTGGATGCTAGGATCAACATGTGCAAGTGCAGTAGTGCATGCTGCCATAGAGTAGTACCGGCTTGTACGGCACACTGGTTTGCTTTGTTGCCCAGAATGGGTGTGCTTCGGGTTCGGCCATGGTGTTCCATTGAAGTCCCAGCCTCCCTGAGCACCACAGCGTTGAAATTCAGTTTTTAACCAGAAGACTGAGACAATTGAGACAATGTCTCATGCCGATCCAAGCGCAGCGAGACTCTGAGAACCCCGAGGATGGCAACTTCGAAGCCCCGACCAACGACTGCCAGCGCGGTCAGTGCAAATGGTCGGCCAACAAGGGCAAGGCAGAGAGCCGTGGGTTGTCTCAGTTCGTCCCTTCGACGTCTTCGTCACTTCGCCTCAGATCTTTGTCCTGTGGGGCCAAGCTGGGGTACACGAGCTGGAGATCGCCCGGCTCTCAGCTCTCAGATGCTCTCATCTTCGGAACACGAAAAGCGTGCCAGTGGAAATATTATGTTTGGGTCTGAGGTCGGCGAGGTGCCAACAGAGCAGAATCAACAGAAGATGCAGGGCATGACAATGAGGTGCCGATCATGGGCTCATGGTGGCTTATGGTCAGCTCATGGCATCTCATGTAGTCTCATTTGGCATCTCATGGCAATAGCACACAGCCAATCACCCGCAGCAAGCAGAGGGGGCGCCGCGTCTCCGACGGCGACAGGTGCTCCGCCGTTTTCCAGCGAGCTACCAGGCTGATCATTTTAGGCAACGTGTTTGGTGCAGTTTTTGACTGCAGTTTGACTTTTTAGCCGCTTCAGCCACTTTAGGCACCTGCCTCGAATGATAAGGTTTTCGATCATGAAGCTGCTGAGCTGGACAAGGCTCTCGGCATTCACAGAGTGGACAGAGTGGAGGGAGCCGAGGGGGAGAAGACCGTTCACATCTTCACACCTTGAGCTTCTTGAGCTTCTTGAGCTCCGACAATAGGACCTCTACGAGATCCTGGGCCTTCAGGCGCTGGGATCTATCACCGAACCGCTAACATGAAGTTGCCTGAACCCGCTGGTTGCATTTTTACCCCTTCCACCTGCCTGAAAATCCCTCGCCGCAAGTGGCCCCTTGCACCGAGCATTAATACTTGACAGTCCTCGTGATCAGTACGGCAGTCGGGCGCGTGCCGCAAAATTATCTGATATGGAAAGAGATCGGGATGGGAATGGAAGCCCCGTGTCTAGCAACGGTGCGATGTCAGGAAGATGCCGACGAGGCTGACATCAAGAAGGCCGGAGCAAGGTGCCAAGTCATTCCAGTGCCCTGCAGTATCATTTCTTGGCAGGTCTATCGCAAACTCTCCATCAAGTATCACCCGGACAAGAATCCCGATGAGGAGTCCAAAAGGTAAGCCGGTGAGGAGGAAGGGCCTTTCGGCAGAATCTGTCGTGGGAACACTTGCTGTTTAGGAAGTTCGGCGAGATTCGGGATGCCTACGAGGCTAGGCCGACGAATCATGCTGACCTTCGGCTGGACTCGCCTTGCTTCTAGATCCTGAACGACCCGGACAAGAAGATCCTCTATGACACTGGCGGGATGGAGGCATGAAAGAAGCTAAGGTTCGGTTTCAACTGATTGGCTGGGTTGTTATAGTTTTACAGGCTTACAGGCCCTCGAGAAAGGGATTTTGGGTCATGGGAGCCACTGGAAGTATGCCGTTTTCAGGCCAAGCGTTTGCTTGGTGATGCAGCGGCATCGCAAGGGTAGGAGTGAAATGTCAACGCAACTGCTGATCTCGGGAAGTGTACTCGTACATCTATCAGCCATTCGAAGACGCCAGGCGGCAGAGTCCAGCAGCTAGAGGGATGTTTTCAGACCAATGCCTTCACCCTTGAAAGTGAGATCCGTGATTTTGCGAGTCTGTGTTGCAGCAGTTCGCTTACTTAGATTTGAACTGGCAGCTTAAGCATGTTCGCCCGTTGCCAGGCCGTAAAAAAGGCCGAGAAGGGTGAAATCGAGAAAGGCCTACTCGTAAGCCTTGCACATGCTTGCGTCATGCGGAAAACGCCGAATTTGTGCTTGCAGTGTACTGGCTAGGTGAAGATGCCAAGGCAAATCTAGCGGCTGAGACCCCAGACGCCTTCTCGAAATGCACCCCCGCCCAACGGCCTCATGATCTCAATCGGTTCTGCGGTGTTTGCATCATGTTTCAACTCCCTCACTCCACAACCTGTGGCACAAGTAGAGCAAAAGGTCACAAGGGAGTCATAAAGCCAAGAACCGAACCAGAAGGCAGCAACTTATCTTTCCCCCAGAAGTACCTGATGCTTCCCAATTTGAGGTGAGCTTGGAAGACCTGTACAACGGCGGCAACAGGAAGGTGGAATGGCTGCGACACCCTGGAGTGAGCTCCGCTGAGATCTTGGCGAGTTGACCCACGTTGCTCAATTCTAACGACTTCTGTGGGAGGCGGAGATCGCGCGTCGAATCGTCTGCAGAGGCTGCAGAGCTCCGGCCTCATAAGTGCGTGTGTCACAGTGTGTCTTCGCGGAGCGGCGGAGCGGCGGAGCCACAGAGCTTGAATCAGGTGAAGCCCGATTCTCCCAAGTGCCAGGGCTGCAACAGGTGCCTGGGCCTTACCTCACAGCGGCGCTGTGGCGAACACCATCGAACACTTGTCATTGTGGAAGTGCCCGAAGACGCAGTCCGACCTGGAAGCAGGATTGCCCATGCTGAGGTCCAAACGAAGTGAGGCTCGCTTTGCGCGCGTTCTGCCGAGCAGATCAACCCGCCAGAAAGCTCATTTGCAGCTGTGTGCAATAGAATTGTGCAGTGCAGGTTAGTGAACCGCCAGGCACGGCACGTTCCGATGAGCTTGCCGAACGTCAGTGTGTGTGTGTGTGTGTGTGTGTGTTGTATGCGCAGGTCGGTCCTGGCATGTTCATGCAGCAGCAGGAAGAAGTCCAAAGTGCGCTACCCCGGCGAACTCCCTGTATCTCTGTACCAGTCTAAACCTTGTCTGTGGTAGGGTTGCGACTGGCTCAGGTCAGGAGAAGTGCAAGCAGGAAGTAGCCGAGATAGATGCTCACATAGAGAAGGCCAGAACATGAGTTGCGGTAACGATTCATGCTGCAGCATGCGGTTTTCTGCTGGATTGTTCTGGCAGGGAATGAGAGACGGCGAGAGCCTCACCTTCCCTCGCATGACCGACCAGAGGTCTGGCGGCCCTGTGGGACTCCTTTTAAAGCACCTCTCAAGCACGAATCGGCACATGCCAGGCCTGGCATGATCCCTGGCAGCATGATCTTGACACTCAAGGCGCCTCGCATGGAGCTCGATCACAGCGTCTTGATCAGATCCGAGCTGTCAGGTTGCAAGGCACCCGGAGTTCGAGAGACGCGGGGATGACCTGCACATGAGTGCCAAGGTCGCTTGCTTGGATAGGCATCCCTTTTCTTTGAGGGCGGCTGGGGGGTGGGGGGTGGTGGTACGAAAGTGGTTTCGAGCTGGCCCTCTACGCAACATCTTCTGTACGAGTCTTCTGTATGAGGTGACGCTTCGAGAAGCTCTCCTTGGATGGACGAAGACCATCAGGCACACCTGTGCATATCTGCACAATCTCTACACCTTCACGAGAAGTGTCACGACTGCACCCTCTCTGCAATCCAACGGGTGCGCCTCAAGTTTTCGGTTGAATCTTTAAAGTCATCTAGGCACCCTTTTGACAGCGAAGGGCTGGAATGGCTCTTCCAAGAGAAGGGAAAGCATTCAGCAAGAGCCGGAATGGCTCGACATTTACACATTTGCTAAGCGTGCCTTATGCCATCCCACGATCAATCTGTCAGTTGTGATTTCGACATTCGCCCACAGCCAGCCAGCCATATCTCTGCCAGTAGCATGGCAAGACATGGCAATCCATGTTTGCTCGAGCTCAAGCGGTGAAACATTGTTTTAAAGCTCGCATCTGGAGTGCTTCCTCAAGCCGAAGGAGGGCGTCCCGGTGGAGGCTAATGATATCTGTCGATCATATCGATCACTTGGTGGACAAAGAAAGCCCTGGCAAGACCCAGAGCTGGCGTCAGGTGCACAACTAGCACCACCGCATTCACCAGCAGCGGGTAGGGGGGGGGGGGGGGGGGGGGGGGTAGGGGTCGCCCTAAAAAAGGCAGGCAGGCCATGTGGGTGGCCCAGGAACTCGTTTCCCTTGTCCTGTAAACTTCCTGGAGTGCAGCCTCACCCCTTTCATCCTACTTCTCACCTACTTCTACCAGTTGTGTTGTACAGAAAACGACTTTTGCAAGTGTACCAAGACAATCAACAGGGCGAAGATCAACATCGATGAGCAGAAGGCGATGCAAAGAAGCGAGTTCCGCAGCCCAAGCACAAGCGCCTGGGTTGTAGAAGCCTGCACGAAGAAAATGCAAATTCTCCATGCGGCAACTTTCGACTGCACCTTCTACACCCACCTTACATTGCTCAAAAGGCCTGCGCTTTGCAGCACGTGAGGGCAAACCCATCACCGGTACATACCAGAATAGCTATCCGTTACAAGATTATAACGGACAAAACTCCTCTCCGCTACAAGGGTTTGTGTCCGGTACAAGGGTGAGTAACGGATAAGCGCATAAGTTGTTGACTTGGAATGGATGATTTACGGAATGCTGGACGACGTGTTTTTGTTCACCAGTGTGTCGGATGTGTTTCGACGCCGGACGATGTGTTTCAGTGTATCGGACGATGTGTTTCAATGGACTGGACGGCGTGTTTCGGTTTCCACATGCAGTGTTTCGGTTAGCCGGACGATGTGTGTACCGGATGATGTGTTTCGGTGTACCGGATGACGTGTTTCGGTGTAGCCTCAGTGGTTGTTGTCAGGCATATGGATGGCCACACGGTGGAGATCGGTTCTTGCCTCAGCCGAACTATCAGACCATCAACAGACGAGATCACGGGTATTGGAAGGAACCGACAGCGTTACCAAGCCCTTCCAAGTCATCAAGGCCAAGAGTATTAAGAACGTCATCTGCATGTGACAGCATGTGCATGTTGTTACGTGAAACTCGTCTCGCCGCTCAGGTGAGAGGTGAGGGCATGCCGCTGCGAGATGTCGCCCTCCTCAGCCTTGGCGTGGTGCTGTGGCAGGTGGCGCAATCGCTGCCTGTACCAAGGATCCATCAAGTTTCGGTGACTTGTACGTCAAGGTGGAAGCCGGTTTCTGAGATCCTTCGAGTGCACTGGGGTGCACTGGGGTGATGGTTTGTTGGACGTGACGAATCCTGGCTTCGTAGACTGTGGGAGTCGGCTGCTGCCAGAATCAGCTTGAGGTCATGTTCCCCCGCGCACTCACCGGGACTCAGCAGGACCTGTGACACTGCTCTAGGGCCGGTTCCAGCATCACCTGTTGCCTAGCAGGGCCTTGCGACATGCAAGAGCATGCGAGAATCTGCAGGATCAAATCTCAAGCATCTTCTCTTGAGCCGGGACCTGAGAGTTAGAAACTTGTGCAGCAATCAGAAACCAGTGGCAGGATCCGACGTCCTTAGGGATTATGATAGGGGCATTTAGTCTGGGTTTTGTGACTTATGTGTTTTCGGGCATGGGGCACTTCTTTGAGATCCCGCATAGAGAATCGAAACTGGTTGCAGCTGCATCAAAGGCCTTATTGGTCGGAGGTTGGCAGGCTTGCGCTAGATGTGCTGAAGATAAAAACGAAGGAGGCAGTTGCAGAGGGCCTGTCTGTAGGCTGCCTCAAATCGTTGTTTTAATGCACAGCTCCAGAAACCACATCTTCGACGACGTTGAACCTACGCCTCCTGCGCCGTGCCACGAGGCGTCTCCACGGCCAGCGACTAGTTCGATTATCTGAGGGCCCTTGAGCTTCGTTGGCTGAGATTGCTGCAAGAGCTGCCATGATCCATGGAGCAGATGATGGACTTCAAGCACACAACATTTCATGAAGACCTTAATTCTACCAGGCTAGCATTACCACTCACATCAGTGTGTATCAAGGTTGAGATTGGTGGTGGACTACGTGCGATCGATAAACAAGCAAAGCGGGGATCAGAAGCAAAAGTTAGGTTCGTGTCACCGCCTCGCGCTCAGCGCCAAAGACCAATCAGCCGGTGCTTCCGCACCACCTCGTCTGAGAATGGCGGGCTCATCCATTGCTCAGTTCAACGCTTCGGCAGACTGAGTAGACTTCACGAGCGAGGACTGAGCCTGCCATTCAGCCGGTTACCCCAACGGGCACAAAAGAACACTTTGCACACTTGGCCGTGGTCGTGGCCACAGCGCAGTGGTCTTTCTTTGCACTATCAGGGCGTCGTTTTGTCTCCGCTTTAGTTGAACAAGTCGTAGTCGTTCGAGGTTTGGGGTCTTTCTGTGAAGACTTTTTTCGCATTGCCTGAAAAAAAGATGTGCAGTCACGTTGCAAGGTGCGGATCTGGTGAATTCCAAGTTCTTTGGCTCACGGCGACCTGTAGGTGTTTGCAACTCCTTTACAGTTTAGCCATGCCGCACCGTCCCGCAGCTGGGCAAGCAAAAGACAAGTCCTGTAAGGTATAGCAGGAATAGTAAAAAAATCTGTGCACCCTGTGCATGACAGAACGGAGCTCCAAAGAGCGTGACCAGAAAAAGTGAGAGGTGCCAATGTCACACTGGCGAGAGTACGACCATGCTGTTATGGCGCACCTGGCCTGACCTTGGCTGCCAGCTCTTGTGAGCCTTGTGTGTCTTGGATGCCCCACGTACATCTAGCGTTCTAGTAGTGTCGCCAGGTTGAAACTCCGGACAAGTGCTGCCGGCCAGATAGCGTTTAAGCCCTGTGCGTGCAGTTTTTCAGCGAACTGTGTTGCCGGCATTCGGTGAATATCACTTCATGTCAGGCTGCCGCGCCCTTTGAGGCAACGTTTAGAACCAGGCTCGCCTCATACGCCTTGGACATGCCACTAAATTCTCGGCGCCACATATGAACGACCACTAGGGCGGAATTCGATTCACCAGTGAACGCTCGAAACCGTCCCTGCGGAGGCAGCTCACACACATCGTTGAAGCCAGTGCAGCCAGCTCAGATGCTGGGTGCATGGTACATCACTCGCTCAGATGCCGGATCGGTGTTTTGTGTCATCATTGGCAGAAAGGGGCAAGTTCATCTTCTCGGTACCTTCAGCCTTCATTCAAGGTTGCAGGATCTTCCCAGACCATCCGTTCCAGCTGCGCCTGTCCCGGCCTCAACAAGTCATGAGCTCAAAGAAAGCATGAAACAAAGCGGGTTTCGCAATTTCCTAGTACGGGGTTCAAGCAAGGTGGACATGTTTGGCCGGGCGGCTAAGGAAGAGCAAGTTACATTCAAACCAGAATAACATAGAATAACTCTCTTAAAACTGACCCTCTCCACTCGGGGGCGTGGGCTTTCGAGGGGAATTCGAAGGGGGAGGGGTGGTTTATCTCAGGTCGCGGGTTTTTTCGTTTTTCTTTTGTGTTTGGGTTTTTTTATGCGTCGCGCAGCGTCTACTTGCAGAAACCAGGTTTCATGCTAGTATGTATGTCTTCGGCATCATATGCACACAATATTGAATAAGCTGTTCTGCCAGCTTCTATTTGCAGTTTGCTGTTTCCATGGTGATTTTAGCAACGCAGGAAAAAGGTGTTCCATCAGGTGTCTACATTGTGTGTCTATGAGAATATCGCAGCAGATGGTCTGTAACTTCGGAGTTGATAATCATGCCTCCTAGCTGCATCTGTCATTCTTCGATGCAGTGTGGTTCGAGCCCTGTCGTTTCATCCTTGCAGTCACGTCGAGGACCCTGGGGTGTGCATGACATTTTTTCTTGGCTCTCATGGACAGGAGCAGGGTGTTTTGTTTGGCTGGCGGAAATGTTTCGAGGCGCCGCTGCTGCCAGCGGAACTTCCAAAAAGCATCTGCATTTTTGGGCCGCTGCTTTTGTTTGGTGAGTCAAAGACCTTGATGTTTCTTTTTGGTGTCCACCTCCCCAAAAATGTGCAAAACCACGCAGTTGGACTCAAACCGAGCACGGTACTTGTGGGGAATAAAGTGTGCGCCGGCGGCGGGAGCTGAAACTCTTGAAAAGCAGCTCACACCATCAAGGCCCCTGGCCCCTTAACCCTGAAGCACAAATATGCACCGGTGATACAACTTGGTGGCTATCCGATCATCCGCTCCATGAAAGCAGAAAAGCAGCAAGTCCTGAGACTGAAGCCCCAGCAAAGCGCTAGCGCAGTGAGCTGATCAGCGTCTCTCGACATCCACTGGGAACAGGCGGAGGACATTCAGGGCGACAGAGGCGTGCTGTGCGGCTTGGCCTTTCTGGAAAGCCTGGCATTGCTGAAAGCCGTAGCCTCAGCATGCAACGTTGGGATTTCCTCTAGGGCAGAGGTGTTTCCGGCAACCGTTTGCTTTTCAGAGAAGTCCAGAAGTAAATGTAAAACTAATGTAAATATTTGGCATATTTAAATAGGTATTTATACATCCAATATAGAATATAACTATACATGTACATGTAAGTGTCAATATAAACATGTGTATGCCTCATCGGCTGGAATTGCCGATTGCTTAGAATGTACGCAGATTGTAGGCATTAGCAAAGGATCTCGAGGCACATTCGAAAACCTAGGTTGTTGACATGTTGCCGGCTGCCACTGTCCGGGACCGAGATAAACCGTTGCTGCCGGATAGTCGAGACTCGAGACGTGCATGTCTGGCAGGCTGCTTGCGCTTTGTATGTCTTGTTGGGGATTCTGATCTAAGCGCCCACAGGCAATCAGTCAATCAATCAATCTGATCTAAGTGTTGCTATGTACTAGTTCGCGCATGAAAAAAGGGGGGATCCCATTGCTCTGCACACTTTTGGAGCACACAAGGAAAGCTTGGAAGTTTTCGGCCCTTCCTAGCAGAGTCTGCTTCCGTATCTTGAGCCCTCTGAGCTCTTTGTTTGTTGCCTCCCCTCGCAAGAAGGGAAATCTAGTCAGCGCATTGCTGTGCATTCCTCTTTCAAAGTTCAGCCAATCTGTTCGCAGTAGATGAAATAGAGCCCGGAAAATGGATGAGCCATTGTGTTACAGTATCATCTTGGAAGACCTACTGCATGGAGTTCTAAGTCCTTTTGAAATTGTATCGCATCATGTGGAATGCAGCCCGTGCCGACGGAGCACTTTTCGAAGCCCGATTCAAGCAATGGAGTTTCCCAGCTCGCCTTCACATAGAGTGTGAGTGTGTAAGACAAAAATGTAAGGTCTATGGGCACATGGTCTATGTGGCATATATAGGTCTTGTGGTTCAGAGGAGTCTGTATATGACTGGAGCCGGTAGAAGTGTACATCTAACCCGATGACTGAGGCGGGCATGATAGATAGCAACAACGTGATTGAGAGTCTACAGCGGGGCTTCAGACTTTGGTGGCTCAGTTCGATGTAAGCTGTTGTTTGCAACGTCTCAGATTTGGGGTGCATTTCCGGATCACCAAGATGAAGTTTCCCCTTGCAGCTGCAATACTTTTGACGTGCTCCGAGGCTTGTGTAGCCTGGCGTCGCCTGGTAGATTCCGCAGAGCTGTGGCACATCGCTACTCCACGCCTGCGCGTGAAGCCAAATCCTTCGACCTTGGCTCGTATTAACTATGTATTAACTCGAGTCTCTGCCTTGAAAGCCTTCGATTCGTAGAGTCGTAGACAGCTTCAGTGAGGTGTGATTGACCGAATAGTGTGGAAGAGCAAGATTTGCGAGCGCAGGCCTTCAGCCCAGTTTGCGCGACCTATTCAAGGTGATTTCTACATACTTCCACCACACTTGCAACACCAAGATCTCGTGGTTCCATGCGATCTGGCATACTTCTGGGGAGTCGCAGACAGGACCTCATGCATACTTCTTGCAGCCAATAAGTGTATGTGTGCTGCCGCAAAGCCTTTTTTCAGGAAGTGGCTGTTAGATGCATTGATCTCCGGTGCCGAGCCTATTTGTACCTCAGCGCGTGCTGATGTGTCACCTGCAATCGTCAAGACTTTTGGCTAGGACCCATTGCTTGCTGTATCGTCTTGACCAGCTGCCGCAGAAGCATGATGAGAACTTGTTCAGGCCAGTTCTGGAGACTTGCTGAGGCACATGAACGCCTCGCAAGATGATGGCTTGGTACCCAGTGTGGTTCGGGAGGCCTGCTACTGTCGGTGTCTTTGGCTGGATCATGCACTCAACCCTCCCTGCCTCGAGCAGCTGACCGCACACCACAAAAGCCATAACCAAGGAGGTTTGCCAGTCCGACGCTCTTCCTTCAGCCTAATACTACTAGCTTACTAGCTTAAGTCTGCTAAGCTTCCCAAACACATGCGCTCCTCCCTTTCGAGCAGGTGGCATTCCTACACAGCCTAGCTCGAATGCGGCACAGCTCCTTCGTGCGACTCGTGGCGGTGGAGGCTTCTTTGTGGACCCGTCCTGAACCGTCACCCCGAATGTGTCGAAAAGCTTGTAGAAGGTGACGGATGACTTCGTGCACATCGTCATGACAAAAATGGCACAGTCCTTCAACGTCGCTGCCTCAAGAAGCGCCGTTGCATCACGTGCCATAGCTTTCGCATCAAAGCAGATGGTGTTCTTTTGACTCAGTTCTGGGCCTCACACTCGCCTACGCTTCCCGACCCTCGTCTACACTGAGTCGTCGAACTGTCACAGAGCCTTTTCGCCAAGTAGTTCCTCAAGTGCGACGCATGTGGCCATGCAGCTAGGAAATTTGTGACTTTTTCAAGCAGATGTGGGGGCCTTTGATGCATCGTACACACTTGTGCACCTCTTGAAGAGACCCATGAAGTCACTCGAGCTGAAGCACTGAAGCACGTCCTTGTTGACCTTGGCAACTCTTGCTGCACTTTGCCAGAGGCTCGAAGCAGTGGCATTCTTGCATGCCAGAGGCGCAGCCTGCGTACTTTTTGCATAATTACAGGAGGCCAAGTCAACTGTGCTGCACTGTTCACGTTCTTCACGTGCGACGGTCAGACTCAGGTTCGACTCTGGCTCAAGAGGTACCCTGCCCCTGTCGCCTCAGAAATCCGCAGATGGAACTCGTTTAGTTGGAAGGGCGCACCTTCCATCACTGGCCATGCTTCAGTTTGCGGCACGGCCGTGGTTCAGGCAAGATCCTCTGTCCAAAAACTTCAAAAAAATTGCAGATGCTGCCACCCCTGTTGCGCAGGCTCTCATGGCTTCTCTGCATGACCTCCCAAGTGGTTTTGGCGCAGAATAGCACAACCAGTGCGCTCGGCAGCAGCTTGACCAGCCCCGAAATGTCCCGAAATCCTCAATTCTATTCAGTGCTTTAGAACTTTTAGGGCTTGCAAAGAAGCCTTGCACCGGTTCGCACCTCCTAGTTGAAGGTCCTCCTTTGGAAGTTCACCATGTGGCCTCACCCTCGGGCACGGAGAGCACTCATGGAATGATGAAAGGGTGCAGAATAATTGCAGAAGAATTGCAGAAGTTGCTGCGATCCCACGTCATGCCCTCTCCTCCCAAGGGCAAGTCCAGCAAAGTGGAAATGTCAATCCTCCTGGTTCTGTCGGTGGCCTGCCTGTAGTATTCGGCTATCACCTCTGAAGGTCATGTCAGGGTGTTTCCTTGAACGCTTCTCAAGGGACTTGAGAGCAACCAGGAACATGTCCTACATGCACTTGGGGAACCTGGCCTCAGGCTGGAGTGGTCTTCGGCATCTTCTTGTATCAGAAATATGTCCGTAAGAGAGACATTGTGGCCGCGTGAGCCTTACTTTTTGCCCGTGTTGTCTTGACTTCGAGCGCCAACTGGTGCCGCAATGCGATGCTCGTAATCTGATTGTAGACGCGTTTCAAGCCGTGTGACATCACCTCGACTCTGGCTGACCGCGGCTGTAGACGATGTGCGCCACGCTTCGCTTGCGCAGTACTTGCAGCAACCCCTTCTCACAGCTTCTGCCGAGTCTGCCCGCCTAGGAGGAGGATCTCAACCGAATCAAGACAACAGATAAGCTTGCACCTCAAGTTCCGTTCGGGCCGCAAAAATGTAACAGAATAATTAGCAGATATTAGCAGATCAGTTTGATGCCGGAGGTGCCTGAAGCAAATTCTAAAAAACTTCAGCATCCAGAAGCTGGAGGAAAATAAATTCCGAGGCCGAGACACTTGAGAAGTCGCATCATCTTCCGGAGCGAAGTTGACATTTTTTGGAGAGAGAGCTGATCATGCATTGCCCAAACCCCTGAGCTGGAGGCATCACGCGAAAGCTGCACACGGCATCTTTGGTCCCGGTCCTCAGTGATGCAGTACATGACTAGCATGGAGGGAGGTTGGGGGAGGTTTGGGAGGCTGCACTTGCTTCACTTGCTTGAGGAGTTCAAGAACATCTCCTGTAGTGTCTTGTCTGCGGCAGCCCTGGATATGACAAAATGATGCCATGCTGCTAGCGCAAGGCATGTTCGTAGATGCCTTCCGAGGGTAATGAGGAGAGGAACATCCTGGCCGACATCACTGGCACGTTTGAGGCATACCACCTCTCGGCCATCATGGGCCGCAACCCGAGTAACAGCCAGAAAGGAGTGCTTCCTCAATCCTTCAGAAGTCTTTCGTGAGTCCTTCATCTCAAGTTTTTCAAGCATCAGCACCATGGGAGTCTAGAGTGAGGTCCATCCGGCTGCGGCAAGAGCACCCTCCTTGATGTTCTCACAGGGAAGGCCTGGCATGTGGTCATTCGGTGACATGCGAACAAAATTGGAGTATTTCGCTCGAACCCTTGGCTCAGAAGAAGACCGACTCAAAGTGGACGGTCAAAGGCAGGGCGGCAGGATGTCCCCCCCAAGCGATTGAGCTCAAACGCAGCGGCGTTCAGAGGAGGGTGCTCAAAGCTGCGCTCAGTGGAACATACTTGGCTTCTGCAAGGTGACATCCTCATTAACAACCAGAAGATCGACATTGAAGCGATCAAGCCCATCATCGGGTTTGTGCCGCAGGCATCAGGGAGACCTCACATAAACAGGTCCTACTCATACCGGGCGGGCGATTGCACGGATCCTACGAGTGCTCGTAGATACGACCACCTGCAACCGATGTTATTTTAACACTTCGATTCAGCACGTAAACAACAGTCCTATAGTGATCGACTCCAATACCTGTACCTTTGAGATGCCATCCCTCAGGACGACGTGGTGCACGAAGGGTGCGAAGCCAAGTTCTCAACGCTCTGCTGGAAGTGCGGCTTTCAGCACGCTGCTATCCTACAGCAGGTTGTAGCACCCCTTCCTATTACAGAGGGAGGTTTTGAAGCTGGGACACGGTTCCTATAGGCCGTCAGTTGGGAGGCACCACTTGCAATGGGAGGCTGACCGTCCGGGAGAACATCTACTACTCCGCCGCCAAGCGTATGCCGGCCCATACCCATGGGTCTAGGCCTGCCAGCAAATTGATCTGCGGGCTGAAGGTGAAGAGAGCATTGTTGTGCTTGAGTCTGCTTGAGGCTTCGGGCCATCACCAATGACGTTCTTCAGGCGCCTTCATGCTTTCGTGGATTCGTGGGTAGAGGCAGAGCCAAAGCCTCGCAACGGATATGGGCTAATGGTGGTTTTGGGCTCTGGCAGGGGATTTGGGCAGATGACAGATGTTGCGTTGCCTTCCTAAGGTGCTTCAATTGGAGCCAAAACAGAATCTCTTGGTCCCCTTCTGAGGGCCAACAGCTTCAGCGTCAGCCGGGCAGTCGGGACGCAAGTTTGTGAGGTTGGCAATCGAACTCGCACTGGTGAGGGCTTGAGTGGCGGACAGCCCTCACCCAAGCTTCGGAGTCAACGCAGGGGCGCGAGATCGTCGCCTCTGCGTGCAAGCCTAGTGCAAGCCGGTCAGGAAGAAGCGAGTCAATGTGGGCATAGAGCTGGCTGCTTGTCCGACGATACTGGTCCGATGCCCAGTGTTCTTAGCGTTCAGCCTTGTTCGAAGAACTTGAAGCCCTGACATCCGAAGACTTTCCCCGCTTTGTGCCAAGTTCTTGGACGAGCCCACCTCTGGTCTGGACAGTCCTCAGCTGTCAGTTGCCTGTGACACTTGAAATCCGCCTGGATCGGCAGGATGCGACTGCCTCACTCTTGCTCGTACAGCAACTGAGGAGAATGCCGGGTTCTCGGAAGCAATAAGGACAACCCGCCAGCAGAAAAGATGGAAACCCAAAGCTCAAATTGCTGCTGCACTGGGCACCTTAAGGGCAAGGCTGGGTGTGACCATCGTCATGGTGATCCATCAGCCGCCTGGACCTGAGAACTGAGGGCCATGAGCGGCAATCAGATGGGATGGCATCTAGGGCTCCCGGACATTCCATGAGAGCTGCCACGAGCTCTCGCCAGGCGCTACGACCTTTTCACCTTGCTGGATGACGTGCTGTTGATCTGCTCTCAGGGCAAATCAGGAGCCTGAACCACGTCCCACCCGATCGCTCTTGAGGCTGGGCACTCTCGAGAAGATGGGCGGTCGCCTTGCCTACATGGGGCCTGGTTCTTGCTTGCCATGTGCCGCATTCAGCTTTCGTCTACAACGTTCCTGGGTCTGATGGATCTGGAGGCCAACTGTGCAGGCAAAAGAGCACTTCCAAACCTTGGGTGTCTCGGCACAGCACGCAGTTTTGTTGGGTTCTGTCGATGCTGCAAATCTGCAAATGTATACAATCTAGGAATCTGGCTGGACTGATCGAAATGCCATCTGATGCATTGTGCGAGGTCTGCACATGCCGGCAGATTGGAATCCAGCAGACTGGATGTTGGGACCTCAAAAGCCTCGTCACAAGCCAGCAAGGCGCGACACCCAAACCCAATGAGAAGCCAAGGATGGACATACTCAGCGGCCAGAATTTGGACCAGAGCAGCTGCAGGACAGTGCGGAGTTTGCCGGAGCGCCTTATTGACAATTGAGAGCGCGGCTGAGTCCCATGTGATATGAGCCCGCTATGTGCCAAGTTCCTTGTTCATAGGGCGGACTTCGGAATGTTCTATCGACTAGGAAAGGCACAGGTTTTTTTGATGCTGTGCATTGCTGTGCATCCTTGGCTTCAGGATACCGATCTCGCAGATACCGGCTGCACTTTTCGACAGGCGTTGCTGGATCACCCTCATGCTGACATGCTGTTTAGTTGGTTCTTACATTTTGTCATTTGCAGTGTCCGAGTTTGGACCCGCGATGTGTCGGCTAGACGTGTGACGTGCACTGGCTGGCTTGCGTGTCTGCTGGGCGCTGTCCAAGGTGGAGCGAGAATCCTGTGCCGCAGGGTCGAAGAGTTTTTACTCGAGGTGAGAGATGAGAGTGTGGTCTGGTGAAGAGGGTAAGAAGGCTGTGCCTGTGCCACAGGCATGAGCAGCCATGAAGCAGATAATGAGGAGGAGTTCCAGGTGATCGCGTCACACTGCAAGGCCTTCAGCACTTTAAGCACTTACGACGAATTACGACACACAGACACACTGTTTGTTGAAGCCATGTGGCTGAAGGACTCCTGGACCGAAGTAGCACCTTCCCATGTCCGACTGGACGCAGATGGATTTGCCCAGGCCCTTGAAGCAGAACGTGTGAGCTCTCCAGCCTTGTTCTTCTTTCAGATGGAGAAAGCTCCAACACATGAGGCAAAAAAGAAAGACAGAAAGACATCTTCAATTGTTTTTTTTGGAGTTTTTGGACTTTAACAAAACATTTCCAAAGCATCTTCGAACATGCCTGAGTCTCATGCCCGAGGCGCTCGCAACATAGAGTAGGGCTGCTTCCTAGGAAGCTTTACGCATAGCCCTGCCCACACTTGACGTCGCACAGCTTTTTTGGGTGTGATTGCGACACGAAGTCCATGTTGCGGTGTCGACGTCGCTCTTTTGGGCACATTGTTGTGCCGTGTCACTCTGTGTTTGTGACGGATCTATGACACATGTCTTTAAATCAAGAGTACCGTGAGGCCAGCTTCGAGGTACAGCTAACTTTGCGTGCGCTACATCCTACAGATAGGACGGCTCCTCTGAGGAGCAATGTACACAGAAACAGCCTGCAAGCCCAGTGACTCTGGGGCACCATGTGAAACAAGTGAGAAGGAAAGAGGAGTGAGAGAGGAGGAAACCTGTACAAGCTCTTACCCCTTGGGGCCTAGAGCGAATGCGCCGGCACGTATGACACACAAGGAGGGCAACCTCGGTGTAATCGTGCTCACAAACGCTGTGTGGAGAAGAACGAGCATCTCCTGCATCCCGCCAGGGTAGTGGGAAAGAAGGAGGAGGGGGATGGTGATGTTACAAAACTGCAAGGCTGTCGTCTTGAAAAACGTGGTTGTCAGAGACACTGCGTCGGCAGAAACTGGCACGCACTGTTCTCAGCCTGTCGGACCGCGGAGGACAACCGCTCGTCACGCAGCGCATTGCTAGTAGATCGGACCCCCTGCTCCTTATCCCCCGTGTTACGGCAGCCCACGTGATGACGCTTTGCGAAGTAGGACAACATAGCCTTGCTTGCCTGCAAGCTGGCTGGCCTGCTGTTGTGTGTATGTGATGATATCGTGGGCATCGTCATGTAGCTGCCACCCCCCTCGGCCCACTCTCAGAAGAGTGGTGTAGTGCTCCGCCTGGGGTGTGTGAGTACCGTGAGTACGGGTCATGGATCAAAGCTCAGCACTTCCAACCCTAAGGCACTCTGAAAGGTGGAAAGATGTAGCCGAAGCTCCCAAAAACATCTCAGAAAAGAGACCATGCCGCCTGAGGCGGCTTCTTCACTCCACACGCAAGCACTTGCACTCTAGCACTTCGCGACCTCAAAGCAGGAGGGAGGGCCTGCCCAACGGACACCTGCATTCATCTTGCAAATTGCTAAGACTGCAAAATGTGCTACCGAAGAATCAGTCCACCCTGGACTCCTGCAATAGTAGGAGCAGGGCTCAAGGGTGCCTTTCGAGGTTGCTTTCAACATCAATGGTTTTACTTATCCGGTTGTCTTGGGGCGCCTGCACTTTGGAGCTTGCCTGGTATGTACATGTACACGAGAAGCGGTTCAAGTGCAGGTGCTAAAGAGCTGCCTTGGGTGCCAAGCTTAGCCGCCCAAGATCTTGCTGTATTCCATGAGTGCTGTGGGCTCGCCAAGGGCTACCCCAGAGCCTGAGATCGTCAGCGACATCATCAAGTGTGGAACTTAGGGTCCGCAGAAATTGAAAACACATGCATCAAATGCAAGCTCAGCACAAGCGGCTAAGGCGGGCATCACTGTATGACACACGCCACAACAGCAGCCTCTATGCGCACGAAGTTCGAGCCTTATGGACGATGGCATGCTTCAACAGGCTCAGCCTGTTTAATGCTCGTGTGTCTGCCTACATGAATCCAGCACAGGCAACCTCAAACTTTCCAGAGTCTCAGAAACTGAAGAAGACATCGCCTCTCCCACAAAGCGTGCACCAACATGCAACAAGCTGTGCATAGGCACATGGGTCATCATGGGTCCACAAGTGCTGTTTGGACCTTTCGAGGGATGTTTCCCGAACGCCTGTGGGAGAGATTGTGTTGTGCTGCGCGAAGTGCCAGCGGTGTCGAGAAGATGTCCATTGAAGGATTCCGAATGATTCCGGAACGTTTCTGGTGTGAACCAACAGAGGCTCTAGTACGGCTCTGTTGCCCCCTAGAGAGGAGCTGCAAGTTCCCCAGTCCCTGACATGATGCTCACGATGCAGAGGCACTTTCTTTCTTGAGCATGCTGGCAGAACACAAAAAAAAGGTACATGTGCCTTAAAGTACGATCAAAATCTCAAATGCTGCTTGAAAAAGAGCATTGAGAAACAAGGAAGATCAAAACGAAGCTGGCTGTGGACATTGGGGAGCGCGCTTCAGCCCCCTGCAAAATTCTCGAAAGTTGAAGGACCGCGAGGATTGGACGGGGCCGAGCCGCGGCTTTCACTTTCCACGCTGCTCGGTGTCCAAACTTGGCGATGGTGTTAGGCATAACTGGGGACCGGCGGTGTATCCTCTCTCAGTCTGTCAATCAATGGCTAAGCGAGAAAGGCGTCACGACTAAGCATTGCTCAGCCACATCCATTCAAAACCCTTTCCTCGGTGCGAAAACCCTGCAGGCAAGTCGCAAACAATCATGAAAGATCGATGTGCGCGAGACCTCCGCTGAGAAAAGAGCGCTTTAAAAGTGGCAGGTTGTGGCCGAAAAGTCGGCTCCACCAATGCTCACTTGCATGGGACCGAAGCGAGGTCGGCACCCCAACTGGAAAGTACCAGCAAGAACCGAGAAAGCAAGCTAGTCCTGACTGACCGACCGTACACTTGGAGCGCGCACGCTACTACCTGTCTCGAAACAATAATGTTATCTCCGGAGCACATAGCAGGTCATGGCAGAAGACATGCTCGAGGCAAGCTTCATCAATGTGCGAATGTGCGGGCCGACCGGGCCGACGGCATCGGAACGACGGAACCCAGAAGCCTGAAGCCATGTGAAGTCCTCAACCCCAAGGCGTTCAGAACAACTTGTGGCGTTACTGTAGACGGCCGGGTTGATGTAGTAAGGGACGGTTTAGCCATGCTTGACATGTGAAGCAACAGCAAATCATCCCAGAAACGAGGTCCAGGTCTCACAGAACCGTCTGTCCCGTCTCTTGGAGTAGTTCGTAACAGCGGTAGCCCTTGAACCACTCTTTAATGGTTGATGTACTGACAATGCTGCGAAGACGTTGCAGTAGACAAAATGCAACTGTTGTCGCGTACGGTGTCCACCCTGCCACGCTTGTCCTGGTTTTCTTTGCATCCCCAGACCTGAATTGGACTTGCTCTCAAGTCTGGCCATCTATTGGGTGAGGGGGATGTGACGAGGAATGCAGAACAAAAAGCGGAAACGGATCAATGCAGCCGCTGAGTGCAGTGAAGGGCGAGGTCATCCACATACTATAGGAAGAAACGGAGAGGTCAAAAGCTAGAATCACAGGTTTTGCTGGTACCTTCTTTCAAGGTGTAAAGACGAGCTAAAGCAGGCCACGGCTTAGGTGACCGTTACGCGCTGGTTGTTAATGTTGCACCTGCTCTAGTAGGGGCCCGCTAAGTTACGTCATGTTGGCCGGGCTATTCAGGGCACCCTGACGGTTTGCGCGGTGGGATCCTCTACTAGGTCACATCGTCCGGGCGTCGTAAGCAAGTTTCGTGCTGCGCGCCTTTAAAATCAATTGCCGGGTATCGCTGTCCCTCTTAAAGTCCTCCGTTTTTAAAATCATTTGAACCCCGTGGACCGTGTACAGAGAGCCAAAACCAGCTTCGGCTTTCGTAGGGGGTTGGGGTGCCCCACACACGAAAGCAGGTCAAGCATTATCCTCTCTTGTGAGCATCTGTGATTGCGTGCGCGGTATGGATGTTCTGTCTGAGACCTCCGCGCAGTCGTACGTTACCTTGCAGCGGCCTTACACGTTGATGTGGTGGTGCTCGAGGCTCTATAGATTCGGAGAGCCACGGAGTTCCCAATTCCCAAGGCGAGCATTCAGCAATTATTTGATTAGCTTCAGAGGCCTGACTTTGCAGGCCTGAAGTGCACTGAAGCTTCTTCGATTTGTCAAGACGAGCTATTGTTTTCTGCTTGACATGCGAAGGATGATGCGCGAATAGGCCGCACTGGCCTGTCCCCCTGTCCACCTGCAAAACCGATTTCCTGCTCCGACAGCGCGAGCCGAAGTGCAATTGCCAGGAGCTGCACCAGAGGAGGATTCTGGTGAAACAACGGAGGAGTCATCATCTTCATCCGCCTCGGGTGATGAAATCACGGACGAGGCACATCTACACCGAATCAGGTAGAGTTCAGAAAAGAACAGACTCACCGACAGAGAGACAGTCAGACAGATACAGACAGTCGCAGACAGACAGAGAAGAAGGAGATACAGACAGAGACAGACAGACACAGGCAAGGACAGACAAAGACAGACAGAGACAGGCAAGGACAGACAAGGACAGACAAAGACAGACAAAGACAGACAAAGACAGACAAAGACAGACAAAGACAGACAAAGACAGACAAAGACAGACAAAGACAGACAAAGACAGACAAAGACAGACAAAGACAGACAAAGACAGACAAAGACAGACAAAGACAGACAAAGACAGACAGACAGCACAAGTAGACAGAGACGGAGAGACGGACAGGACCGACACAGACAAACAGGATACACATGCACTGCTGAAAAACGTTAAGAGATGTCTCATTTCGTGCAGTCGAGATGGTAGACGTCTTCAGGAACGTGCAGGGTGTGGAGGGCTTCAGCAAGTGCTTCATCGAGGCATCACATGCATGTAGCACGGCGTTTCCAGTTGTCGACCGGCGTTCAACAAGTTGAGCAAACAGTGTGGCGGGCTTCTCCTGCAGGATCCCAGCATGAGACTTCAATGTTGCTGATCGTGCAATTGTCCATGTTGCTGCAAATGCGCCAGAAAAGTCGAAGCCACTGCTCGCTGGGGGTCTTCGGCGAGTTCAGCCCGGGCCCGCTGCTGAGATTGCCAAGCTCGTAGGGTTAAAGCTTAGCGTTTGCAGGTTTTGGAGCTGAGGGAACGCACCACTAACATTAGTAGTGCCTGTGGATTTTGAGACCCAAAAACCGACCCATTCATTGGATGGCTCGACTTTCTCTCCGCTGCCGCCCCTGCTCTTTGGAGGTTCTGTGGCCACTTAAGACGCACTTTGCAGATGCCGCGCGCTCAAGTCTACTGGACTTAGCATGTTTAGGGAGATGTCAGGTGCGGGTGACTGTTGAAAAGTCAAATCAGAATGATACCCGGAAAATCCCGCAGCAGCGAACGAACATGAATTGAGTAGGGGCATCGGTATGACCCTCCGGGCAAGGGCTTGGAATGCAAGCTGCCATGCCTCCTATTTTGTTTTCATCTTCAGGAAGCATGGCTTTTACCGATTCACCATCACCAAGTAATTGCTTTTCTGGTGGGGTTTCGGGCTTCGGGTTTGCTCAGCCTCAGTTGAATGATCGCTGAATGGATAGTTTGAGCCATATTGCATTGACTCAGGAGGACGGGGCCCCGGCATGAGCAGCTTGATAGTACAAAGTGCCGCTGCACTCCTCAGACAAACTCCACGAACAGACTCACCGGCAATGGGGAACTCGAGAGACTTATGGAGCTGGCAGTTTCATTTCCTTTCCGCTCTGGCCGCGATAGAGACCCCAAGTGCTACTCAGGTCGTTACTATCCTTTTGGCGAAGTATGGCGCCTCGGCAACCAAGCGCAAGTTCGTGACTCCAACAGAAGGCTGCCACAGTGATAAAGCGCATGCAAGCCAAGGGCATCAAGATGCTGTTCCTGGTGGTGATGATCTTTGCTGCTGGCTTTCTAGGCTGGTCGTGTTTGCTTGCATCCCAAAGCGGGTTCCTCTCGCACCATCTTGCGCCCTCTTGCACCCACAACTTCAAGGACACCTCCGTGATTTTACGATACGCTTGCCCATGCTTCGCTTGTCTAAAATGTCAAACGCTTGAAAGGTTACATGGATGTGAAAGTCTTCAAGACTCCAAGATGGAGTCCGACGGGCTTCCTGAATGTACAAATTGCTTTGGCGCCGCCGGCTGAGCTGCTGACAAATCAAAGAAGGAAGCCCGAAACTGGTCATCCGCCTCTGAAGCAGAGTGGTCCCTCACATGCATTGTGCTGAGGCTGCTAATTTCTGTGTACTCCTTGCAATTGTTCAGCCGCCAACTTAGATCTGCAGGGACGGGGTTATTTTCAGGCAAGTACCCCAACATCACAGATGTGTTAAGGCTTGGACCAGGAGATGTGTCTGGGACGGCACTATGTCACTGTGTTCAAAAGACGGCTCCATCCCCCGCCCCATCGTGAGGTACTGGCGGGAGGCCAGTCATGGGCTCAATCGAGCTGCATTCTTCTTGGGGCGCACTTTGGCCGGAAGCCCGGGCTTTGAGGCTCAGCGTCTTAGGGCCTTAGGGTCCTATAGGGTCTTATGCTGCAGCGTTTGGGATCTGACTGCCTTCCTGCGTCGAGCATACTGCGGTGTTTCGCAGCAAGGGCATGGGTTGGAGCATGACCGTGCTACCCAAAAGAATGTTGAAAAAGCAATCTAGCGGACTCACGTAAAGCGTCCAGGTCCAAACCCTGGACTGGGCCCTGTTGCAGCCCTTCCATGCTTTGGCATCTGGGCGGTACTGGTCTGGCAAATGCGATAGGCCCGATAGGCATTCCGTACTCTTCTTGTCACTGAGTGCTCAGCGCAATCCTCACCAAAGCTCGGGGCGAGCTTTTACGGTAGTTCTGATTTTGGATGTAGTGGGTTCGGGTGGATGAGACGGTTCTCGTGACTGCAGATTGGCTAGCAACCTAGTCCCCTGTGTTTCGTCGACTGTAAGGCCTAATTTCCCCAGCCCCCCGCCCCCGAAACGTGCTCGTGGGCCTGCTGCAACCACCGCATCTTTCCCTTTCTGTTGGTGCACTAGCTGCTCTCATAGCAGGCACCGCTTCAGGGCGCATAGGGTCCTGCTTTTCATGACTTTTGTGTTAGTTGCGCTTCATATTCTGCAAGAGGAACTGGAAGGCTTCGTGGCGTGCAGTGCTTCAGTCGGGTGCCGAAGTTGCGGGGTCTTCAAAGTGCCGGCGTGCCAGGACCTTTGTCTACGTCGCCACATACTACTGCATTGTCTGGAACCCAACGAATGACGAATGTCTTGCATCATTCTACATGTGAGAAGGGAGAGAGCGAGAGAACGAGCGAGAGAGAGAAAGAGAGAGATAGAGTTGCACCACAGTCGCAATCTTGCCTCTGCTGATGGGTGGCTTGCCAGTGCTACGTGCATTCGGTGGAACACCAGCGAAAGTCGTAATCATGTTGCCTGCTTTAGTGGGCGAGTAGCAAGTGTTCATGAGTCAGACATGCACTTGTGACGAGCGAACGTTCCATAAGCTGTCAGTCCCATAAGCCACTATAGTTCCTTTCACCAGTGATGCCATTCAACGGCACAGTGGACGAGGAAGAGTTTTGCGAACTTCCTCCCTTGCTGACTGGGCGTGAAGTAACTGCCTTCCTGGAGCAGTTCGGCTTTTTTGCCAACACCCCACTGGATTGGCAGAAGGGACCCTTTCCTGAGCTGCGGATCAGTATTGCAGGTCATAGCTCTTCGGGACGGCACGTCTTCTACAATGTTGAATGTACCCTTTGGCGGGCGAGCCATGTAGGCCAATCACAATCGGGTTACAGGAAGGATGCTGCTGTGGCCCAACCCTGGCTGGTGTGGCGTGCATCACGAAGGCTTGCTCACATTCGACAGGGCCTCCATGACTTGGTGAAACATCACCTTGGCAGCAGCTACAAGACCTACTTTTGCCGTGTGCCCTTCGCGCAAAGGTTCAGACCAGCAGGCACAACGGAACGCCTCAACAACTGGTGCCGGCGCTTGGCCTACTGCCTTTCTTCGCGGCTTGTTCCGCCCATTGTGGCGGCCAACGCGCTTCGCGTTCTTGGGGCGCCGAATCTCAAGGACTCGGAGTTGCCCGGTGTTGACTTCTTCCTCGACTCGATCCCACCCACGGAGATACCGGAGGAGGGAGCCGAAAGCCTCACGACGCGCTCGATGCGTTCCTCAGAGGGGCTGCAATTGTCGTCTCCCATCGCTGCAGAGCCAGCATCCGGGCTGCATTTGGCAAGCACAAGTCAAGCGCAAGTCTCTTTCACTGTTTCACTGTGTCATTCTGTGTCATGTTTCGTCAAGAGCAAGGCGAAACGCTCAGCAGCCGAGCCACCTGGGAGGCGGCTTGACAAGGTCGACATACACCTTCCGGGACTTGACGACAGCGACTGCGATTCGAGGAGTGACAGCCAGTGCTCGGGATCCGCTGCACACTCGAATCGCTCGAGTCGCTCGAACCCCGGTGCTTTGGGCTAATACAAGACTGGGCGAATGATTATCCCTCGAAGTTCATGTCTGGCGCATGCCATCGGGTTGCGGGGCCCGGCGGTTCCACACGAAGAGCAGAGCAATGTAGCTCCATGTAGCTCCGTAAGCTCCTAAGCTCCTAAGCTCAGGAAGTTACATTATACCCTCATTCCTCATACCTCTTCGGCAAATAGTCATGTTGCCGTTTTGTGCTGGCCGCCGCCCCGCCCTGAATGTTTAAACTGGCATGCGCTTTGTACTGTAACGGAGACCTAGACCTTCCATAGGCTCCAAGCAAGGCGCAGACGGCGCAGAATCTGAAACCTCCAAGTCCGGCTGAAGGCTGCTTGTGACAGTGACATACTCTTGCACGACAATAGCGCGCCCATCAAGAAGGTGGTCGTTCTGGAGTCTGGAATCCAAAGTGCTGTTGTTTAAAACAACTTTTGTCCTGCGACTTGGGCTCTTCTTGCAAGTCACTACCAGTTGGCAGACGCAAGAGATTGTTGATTGGGTCGTGTGCAGGCTGAGAGGAAGTCGCGAAACAGATGCAGGAAGCAAATTTGTAGGTTTCGCACAGATTCAAGTTACTGACTGGTAAGAGTAAGGCTGTGGCTTCAGAGTGAGGGCAGACAAGTCATCAGGACGGAAGTGCGAGGGTGTTTGATCTCGTCCCATTTCATCTCCACAGGCTAGTGAAGGCGGTGACTGATGCATTCTGATCGAGATCCAAAGCTGCCATGGCGCAAGACATCGTAGACTCCGTAGACGTGCCAGCAGGCGCCAAACGGCCAGTCGAGGAAGGCACCCTGCCTCAAACGATCTATCAAAGACTCAAAGCCTTTGGACCTTATGATAGACGCGTGCATGCAGAACCTGCCCATCCAACCGGCACTGTATTGTCTATCCGAGAGACATCCAAGGTTGGGCATCTTGGCACAACCAAGCCATGCGTTCGCTCTGCACATCTTTGGGGCCAATTTGGGGCCTCATCAGGGCTTGGAGCTGGGAAGTGCGAACAGCTTGCCAAAACCCTCTGTGGGATTTGGATCCGAGGAGCTCGCGCGTCCGAAGAAGCGGAAACATCTGCAGTCTCTTGGGGTGGATGTCAACCCTGGCGGCACCTACTGCCCCACTTTGGCGGATGTTCAGAATTTGCTGCTTCGCATTTTCACAGCCTCTTGTCAATAATGTCGTGCGACTGACCATATCAATATCTGTTAGATTCTGCTAAGCAGCACTTCTTGGCCAAGATTCAGAGAAGCTTGGCATAGATTGGCCATGATTCGTCATTGACTGCTCAGGAGCAGACGCGTCCTCAGCTGCTGTGGTTGAAGCTGCGGCAATGCAGTCCTAGGGAAAATGCAGTGCTCGTCATGCCGGAGGGACATACAGAACCCAATTGTCTTTGAGCAAAGGTATGGTGAGAACCCGCGCTGGCTTTGCATTCGCGGCATGAACCTCGTGAAATGCTGTCGGGTTGTTCTCCTTCCATGCCTCGAAAGCGCTTAGACTGCAAGGATCTGCAAGGCAATGTATACAGTATTATACAGTAAACGAAGCAACGAACAAAGGCACTACACAGTCTCAGGCTGTCTTACAGGTGTTTGATGGTGTTCCTGGTTCCTGTTTCAGGCAGGGCAGTCCCCTGTTGCTCATCACGGCTTTGTCTGTTTCTTGATGCTAGTGAGAGATGTTCCGGCACCAACGGTGTTTGTTCGCTGCAGTAGACGCTGTCTGAAGTATGATCCCTTGATGCACATTGATATGCTAGTTTGACACAGCCCCCCTTCCCTTGCATCACTCCCTCCAACTTCTCGATGAGCTTCAAAGGTGCACTTCTCAGTGGTCCCAGTCTAGAAAGATCTAAGGCGCGGTGGTGCTGAACCGACCTGCCTCGGCACCGTTCCTCTCCTCTCTACTACAAGGAAACCACCGTGTGGCCTGTCTTCCTTGATCAACCGGCTACCAACCATTTGGCTGGGGTGTGTCCGTCATAAAACCCATCCGTTTCACATCGCTGATGCTGTGAGGTTGCCATGAAGACCTCTGGTGAAGTGGAGCACTTCCCCAAAGACCAGGGAGCAACAGACGTGACTTGGCACTCCGTTGCAGTTGCATGTGTCAGCAATGGCAAACTAAGAACCCAAGCCCTAACCAACCCTGAGCAAAACAAAAGAGGGTTTCCGAAACTGAGGGTACCGTTTTGGGTGGTTCCCATGGCCCCAAGGTCCTATACTAAGGCTATGGATTCGAGCGCTTTGGGGTCTATTGGGGGTGACGCTACTGGGAAATTAACCCCTTAAAGCCTCGAGCCCAGGCAGGTTCTCGCATGCTCCTGTCTCTGCTGGCGGCAAGAGCCAAACCCACAGTGGCAAAGAAAAAACAGGGTCAGCCAAAACCTGTGACTTTGCCAGGCGCCGCATTTTCGCTGGGATTCTGCAACCTTGCGCTTGAAACTAGCGCTGCCGTGCGATATCAGTTTCACTCAAGCCTCCGTGATTGGACAGGTGCAAGCGAACCGAAGCCACCAATCAAGGACTACCTTGCCTCTGAAGAAGCGCGCAGTCGGAGTAGCTATCCGGACCGGAGCCGATGTAGTGGACTTGGCATCAGCTGCGCCGTGACTTGCCAGCTTTGCCCGTGTGTCGGCTCATGTCACGTTCTTCGCACCAAGGCAGCACGCCGGGGTGGATTGAGCTCCCTGACCGGGAACGGGAAGAAGGCAACTCCGACTGTGTCTTCCACATGCTGTTAGGCTCTTCTGCTGTAGGTGACAGCTGTGGCTCGTGTTTCGGAGCTCGTGCTCCTCACCTTTCACCCTTCTGCACCCTGTCTATCTCATGCTCAAACTCTGACTCCGGGCGTCGCATTAGGCATCCCGTCATTGGCCCCCGACACTGTTCGAGTGAGAGGTGTGCTGAAAAAGCCAAAAGTGCTGCAGCTGCCGCTGGCATCAGCTGGCAATCTTGCGAACATTTGTGAGCTACATGCCACCACCATTGCAGGGCCACCTGCTTCTGAGCCTGCTGGTGATGCTGAAGGTAGTTTGGATCCGGACGTCTCATGCCCGCAGCATGACGCAGTTGTTATGTAGAGGAGAGCCTTACAGCCTTGCAGCCTTACAGTAGCAATTTACCACCTCCTCGCGTGCTCAGGCAAAGCACCTTGTGGCCATCGACTGCGAGATGGTCATGCCGCTCTGCACGACAGTCCCGGAATTCTCCATCATGAAATTCATGAAATGTCGCTATCATGTGCATTGTGGCATCTTGCGGCTGAGGACGGCCTCGGGACTCGCCTTAGCGCGCGTCTCCCTGGTAGGCCTGGAGTCCTACGGTCCTACGGGTTGTAGAGCAGAGGAAGAAATCATCTTCTCAGGGCTTTCAGGGCCTTCAGGGGGTACTCGTGTACTCGTACATTGTCGTACATCTCGTGCATGGGGGGGGGGGGCTTTTGGAAAGTAACGCGTAGCTGGCGTAGCTGGGTACCTGGTGGCGGTTGTGCTTTGAGTAAGTATACACACTGTATACACTAAAACTACCAAAAGACCTGAAGTCCGGAAGTGGCCGTGGGCGGCTGTCAAGTCTATGTTTCTCAGCCTGGAGTTGAGCAGTCACGTCCCAAAAGCTTTTGCACAACTTGTGGTGAGGCTGGGTCATTCAATGTCATGGGAGCAGTTTCCGAGGTGGAGATGAAGTCTTGTATGACACGTACGTGCTGCCGGATGAGCCCATCACGGACTACGTTACTCAGTACAGTGGAATCACCAAGGACAGCTGCTGGGAGCCTCAAGGATCTCTGGATCTCTCAAAGTTTTTCCATTTTCCGCGAACGAATTGCGCTGGCTTATCAGAAAGAACCCTGTTCATGTAGAGCATCCGCCCGAAGACCAAAAATGACGCCGCACAGGAGACGCTCGAAGGTGTGGATGCTTCTCGGCCCAGACCCCCGAAGCTCTGGGTTGCAGCTGGAAAGCTTGAGCTTTAGCGGCTAAGGGTTTGGGGTTGCTCGCGGTACGGTTTTGGCAAAAGCGAATGCGCACTCGATGTTATATCGCAGCGCACAACAAGCTGAATGAAGCTCTGCTCTAGCCTGTGCAATCGTCTTAACAGCTTTGATGTGCGTGCTTAGAGTTCAGAGCTCTTAAATGTGAATGGGCCAGACCTGGCCCAAGGAACTTTCGTAGCCATTCCTCCAGCCCATGGGTCCGCAGTTCACAAGCCTGCAACTTCCTCTTCAAGAGTTCACAACAGCGCTGAGCTGTTACCTCCCCGAGGTGAAGCTCAGCGATGTCCAGAAGCGGTTGCAGGAGCTCACGGGAAGAGGGGTGGCGCGCTTGCGCCATTTTGGACCTGAAACCGTTTCTGAGGTGGCCCTCTGATAATGCCATTACAGACAGGGGGGGGGGGGTTGTCAGGGAGGATCCTTTGCATAACCTCGAGGTTGAAGTCTCTGCGCAGGAGCTGCTAAGTCGGCAGTCGATCCTGGTCGGTCACTCCTTGGAGCTGCTGGGACTTTTCTTTTGGACAAGAAAGGGCACCGTCACAAGCACTAGGGGTGTGTGCAGGGTTTCGAGGGGTTCTAGGATGTTTTTTGGGCTTCAAGAAAGAGTATCCACATCATCCCTGCGCCATAGATGCCATAGACCTTCAGAAGTCGAGAGGTTTTCATGGAGTTTCTGTAGAGAAAGACCGTGTGCAGAAGCTAAGGAGTGATCTAAAGGCACTGCAGCTGGTTCACGAGCGTGTCATCGACACTGCTCCTGGTGCCGCATTCATGCGTGAGCTGGTTGGTCACCCCGAACGCGAAAAGGATTTGAGATCTCTCCCTGAGCCCCTACTGAAGGCCCTACTGTAACCTCTTAAAATCTTATAAAATCTTAAAAGCAGCTTGCAGGTCCTTCTGTATCCTCACCCTCGCGGCTGGCCATGTCGACAAAGCTTAGCAGGAAGGAAGCTCCAACAAGCGAGAGTCGCATGTCTCGTGAAATCGTGAGAGGGTTTTTGCCGGGGCTTCAAGGATAGGCCTTTTTGTGGTGTGAGGCGGCGCCTGTTGGTGCATGCAAACCGTTCACATCGGTCTTTACATGACAGTGTTTCGCGCGTGTCATCTTGTTTGTACTCGTACCAGAGCTTTCGACGAATTGAGTCCGCTTCTGAAACGTTTGAGAACGGTTACAGGCATAGTGTTTGCCGCGGTTTGTGGTCCGAAGCATCGATCATGCAAAAACGCAGCAACTGTCCTATGAATCAGAAGCTGCGAATCAGCAGCTGTGATTCAGAAACTAGCCGCGAATCCGAAACTGCGCATCAGAAACCCGCGCGAATCCAAAACCCGCGCATGAGAAACCAGCTCGATTCGGAAATTGCGAAGAAACTGCGCATCAAAAACCCGCGCAAATCAGAAACTGCGCATCAGGAGCTGCGACGCAGAAACCTGCTGCATGGTGGGTGCGGGGGTGGGTGCGGGGGTGGGGGTTGGGGTGGGGGTGGGGTGGGGGTGGGGTGGGGGTGGGGTGGGGGTGGGAGTGGGGTGGGGGTGGGGTGGGGTGGGGGGAGGGGGGGTGGGGGAGGGTGTGGGGCACAGTGTGGGGTGGAGCTTAACCTCGTGCAGTTTGCCAGCGCATGAAAAAGCAAACGAGAGAATACCGGGGCCCCGCGTTACTTCAAACCTTCGGCCGAGGAGCCCAAGGAGTGCACGCCGAAGATCCTCAAAGCCCTTAAAGTTGCCTTAAAGGCTTAACACGTAATGATGTAAAGTTGATGCTGAGAAGCCCAGAGTCCCAAAGCTCTGCTGCGTGACGAGCCCTGATGTCTTGCAACGCCTGAAGCTTGGACCAACTCCCATAAGCTGGAGTGTGCACCCAAATCCTTTTCAGTCCCGGACACTGGCTCAAAAGAGAATTCGAAGTAGAAGAAGTTTAGGGTTTAGCGTTCAGGGTTGCCTATCAGCCATACTGAGGCGCCCTCTTGAGGCACGAGTAAAGATTGTACAAATCGAGCTCTTGCCGTTTTTCAGTCTCAAAGTGATGGCTTTCCCGGTTTCCGAATCATCCGTTTACTGGTTTCCCAATCATCCGTTTCCCAGTTTCTGATTCAGCGATTTTGCGTTTTCCGATATATCTGTTTGCCGATCTCCGAATCAGCCATTTGCCGGTTTCCGAATCCGCCGTTTCCCGGTTTCCGAATCAGCCGTCTGGCGGTTTCCGAATAAGAAAGTGCCAGTTTCAGAATCATCCGTCCTGGTTTCCGGTTTTCCCGTTTCGGTTTCCGATTCCGCCATCCTGGTTTCTGATTCAGACACTCTGGCCTGGTTTCCGACTTCTTGTTCTGGTTTCCGAATCAGGTCCGGTTTCTGATTCAGCCGTTCTGGTTACCGATTCGGCCGTTGTGGTTTCCAGTTTGTCGTCGACGCCGAAGCATCGGCATTGATGGCCTCTCCTGCTTTACTACGTTTTCTTTTCCAGAGGCGACAGCGCTTGCCGGAGAAAACGATCCTTTGGGGTTGTGTGCCTCTTTATAGTTTGTGGCACCGCGAAATTTTCAGGCCCAATTCCAAAGCTCACCCAACAACAAGAATTCCCCGAGCCGGAGAAGGACACGCGCAAACCCGGAACGTTTAAAAAACCCTGCATCCTGCTGCAGTCTGTGGAGGACTGAGCAACGCCATTCTCAAAAGAAAGATGCGTCGAGAAGATGGTCACGACTCAATTGATGATGCCAAGGCCCGACCTGCTGGGGATCCTGGTGTGCAGAGACATGCTTTGTGCGCAGACGGCCAGGTTTCTTTGGAGCTGGCGCGGCTGAAGTTCGCTCGCGGGCCCAGCTTCGGCGCAGCATGGCCAAAGCCAAAGTTGCGTTGTGGAGTTTCGGACCCAACAGATTCCAACAGTTTGAAGGGGCTTGAAGGGGCCCCCCTAGTACTGTAGACAAGGCTGAGTGCAGGCAGCGTCTTATTTAGTCTTACTTCACAGGAACCACACGCAATGCTGCCGTGACGGCCATGTCTGGGCATCGAAAAGGAAAGGCGGCAAATATGAAAATCACGTGCCGCTCACGGAAAGGCGGCTGGATAGCCTCTCGAGGTAGGTTTCGGGCCTTATTAGGGATAGTCACTCCAGGGTGAACACGCTAAGGCAACTGGGGGCACGTCGGTACCGCTTGGACGCCTGCTTGCCGAGTCTGGAGTGCAGCTGATGATTTCGGAAGGCTTCAGCATTGCTTCAGCTGTAGATTCCAAAGAAAAGTGACGGCACAAGCAACGCCTTATGATGGCCTTGGGCAGGTGAATCAGCACCGGCCGAGCAAGAAGGCAGAAGCGTCAGCGTAAGAGCGTGTGCGTGCGCGTGCGTCGCTTGGGCCGCCGTTTCTCCTTGCAGCAAGCACAGCACGCATCTATCAACCACGAGTGGGGCAAGGCATCAACGGTGCGGTATGTGAGAGGCTCTCATTCCAGCAGCTGGTATGAGGACGGCTCCAAACGCGTGCCGCTGAGCGAGCTGGGTGGCTTCGCTGTACTTCAAAGGTTCAAAGACTTTGTCTGACTATATACTTGGGGCCCAGAGTTGTCATAAAAAGTGTCACAACTCTGAACTTTGACAGGGCGCCCGAGACCAAAGCCTTCACAGCAGGATGGCGAGGCCTATCACCTCCTTGGGATATCATATGCTGCCTGCGCATGCGCCGTTTTTCTTTCAGCAATCCATATGGCAAAAGGCAGATGGCTCCTCCCAACGATCTGTTCATTTGGTGGTGTTGAGGCCTGTGCCTCAGCGTGTCAGCCACGTGCGGGCACACACGAGCTATTCATTTTACCGCCGGGAGGTCGTTTGAGCGGTTCTGTGAGACAGCCCATGCGCTGTCAGGACACTTGCCCACATAGCACTGGCTTATGAACAATCGTGTTGGCAAAGCATGATTGCCTTGAGCCAGTGGCAGAGCACAAGATTAGCATCCCATACAGTCCCGCAAGGCGGCTCGCTGGAGGATGGTCTTCCAGATCGCCTGACTCAGATAGACAGGCGCCTGGCTGTTCTGCCTTCCCGATACATCTGGCCTAGATGTGTGCAGTTGTTTTTCTTCGTTGGGGTCGAAAAAATCGTTGTCCTACGGTCCTACATTTGCAGGAATCATATTGATGACCTCAACTCATTGGGCACGATGACAAAGAGTGCTTCATGCATTGTTGCAGAAATGGGTTTTCGTGTTCCTGTCTCAGCATTGTTTGGGACTGCCGTCCTTGTGCAAGAAGGCCTGCGCGAGAAACACAAGTTCCTTCTGCATGTTTAACCAATGTTTGCTACTTTCTGCTGTGGAAAACAGAGATCATGTGCGCAGGCAAGCTGCGCAGGCTGCCGAGGGTCTGAGCGAGAACGACCTTCTCATCGTGATGAACGGCTGCAACGAACTCAGTCTTTCGGCGTTGCTTTCAGATGTTTTCATGTTTACTGCAGAGTCTGCAGAGCGACCTGAAGGTGGAAACTATCAGTTGCTACACAAGCTCCTGGACGCCAAAGGTGAGTCAGCGGAGGAGAAGCGCAAAGTTGTGCCCCGGAGTCAAGCAAATCACCAGCACTGGTACCAGTAGGGCGCAGACGTTTCGGTTGAAGATCTCAAGCCGAGAGTCACCGAGGCACGGGCTCGCGACAAGTTTAAAGACACCTGGGGTGTCTTCCAGTGCGGCGGTGGCAGCCTGAGATCATATAGCGAAATATAGTGATGCGAAGTGGCGTCATCTTTTTACACGAATCCCTGTACGAGGCCTTCTTGCCTCATCCATCCAAGTCATTTCTGGAACTGTGCACGGAGAAACTTGCTTGACCACTCAGGAATGTTTCCGGCTCACTCAAGCTATGCTGTGTGTAACGTATGTCCTGCACATGAAGAGCTGTTTTCTGAAACTTCAAGACTGGACCTGTCGGTGCGCAGGGCCGTCTCCAAAGAAGTAGCCACAAGTCGACCCGCAATGTGTTCGCCACATGGGGGGTCGTTTATGGTGAGCATCGTCTTTGGGGGGCTTTCAAGTGTTAATCTGCCTAGAAGGAGGCCCGAGCTTGGAACCATCCCCAAATTCCGAGACGGCCTACGTGAGATGAGGCGGTGCGCTGCAGCAACTTCTGGACGCATCTCTGACCTGCGCGGAAGCAGCTCCAATCCAGCGAGAACTGGACACTTGGAACAAGTATGACATGTCGCTCAATATGCTATCGAGTTCAATGTAGCATCATTTAGCACACAGCAGCTTGTTAATAGATGCAGATTGTTCAGCTGCCCGCTGTACTCATGTGCTCGGTAAGGTGAGCTACGAGATGTGAGCCTTCACCGGCCCTGTCTCAGATCGGTTGCGCTTAAGGCAGCCTTTCGATCCTCGTTTCATGGTTTCCGCTGTCGCCGCTGGGCAAGAACTGGTCCAAGAGCGCTGCAGAATCTGCGGCGATCTTGGAGCCGCGGGCAGAGGCGGCGAGGCGGCCAGAGGTCCGTGTCGGTTCAACCTAGAGCTCCTGGGCGCGTAGCCTCACGGGCACCCTGTCTACAGCTGAAGGCACCGCACGTGTCATGAAAAAGAGCGACCGACGTGAGCAAGGGTTCGACTGGCGTTGCTGCTTGCAGCACCAAAGCACTTGGCCTTGGATTGTGATAGAAGGCTTGTCACTAGCCTATTCTACAAGGTTTGGGACTCACAGTCCAGGAAACGGCTTGTCAAGTCGAGCTGGCACACGGCGCAAAAGAAAGGGTGCTGAGTGTGAGATGTCAGTTGATTGAAAGACTCTTGCAGATCAGAGTACAGAGATGTACAGAGTACTGCAAGTTTGTGAATCCGCTTAGGCAGCCCCTGAGCTTTTGCCGCGGGCTTAGATGGTAGATGTTTGCCGCAATCGCTTGAATCAGTGCCTGGTTCCAAGGTTCACCTTGTATATTTGGCCTTTTGTCCTCGTCTCTTACGTTGCCTCGGGCTGGGGCTTTGCCATTTCCTGTGTGCCGGCCTTGGTTATCGGACACTCATGAAGAGGCAGTAGTCAGTAGGCAGTCGCTCAGTAGCCCAGTAGCAGTACAACATGATCCCTTGCGCGATCTTCACTTCCTTGTGACGGCAGCCTTTCGATGTATCGGTGCAAAGTTCTCACCAGTCTTCCTGCTCAGAGGTTCAGAGGTGAAGGCAGCATGTCATGAGATTTCCGCACGAAGTCAGCATGGAAACTTTGAGAAGCTGGCATTCTAACAGGTTCCTTGTCATAAAACCCCTTCCACTGCGCAATGTTCCCAACCACCCAATTCGCCTGTTCCCAGTGCCTTCCGGTGGAGCTCGGTGCCTTTATCAGCTCCATTCTGGCGTTCATGATGGGAGGCAGTACCATCTGTCACACTTGCTCATTTTGGGGTGTAGTTTGCCTAAGCTCGCCCTTTGCAGAGGTATCCTGGGGCTCCCGATGCAGATGAGTACCTTCTTGAACGGCGGGTTCATGGAAGTGATGGTGCCTCATTCGCTGACTTCAGAAAGCCTATTTAGTTTCTGTCCCTGCTTGAGAGCGCAGCTCTGCCATGCTATTTGCAACATGTGCTCTCAAGTGATCTTCCCCCTCCAAAAAAAGGCGGACTGCAATGACATGCAGACCCAAGAACTGGCCCTCGCACATCCTCGGGTTTCGATACGATCCTAAACGAACAAGAACGCCGCATTTCTACGAATGCTCAAGTGCCCCAAAGGTCGGCTGCATCTCCTTTACGCGATGGAGTGTGTCCATGAGCTTCCTGGCCGGCAGCCAAGACCACCCGAGCCGAGCACAAGCCGCACGAATTCGGACCTTTGCCTCAGGAGTACATCACCCTGCATCCTCCGGACACTTCAGAGCTGGGTCTTCTGGACTCGGAAATGCTGAAGCTGTGGTGGGCTCAGCTGTCCGCCAGATGGCAAGTAGGTGCCTGTAGTGATATGTAACTAAATACGACATAACATAGCGCATAGTACAATATGTACACATACATACATGCATGTATGCTACATTCCCTAAAAGCACCGCGATTAAATTATGTGACCGTGTGAAAAAGTCCGGGGTTCCACTGCCAGACCATCTTGTGACAGTCTCGGTGAACCGTTGTATGATGAGCTTTTTTCGCACGAAATATTGATCCGACGATTTCTGACTTTTTTGATTTTAGATTCAAAAATTGAAAACGCTTGAGCGTGCCGCCTCGGCAGCCGGGCTGTCTCAATGCGGGGTGTAGCGTGTGCATCGCAGACGGAACCCAAGTTTTATGTCACTTGGTGCAGCACCACGCACGTCTTGGGTCCAGGGTTTTGAGTGAGTCCCGGGGCGACGTCCCGGTCGGGGCGGGGCGTTTCAGTGCAACCTTTTTCGTGCTTGGAACCCCCGCAGCACCGGATTGCGGCTCCTCCAAGCGGTTCGGGCAGGTCCTACAGGGTCTGGGAAGCCGATGTGAATATCAGACAATGGTGCAGTCATTTTCCTCTCGAAGGCTTGCGAACAAGCTGTGTGTTGGCCAGACGCAGAGACTTGGCGAGTCATTCTGACGAGGACTATGAAGCCCAGCAGGGAGGCGACCTGCCATGGATCCTGCTTTGAGTCCTGAGCGCGGAGTAGTCGCGAGCCGGCTCTATGGTTCAAGCGATGCAGCGAAGCCTCAAGGGAAGCCTGTCTATGAATGGGCCAGGCGCCGTCAAGGACTTGGGTGCTAGCAGCTGCTAGCCTCGACTTTGAACTTCATGGCGCTGGGAATCTTGAGCCCGTGTTCGCCCGCTTTCTTCTGCGTCGCTCGCAGCTTTCAACCATCCGAAGACGCAGCAGGGTCTGCCGCTCCGCCGCTTGTGCTGGTCCAGTGCTGGTCGCAACTCTTGCGCGTTCAGGCATCGTGTCGTCGTTGAACTGCGCCAAGTTCGCAGTGTCACTGCTTGAAGGGCAATCTGATGCGGCGTTCCTGGAACCTGTGCTTGGTTTTCCTTGCCCGCTGCTTCGATGTCTCGCCAAATGGCTTGCTTATGTTTCGAAACCGCTTCGGCCGTCTGCTTTGGTCGTCGGGGCGTGTTCTTGATTCTTATTATACTCAGCATTACGGCTATGATTTTGTCTATCGTGACTTTCAGTTCTTACTGTCCCGAAATTTGAGTGCCGGGAAGTCATGCGGCTCCATGCCACATTCACAAAAGAGCACCGGCCAAAAGCATGCTGCTCATGCAAGCGCCGCGGAATTCAGAATTGACACGTGGTTGCAATTTCGTGGCGGTTTTTAACATCTGAGACCCTATCTAAGCCAATTGAAGCATCCACTGTCATATCCCCCTCCTGGCGTGCTTATCCATCGCTTCTATGTGTCTGTTGCAGAGATACTGTGAATGGGCGTGTGTCCCGCCCTTCTGACTTACGTCTCTTCCTCTTGTATTGAAAACATTTGAAAACGCTCGCCTTCCAAAATGCGTGCTTTGGTTGAAACTGCAACAGCGCCCGCGTGTTGCTCTTTTTCAACTCTACTGGGAGTGGCAAATTTGCCATTTCCAACATTGGGCGGTTCCATTTTACGAAGGTAGTTTTCCAAGTATGCTGCTTGCCATGGTGCCTCCAGAGTGCATAACTTAAACCCGCCGCAGCCTTGAGGTGGGTAATACCCGTGCCTAGATTATGTAAATACTGGCCTCTGCCTAAGCTGCCAGCTCGGCCTTTACGCACCTTCCGGCCTCTGGACCAGAGTTGCGGAATTCAAAATCCAAGATTGTAAGGCATCTTGAATTTAAACTTGGATTCCAGCAGGCATGCTGAAAGTCCTGGAACAAGAAAACTCTTCAGGAATGGGAGCTTGTGACATAGTCTCTGCAACTTTAAATCGGAGGCTTGGTTTTGAAAGCTGCTGGTCCTCAGAATCTTTTGTTCAACCTGGAGACTCCACCAACATTTCTCTGGCATCAGTTCGGACCGACATATTTAAAAAACAGCTCGAGTTTTGAAATAGAGTTGATGTTGCGAGTTTCAAAGCATAGCAGGGACAACAGGTTCATCACAGATGACCTTACAATGCTCTTGTAATTGAATTTTGAATGGTCGAATTGAGGGCTGGAAACAGACACACACACACACCAATACCATTCGAAGCGCCGTTCATATTTTTCCCCAAACAGTTTACTGTTGGGGTTCTAAATTCATTTAGGGATTGCCGACATTCTGAGGGCTGTTGCCGGGTTCCTGGGCTCCTTGTCCCCTTTGTTTCCCTTCGTCTCCCTTCATGTGGGCGGTATGGGTGTCTTTGCGGGGGGAGTGGGAGAGTTGGGGGCAGGGGGGTGGGGGGGTTGCCGGGTTATTGGGCTCCTTGTCTCCCTTTGTCTCCCTTTGTCTCCCTTCATGTGGGTGGTGTGGGTGTCTTTGCCGTTGCTTGCTCCTCGCCTCCCTTTGTCTCCCTTCGTCTGCCTTGTGTCCCGTCGTCTTCACTGCTTCTTTGACGTGCCTTTGACTGTTTGGGGTCTTGGGTGGTGTAGTTTGGTGTGATACCTAGTAGAGTTCTACCGAATATGTGTGCACATGAATCTATGTGTATCATGTATTGCTTTATTTCCGACTTGGCAGAGGTTCACTTCTGCATATGAGTCGTGGGGTGCCCAGCATGGTAACATCATGTTGCACCACCGCAGCACGGATGTGATACCTAAGGGCGAAGTACATCCTGCATGTCACGGAATCCCAGCCCTTGCCTTGGCAGTGGTGGCACCATGTGGGGCCGTATTGCGCTCAAGGCTGGCTCTGTGCCAAGTTTTTCAAATGTATGCAATTTCACTTGCAGGTGGTGGACCGGAGTCTTGGCTTTGCTTGTGCAAGGTGGGCTGACATCACAGTGCGCACTGTTCTGGTTTTTCGTGTTTGTGTTTGTTGATGTGTGCACGGCACGAATGAGTATGTGCGAAGGCGCAGCATGCCCTACCACTGTGCAGCATGCGGCGACAGCCGCGACATGTTCATGAAGCAAAATACAAGTGTTGGAAGGCTCTGTGCTCCGGGCGTGAGTCTTATCGTATGCGGCAATGCGAGAGTAAGCGGGCTGATGCCCGTACAGATATGTCCTACTGAAGTGACCGGGCATAGGTGCCTGCAAGCTGAGGTTATCGCATACCTCGGCCTGCGCTTCACAAATCGAGCAAGACAAATCTGACAGCCAACAGCGCATTGGTTGAATTCGCTGCGCAGGATTTCCAAAGCATGGCCAAAGATTTGCAAATGCTTCTTTTGCTGTCGGGTCAAAGAGCATGGAGACATATGGAGACTCGAGGTGGGCACGTCGCATTGCAGAGAGCCCTTCAACAGTGGCGTGTCAACGCAGAGCACAACACATGGCTCCCACACCCCGCAATAACCCTGGCAATATGTGTGTGTGTGTGTGTGTTGCATAAACTTGCTCCGACTATCTGTGCTCTCCCTGATTCAGCCTATACTTTCATAAGAACGCGAAGTGTCGGCAGCGGTTGAAGGGCGACGAGGCATTCTCAGTCTTTCAACATTGCGCCGCATGTTAATGTCATTTAATGTCCCCCGCTGCAGTTGGAGAAAACTGAAGCGGTCTGTGGTGCGTTAAAAAGGATCCGCCAAGAAAGAAGCTGGCACCAAAGCGTGCAAAGCATGCAGCGATCTAACCACGGTCATTGCGACACCCAAGTTGTGCAGCGGTGCATGCGACGCAGGCATCTTCCACAGGAATCTGAAGCCCACGAACGTGCCAAGCTGAGGTTATCGAGTTGTAGGTGTGGACTTTGCTTCGAGGTACTCAGATCCCACAAGTTGAAGCAGTCCTGAGCGCGGGAGCCATTGCGCAGAGACTCCCGAGACCTGGGATGACTCGCGTCAAGCCAGTGGCAGGCAGGCACCATGAGAGCAGATTAGACATGAACAAGTTGAACAGGGGACAGCGCAAGCTTCCTGAGCATATTCATTTGCAAGAACTTGAATATCAACTTCGCAAGTCAACTGGCGCGCGAATGGAGCGCGGCATTGCGTGGACTCCGACCGCCGTGGCCGCTGCGAGCTCCTGGAGAAACAGACGGAGTTCCAAGCGCTTCGAAGGCTTCACCGGCCTCACCTGGTTGGCCTGCTTGGCCTTCTTGGCATGTTTGGGACACTTGCGGCAAAATCAGCCATACGGTGCCTTACTGTAATACAGCATGCGCAAAGTGCAATTTGAGCAAGTCACTAAGCGCACTCAGACTTTAGCCGTGCAGGACTCAGGGACTCAGAGCGCAATGCGCAGCTCTGTGGTGTAATTGTAAACGCTTGCGCGCGCTGCCTCGGCAGCCGGGCCGGCCCCAGAGGAAAGGTCTTGCAAAAAAAGGGGTGGAGGAGGGGGGAGGGGGGAAGGGGGGGGGAGGGGGGAGGGGAGAGGGGGGAGGGGGGCCCTTAAGCCTTAGACCCTCAAAACCGTACAGCCCTAATCCTCAAAACCCAACACCCTACAACCCCAACACCCACCTTCTAAATCCCTACAGCCCTAAGAACCCTACAGCCCTAACACCCTAAACCCCCTAATCCCTAAATTCTGAAACCCCTAAACCAGGTTTTGAGGCACTCCCCCTGTAGGAGCCACCGACAGGCGGGACCCTCCACGGCATCGGTTTGCAGCTCCTCCAAGCGATTGGGGGGGGGTCCCACAGGGCGGGGGGGGGGGGGTGGCGTCACAAAATTTTGCCTGGGGGGAAGGGTTGGGTTAGGGGGAAGGAGGCCCGATCCGGGTCTGCTTGTTCCAGACGCTTCTCGGCAGGAAGCCGAGGCGAATTGGAGCTCGGAAATGTGCGCTGGCATGTGGTCCGATGAGGTGCCCGCTTGGCATTCCTGACTCCTCAGGGCGAACCTGCCGAAGTATGTCAGCCTTCGAAAGGAGGCCCTGGACTTCGTGCAGCTTGGAGTTACAGAAGACAGAAGGCTCCGAGGGCTGGATTGCTGAGATTCTAAGTGGAGGCTGGGCAAGTCATGGAGGGTTCAGTGCCCATATCGTTCCCGTGTCTGCGGTTTGGATGCATGCCAGTTCTTGCAGTCACCGAGGTAAGAGTTGGCATCAGATTCTTGGCCATAACTGGAACCCGCAACGAGTTCCGAGATGTTTTGTAGCTTTTACCGTGGTTCATCTTTGCAAGGGCTACAGTACCTGAAACTGGGGAGTTGCACTTTTGAGCAGGCCCTGCGTGCTTAAGAGATGAGCAAGTTGAGTTGCACAGCATGCACAGCCCAAGATCCGCAAAGGCTACGACTTTGAGGACACTGTTGCGTTGGACTCGGTGAGTCTCAACCCTGCCCTGGAGTTTGTGTGCGGCAGGGGAGACGTGGCTCCACAGATCGAGGCAGCGGTGCAGCAGATGAAGCTTGGGGAACGGCGTTCTTTGATACTGGACAGCTCAAACCCGTTGTTTGGGTTTTACGATGAAAGCCGGCGGATCTCCGTTCAGGCATCTGAGTTCCCTACAGCTGAGATTGGTACGGTCATATCGCTGGAAGGATATGGCACAGACATGGGACTTGTGGTAGATCGCGACGCTGCCACCCTGCTGGTTGACCAAAACCATCCGCTAGCGGGAAAGAGTGTCAATGTCACCTTAACCCTGCTAAGATGTGAGAGAGTCCCGCCCCGGGATGTTCGTGTGAGGTCTTTGCAAGCCGGCGATGGTCAGACTTTCCCTGCCTATGGTGATTGGTTGACCCTTCACTATGAGCTTTCACTAGCAGGATGCACCAAAGTTATTGACACCACAAGAGATACGGGTCCGTTGGAGTACCACCTGGGCTTTGAGCAAGCGCTGCTAGTCCCTGGCTTTGAAATCGGAGTTCAGCAAATGTCGCTAGGGGAAGTCGCCTCAATTCATGTTCCATCTCAGTTGGCCTATGGAAGCAAAAGCTCAGACAAGGGCATCCCAGCAAATGCAGATCTGGTTTACAAAGTGGAACTTCTGAGCTTGAGGTCAGAGCTGGATCTCGCTTTCTAATCTGTTTTGCAAGCAGCTGTTCATGAAGTGGCCGCGCTGCCACACGCACCATTGCCCCAATGTCGCTGCAGATGTCTGATGATGTCTCAGGACGAGCTGTCACCGTGTCCGTGGAAATCTCAGCTGCAGATTCTGTAGGAATTCTAGCGACCCACCCACGAATCGCAACGAAGCGCGCGAAATTATGTGCCGGACATTCCGGCCGCGGTCCCCGGTCTCCATTTTAGCCTTCAGTGCGGAGGATCCAAGGCACAGAGTTGCTGCGGCTATCGTCGAAAGATGACCTTTTCGAATGTGGCCGGGTTGTGACGCAGCATCCGAAGCCGTCTGTTTGCTCTCTTCGCTCGGGTGTCCGGCCGTGTTAGGGGCACATGAATTGGTTCTGCCAACTTTGCAAGGTGCTCTTCGACCCTCCTTCGGGGACTGTCAAACTTTGTGATTTGGCCAGGCTCCCAAGAGGGGCAGTCGCTTCAGAGCTTCTGCCATTTTGCCCCAGTAAAGAAAAAGAACGCAGTCAAGAATTGCAAACTGTGATCAACAGTGCAAGAAGTGCTCAGGACCACGGGCGTTCCTTGGATTCGCCGCTTCGAGTCTACTCCCCAGAGGAGCCTTGGGACCTTGGGAGAATATGAGATGACCAGGAAAGATACTTCGCAAGCTTGAACAGCAAAGCCGGACGAAGTCCCGAGGAAATGGCACAAAGAAGAGAAGAATCGGCCTCTTGTGGTTTTGTGTATGTTTTCAGCAAAGGCAACAATGTCTCTGAGAACATCTGGGAACTCTTCCAGTGTAAGGGGGAAACAATGCAAATGCTGAGCTTGCCTGAAGAAGGGTTGTTTCACAGCTGCCCCTCTTGCCACACACAGGGTGATCGGGGTTCGCTAGCTGTTCGTAGTTGGGAACAGTGTGGTGTGGAGATTCATTCACTTGCCACTTGCAGCCTGGGCACCAATCAAAAGTGTGCCGCGCCATGCCACCACGATAGCGTTAGTGCCCGCACGCATTTCTCATAAGGTCGCTCTCGAAGTGCTGTAACAACTCGTGTGCAACAGACAGGAGGACAAGCAGCGAGACCCTTCCGGCAGGGAGGTGGGAGAGCGGGAGCTCTCTGTGTTGGTCGTCACGTGCTCTGCGAAGCGGATTTGCCTCGCAGATCTGCCGACTTCGCTACAAAGCGCCGGAGCTGATCCTGCGCAAGGTGCGCAACTCCGAATGTGGCACCGCACGTTGCAGCTCGCAGCAAAGAATACGGGCATTTCCCGCAACAGGGGTCCTTATGTGCCCGAAATACGTACTATTGCTATAATCCTTATTATCGGACAACCCCTTTAGTTGGAAGAAACACCCATACACCGACACAGGAGAAGTATGGAGCCGCTGTTGACACGTGGGCAGTGGGGTGCCTCCTGGCGGAGGCGAGGAGGGCTGCATTACTTTTCGACTAGGTATCCTCGGGCATGGGATGGTGTCGGTGGAACAGAAGTCCATGCCCTTTCAGTCGGTCTCAGTGGGAGCTGGGAGCCATTCACCACAAACTGCCGCAGCTTCCCCTGCAATTGATTGCATTGCTCCGAGCTACAGCTTGTTTGGAGGCAGCCCTGCCGACTCCCCTCTTCGAATCCAGCGGAGAGGTGCGCAGACATCACTCCGCTACTCAAGCCCCCCTACAAGTTCTACACCCGCACCTCCTTTGATTCACACACGCATACACACACACTCACACTCACTCACTCACTCACTCACTCGTCCCTGCCAAATGCGCTGCAAAAAGACCATGAGGTGTCTCGCAAAAGACGCGTTTCGGTTTCCAGCTGGTTGAAATGGAGCTATATTGATTGGTATGTCATTGTCGACTCCTTGCTTGCCGGCTTTGTTGTCTCAAATCAAACGCGACCAACGTGACTGGGACTATCCACTGGCATGCTCATTTTTTCCATATTTTTGTGTGTAGCAGTGTAGCAGCAGTGTGCACTTTGAGGAGTAGAGACGATACGCAGCCGCCCCATGCTAGTCTTGCATGTTTATTCAGTTTACATACTATGTAGATTGCCAAACACATCGGCCACACCAGTCACATCAGCAGGAAGAGAACTGGGTAATGTGCTGGGGACCCTCTTCCGCTCCGTCATTCGTTCATTGGCTTGCTCAATCATTTTGTTCAATCTCTCGAAGCCCGTCGCTCACGTGTTTTCGTTGTTTCGCTTTGCGCTCACCCTTTGGACGCTCAACGACTCACTCATTTTCTCATGTACGCAGTCCGTTCTTCATCCATTTAACTACTGTGCGGAAGCCCTAGTCAAGCACTGCAGTGTTGGCAGATTGAGCACTTGGTGTCCATCTTCCGCTTGCTGGGCACGCCAGGGTTGGATCCTCAATCGTTGACAGTCATTGCTAGGACTAGGACTTCTGAGGTAACCCTTACACCTCGACGCTACAGCCGCCAAAGCTTGAAATCTATTCTGACGCTCTGATTGAATCCTTCCGAAAGTCGTAGCATGCGCTTCCTGCTGAGGTTGACCAACTGGCCCGAGGCGCTCACCTGCAAGAGCTTCTCTCCGAGGTCCGATTCGATGAATGATAATTTTTGTGAGAGGTCTTGTCTTTTTGACTGGGGCAGTGGGGGCGAGGGGGGTGGGCCGACTCGGCAGTTGGCATTGGACTTAAGGGTCATTTGCCCATGAGCCCCGACACAGGAGGCCCAGTGCGCACTTGTGAGGCTTTTCTTGAGGGCGCCGATGCCAGGTTTCCAGTCTTCGAGCCCGTGGACCTTCGGCGCATTACTCGTGCTGTGGCGCAATCCGCGCTAGGCGACCGCACAGAGGTCTCCAACTCAGCATTGGGCAGTCAAACGCGATACAAAGAACGACGTTGGTCTGAATTTGTGCTGCTTCAAATTTGGTACCGAACTTGTAGTGGATCTGTACCGGTTCTGCACTGTGCACTGTGCACTCTACTCAGGCCCAGCAACTTGCGCAGGACTTGTCCTTCATGCATTCTGCAGACTTTGATCCGGCGTAAAGAGCGGTGGGAGCTTGACCTCACTGAAGGAAATGGAACAGCGGGAGGATGCGCCTGGGCTGTCTTAGCCCAGCTTCTGACAAAAATCTGCTGATTTGATTGGCTGAAAGATTTGCCTTGATTGGAGGTGTTGCAGAAACTTTGCTGCATGGCAAAGAAGCTGCAGGCCCTCGTGGGATTTCTTGTGCAGAAAGCAAAGCAGGAGCTCCAACTTTGGAGTTTTAGCATAGTGCCGGAGTTATGCCTCCAGAATGGGCTTCTAGGGTTGGTTTGCCCCCGCCCCTACATAGGGTTGCCATGCCCCCTTCTGCAGCCGTGGCAAGTTTGCTTTGCGAAATGTGTGCCTAGCCCATTGGGCTTTCAATGCCGAGGAGTCTGTTGATGGGCTTACTTGAGAAGTGTTCGTTTGCGACAGTGCGGCCAAGACCCTGCCTCGACAAAGCCCCCCCCCCCCCGCCCCCCCCCCCCCCGGTTTGGGCGGATCTCAACAAAGGGCCCCCTGAAGCCTATTTTGACTGGGCACATAAGCCCTACAACTGGTCACGCTGCCAGTATTGTTGGGGTGTGTCTTCATGCACGGAATAATGAGATGAAGCTTTGCGTCTTTCCCTTTTTTTGAAAGGATCCTGTACAATGCTTGTCATGACGCGAAGTACGCGAACATTGAAGGCACCTGGGATGGCCCTGTTCTCATCGCTTCTACGGCTTGATCCTGCCCAGAGGCCAGCTTGCCTTACACATGGAGGGCAGGTCTGAGCAGATTTGTTGCTCTCTCCTTCGTCCCAAGATGTCCCCACCAAGAGTAAGAGGGGAGTTTTGGAAGAGTCAAACAAAAACCAGTGAGGTTCGTGGGTTCGTGGGATTCTGCTGCACAGGTCCACTGCCGAGGAGGCCTTGCAGTCGAAGTTTTTCACACCCTTGTGCGAAGCTCAAACTGCTTTCGAATGTTTGGAATGGATGCCTTTGCTTTTGACAAATGATCAAAGAGTCCTGGCTTTCTGTTCAGAGAGATAGCCTTTTCTTTGGAGCATCAGGTCTGATCCACAAACTCCCTCGCGCAGGTGGGATCCCTGATAGCATCAGCACTCAGCCAGCACATCGTGTGCTTGGAGCATAGTAGCTGTAGCATGATTTCGAAGACTTAAAGAGGTCAGGGAAGAGTTTGCCATGAGCGGCCATTGCACTCGACATCGTCAAAATTGTAATCGCTGTGACGTCGCGGCTTCACAAGCTGGCAATTTGAGCGAATACTGCTTCACAAAGGAACCGTTACTTCATAGCTACTGGTGGTGCAGCTCCGACACTGTAGCACATAAGTTCTTCAATTTGAGGGCCGGCCACGCATGGGAAAATTAGACCAGTCTTACTAGTCACCGCGCAGATTTGATTCAAGCGATATTCGTGAGCCGTGGACCTTCACTTGACTGGTACCGATGGTAACTGCCATTATTTTTCCATGCGACTGTTGGTATCTTCATGTTCTAGTTTTTGATCATGTTTGGAACCTTTGTGGGTCGCAAGACCTCAGTATGCACACACCATAGTACATTGATTCTTGTCACGCAGTCATAGCTGTTGCTGTTCCGCAACTTGTTCAGTCGATTGAGGATGTATTGACACGATCCTATCGTTTAATTCAGCTCGAGCTAATGTGCGAGCATTTTGCGAACGGCTTTTCAACATGAAGTAGCAGCTGGAAAGCGCAAAATGGCGAATTTGCTGCTAGCTTATTCTTGATGAAAGGCGTTGGCAATCCAAAGCTTTCACAAGCTCTCTGAAACTTCCGGTCACTTGGAGAGGCTAATGGCGAGCGCAGCCAAGGGTTTCGGAGCTAGTAACGCAACAAAAACCAGCTGATTCGAGAAGTGAACGCTTACTTGCACCAGGTGCGGGTCACGTGCACCAAGCAACTGCTAAGAAGCAAGTCAGCTCCGCCGCATATGAAACGGATCTTGCTAGGAGATGGCGAACGCAAGACAGCCAAAGTCTCAGCATGAGAGCCTAATGGGCCCAGTATCACATCTGGGGGAATTCTCAGGCTTCATGACTTCACTACCTAAGGTGATCTTGAGACACGCCGAGTGCGCCAGAAGTCACAGAAGCGCACTCAGTGAATGTCAGTTGCACAATCAGGGGGGCTATCAGAGAAGATGCTGTCTGTATCGTCTGTCGTCAGTCAGGCACAGCCAAGAGTCGCATCCCTCTGACATGTCGGCACCTTCTGCACCCTCTCCAAAATGGAGCCAGGAGTTCTACCCAGAGTGCTGTGAGTGCTGCCATGTCGTCAACATGCAAATGGGCATCAAACTTCAGTTGGCGACATCTCATCACATCCCGCATCTTGTCTTGGCAGGATGTCACTTGCAGCCAACAAGAGGTCAGACGCAGCTGAATGTGTTCGCCAACTGCTGTTGTGATCCTGCGCGAATATGTTCGATCCTGTGTGGGCAGATGGCAACTCAAAGATCTGCACTGGCGCAGATCTTTGCGCCAGATCCTTAAACCGTTAGAGTCCTGTTAGCTGCAAATCGAGAAACATCGACCCTTCTTGGAGGCGTTGCCAGCTTCACACGCAGTCTTCCCAGGACTCGCCCATTTCGAAGAGGAGACCAGGGCGAAGGGAAGGGCTTCCCGGGGCTCATGTTCCTTCTTGCTGCAAGTTGCTTGAGACATTGGGAGACGGTTGTTTGGGTGTGTTCTCGCCCATCACGGAAAGGAGGCCTTGCGGGACATTGGCTGGCGACGCGTTCTGGCCTGATCCTTTGATGTTTGGGGGTGTAGGGGGGGGCAGGGGGGGGGGAAGGGGAAAAGGGGAAAAGGGGAAAAGGGAAATCGGGCAGCTTCTTCGTGCAAGTCGCCGCCAGGCCGCCTTTGTGGGCGGAAATGATGCGGCAGGAGCCAGAATGTCGTTTCAAAAGAGGGTGCATCCGCAGTGCCGACATCATCTTGATGCCAGGACGTGGTTTGCCGCCCGCCGGTGTCAACCATTCCTTTGCAAGCGGCTGAGTCACTGAGCGCTGTAGACGCAGCAATGACTTGCATTCGTGGTCATGGCCTCGGGCCTGTGAATCAACTGCGGGGACGCTCAGGCACGCAATGTTGCACCCTTTCGGGTCCCCCCTCCCCTCCTATTCAAGTCACATAAGTTTGCTATAGCTTGAGGTAGCTTGAGGATGAGCTACGTCTTGTGTGCTCGCGCTTCGCCCTTCGAGCGTTGAATCGCAAGATCCCTTTCGCAATCCCTTGCGAACCTGGTTGGAACACAACACAATATTCAAGCGCTCTGAATCGCAATTCTTTGAGACGGCCTTTTCCAAAATGAAAAGCTGCAGCCATGAGACCTGGCGGGTGATAGATCGGCTCCTGTTGCATGTCTTGGGCTGCACCGCGGTCTTCGTTCCCCAAACAGTCTGCTGTTCGGGTTCTAAACTCATTTAAGGATTGCCGACATTCCCATGACTGTTGCCGGGTTCCTGGGCTCCTTGTCTCCTTTTGTCTCCCATCATGTGGGTGGCTTTGCCGGGTCGCTGTGCTTCTCGCCTCCCTTTTGTCTCCCTTTGTCTCCCCTCGCCCCCACTGTTTCTTTGATGTGCCTTTGACATGTTGGGGCCTTCGGTGGTGTAATATCCAGCTTTACCACATTGCCAGATGATTCTGGGAGAGATCCAAGGGGTTCCTAGAATGGCTTGTCAGACCGGTCCTCAAAACAGGTCAAACTGCTAAGTGTCGGGCGATGCTTTTCACGCCTGCTGTGCTTGAGGCATGTAATTACATCGAAAGCACACCCGCAACTGTTCAAAAGAATTCTGCTCAAGGCCGGCGGTGCATCAGTGGCAGCAAGAGGTCCCCGAGCATTGCTTCACATCTGTTGGCCGAGTCTCCTGATTGGTCGGATTGCAAGTCAATACGCCGCAGTGGCAGTTGCCCATAGCATCCTCTAAAGTGATACACATTTCTTTGCACCACGCTTCCTGTTTTCCGTGCTGACGACGGACCTGAAATTGCAGAAAGAACAGTCACTATGTCACTATATGCCAACCACGGGTGCGCTCAGCTGAACTCCATCTGCAAGCAGGACTATGGCCTTGCTTTGCAGCTTCTGCATGCCTGGTGAGTTTTGGGTCCAAGCTGTGTCGATGGGACTTTCGGCACGTAGATAGGCATCACAGCATTCCTGTGATCTCCGCCTCCATGGAGCCGCGACAGCACATTCAAGCTTGAAATGTAAGGGTTCGCGTGGGTTTTTATCTGTGAGCTTCTTTGGGTAGCACTTGTGCCCCTCCGGTCTTTTCATGTCTTTCCTTTCAGGCGCGCTCCCGCAGATTTACCTTGCTGGCATCCGCCATCGCAGCGGGCGGGCTCCTGTCGCTACACACCGCCACAGCTTCACAAGCCTTCGCATCAACAGCCTCGCCAGTTCAGGCAGTACTGTCCTCTTGAAAGCATTAGCCTTACTTCGCTCCAATGTGAAAAATCTCCACGCATCGTGCATGTACAATTCACATGCACATGTACAACGGACGAATGAGGAACTACTTCACGCAACTCATCCTTGTGATGACTCCTGGAGTAGCTGTCGCTGGTGGAGCCTATGCGCTGGCCAAGCGCAGAGACAGCATCCGCGCTGCACTCTGGTCTTAGTGCGAGAGAGCTTCGAGGTGCAACAAAGCGTCAGGTCAGCCAAGCCAGCGAAGCTCTCAGGCCCGCCAAAGCCAATGTGGGTCATCTCGGCAGCCATTTTGGTCATGCTCACGCTGGCCGCACCCCTGGCGCTGCCCTTACTAGCTCCGCTCAAGGGATGCGACATTGCTTTTTGGCATTTACCAGGTTCCCCAAGAGGGGTGCCCCATATCATCGAAGATCTCATGTGCCTATGCTCTGCAGTCCTGTAGGCTTGGCCGGGCCGTGGCGAGACGCAGGCCACCCTTTTCAGCCTCTGTGCAGGGCAGTCAAGCTTCCAAGTCATTCCGAATTCGGTTCGACTGCGCCAATACCGGAGGTGGTGGAGGAAGTACAGCTTCGCAGTGGAGAACTTCGCGTCATGCCCAACGGCAAGGCGCAGATGGTTTCAGATCCCAGGCGCCCCCAAGGGGACACAGTCTGGTGGAGCCCCTAGCGACTTAGAGGCCCCTGATTCTGAAGAGAAGTGCAGGCCCGGCAATGGGCCGGCCGAGGAAGGCTGGCAGCAGGCTCTCTGGATGGAGATGGCCCAGGCCCCTCTGGCTTTCAGATGTCTCGAGATTGCAATCATATTGCAGTCGTTGCAACAATTGCAATCCTTCTCTGTGCAGGCCATTCAGCAAGGAGAAGAGCAAGTTGTGACTCGTCGTTACCAACTGGGGCTTTGGCAAGGTTCGAACATGTTGCCATGTTGAATCCGTTGTGATACTCATGCGGAGGTTATGGTATTCTCCCGCCACTTGGCTGATGTCGCAGCAGAGGCTGTAAGCAAATGTAAGCAATATGTGTGACCTACTCTTGCCGCTGAGTTAGGACATGGTGCTTGATGCGACTGTCAAATGCTACTCATGCTCATCTCACTCAGCCACTAGGTCCCGGATGTCCTTGGTGTCAAAAGCTTCACCCAGTTTTGGAGGACGACACTTGGCAAGCAATGCTTACAGGCATATCGCAGCTTCTCTGATGCAAGCCCTAGCGCCATACAAGCATACCAGAAACCTGGCCCAGCTGCGCATGAGGCCGTCAAGAAACGAGCCCAACTGTTGGGCGGTGAGTCGGCAGATGCAGCTGCGGAGGCCACCCCTTTAGCCAACGACGACTAAAACCCACTTGAACAGCAAGACTGACAGCCATGTCGATCCCATGTTCGGCAGTTCGTGTGTGAGCCAGGGGCCAAAGTTACTCCATTCGCCGCTGCGGATATTCATCTACGACGCCTCGGACTGCCATGCTGATCCTTTGTTGCTGCACCTGTGCTTCTGAGAATGCTCTACTCGTACCAGCACATAAGAGTACACGGAGGAATTCGGTCCAGTGATGCGTCGCTTCGGCGTCGAAGGCGCGATATGCCTTCTCTGGCTATATGCGTAAATCTTGGGGCGCATGGCCTCTGATAAAATTCAGCGTAGCCAATAACGCCTTCTGCGGGCCGGGTTCGCAGGTTTTCCGACGATGTATTTCTTCGGAGAGCCTGGGTCCAGGCTGGGCAAGTGGTTGGGATCAGTGACGCTGACAGCTCACACGCGCGTGATCTTGTGACGCCAGGCCGACTGTCGTTCCTGGATACCTGAGCTGCTTGTCTTTATTAGGGACACCCTTGAAGGATGGTGTGCATGTTGCATGCACACAGACACACACCTCCCGAAGTTGGGGGGAGGGGGGGGGGGGGGGTATTCCCCCGGGTTTCTGCCTGAATTGCTAAGGTGAGGAGGACTTCGACAAGGTGTGCCAGAAGGCGGCAGAAGCGCCTGTCGAGCCGCCGCCTTCGGAGCGGAAGCGTCGAGGCTTCTTCCGCTGAGAGGAAGGCCCCTTAGGAAGGCCTTAAGGTGGCTAAGGTCCAGCGCCCAAGGCACCGAAAGCCTCGTGCCGAGCTCATGGGCATGGGACTTCCTGGCTTTCAAGGAAGTTGCTCGTGTTGCGTCCAGCAACGTCGAATACTCTAAGTCCCGTGAGAGCTAGAGCGGAAACAGGGGCTGCATGCTGCACAATGTGCACATGTGCCCAGACAACGCCTCTTAGACGTGCGCTGGCAATCTCGGATGAAGAAAAAGGTGGAGGCCATGAGCTCAGACGAGAGCGCATACGTGCACATACCAGCCAATGCCAGGTGGATCGTTTGCTCCGACTCTGCACAGACCTACAGCTGATGGACCAAACACTGCACTTGGCCGCGCCGGCCTCAGCTCCGCTTGTAGGCAGAGTGCTCCAAATCCATGTGATTGGAGTCAGAGCCATAAGGAGCCATTTAACAGTTCGCAACAAAAATCGCCAGCAGGTGGCACTTCTGCACGACTTTCTGGCTGACTCCTCGGCAGCGGTGCCGCCAACACTGGCGACTTGGCAGTTTGAGGAAGCTTTACCCGCGTGGCGATTTGCCTACATGCCTACATGTCCACGCGAGTTTCTAGAGGCCCTGAAAGTACTTCCCGGTGTAGAACAATTCACCCAACCCCTGAGCTGCCCTGAGACCCAAAACCTTGGACTCTCAGCGGAGGCAACACTTGCGTGTTTGAAGCTCGCAGATGCGATGTTGGAAAAGAGCAACGAGCAGCCAGCCGCATTTCTTGGGGAGGCTTTCGCAAGGGAGGGTGGGATAGTGTTTACAATGTGTACACTTGACGCTCATGCTTTTCTCAAACTCCAGCTTTGCAAATGCATGGAAATGACAACACTGAACACATCACTTAGTCTTCTTCGTGATTGTAGGATACTCTCTGGAGTGGTGCAGGAGTAGACTCAGTAGGCTTTTTAGACTCCGTGCCACGGTAGCATCTGCATCTCGAAACCAGGTTTGAAGGAGAGTTGAAACCCCCCCCCCCCCGTTGCTGACAAACTTTCTTTCTGTTTTTGTCCTCTCTCCCTCTCTCGCTCTTTTTCTTTCCCTGTGTTTCTCGGCTTCAGGAGGATGCGCGAATAAGAACGGCAGTCAATCAACATCTGAGCATGCACCCTTCCGAGGTATTTCACCCGTGACAGGACTGAACCTTGACTTGACCTGAAAACCATGGCAGGTTTCCAAAGGTTCCAGCTAACTTTCTGCTACAAGTGACAAATGCTGACACTTCTTTCGACGTTCTTTCGTTTGTTCTAAATTTCTGGATCCGGGGCTCGCGTCGGCCTTGCGCATTGCACCTTGCGCATTGCAGGAGTGGAGACATCAGAGATGCTTGCGGCCGAAGCTGGACTGGGAGCTCCTATAGCTGCAGTGCACATGCAACAAGAATACCGCAGGGCCACAACAACTCCACGATGCTACAGATAGTACCTCGGCAGATCCTTGACTCTGAAAGCTGCACACGTTGAAGAGAAGGATGGAGCATGTGTGAGAGATGGCATCGGTCTGCGATAGTAGCAATCGGCATGATGCACTTTGCGTGGAGGAGTGCAAAGGACATCATTGAAACAGAGAAGAAGGTCTTTCGCAGGCCCTTCCGGTTCATGAAACGGAGGACATGATGAGACATGTGCCTTACAAGTAGACTTACAAATTTTCGCGATCTAACACGGTGTCAACAGCCACGTTCTGCCAGGCTGCAGACGACACTGCACCGTCCCACGGCTGACTGGACGCTGCCTGAGTCTCCCAATCGATCATGGATCCTGCATATGTGGGTAGCGATTGCAAAAGCATAAACATGAGCAGGTTCTTGCACTCCTGCCTGAACGTTTGGTGCAGCATTCTCAGATGTTGGAGAGAAACTTGCCGAGAACCCTGTGGAATTTTTCCAAGCACGAACCGTTCCGATGCTGCTGCCGAGGCCAGGAGGCGAGTGTGCACTGCTGGGCACTTGGATCACTTGCCTCGCTCGCCCGATGATCTCAGCCAACTCATGCACAGCAGGACCTGCAATTTATTGCACAGGCAAAGGAAAGAAGAAAGAACGGAAAGAATGACGATTGTCTCAGTTGTTTCTGGCGAAACCGCGCTGAGGCCTTCCCCAGCGTTGTCATCGAGACATACATCGCCTGGTGGGATCTGATTGCCATTGATTGCTCAATTTTCCTTTCTGTGAGTCCACAGAGTTCATGGAACTGCAGTTTCCACAAAACATGGCAGAGGCAAAATTCATCAACATGTGCTGCCTGTACGACAACGAAATGCAGGCGCTACATGGGGCTTTTTCTTGGCCGTATGGGATCCGATGTGCAGCGTTAGACCATGCTAGACCCCAGCCTGGGATCGAGAAAGAACGAGCCATTGGGCTGTGCGGACTTTACTCCGGGCGTGACAAGAGGGGTCAGAGTTATGGAATGCCGAGTAGCCTAGGGCCGTAGCACTTCGAGATGCTTGGGCCGCTTGGGTAGGCCGAGCAGATGCTGGCATTCACTGGGATGTGAAGTAGAGCCGTTGACGCCACGAGCAAGCTTTGAGGAAACTCGACATGCCAAAAGCATGTTGCAACGTTTGGAGAAGCTACGTTGACGGGACATGCACTCGAAACTCGGAGGATCTTAGGTCAAGACATTGCACATTTCAACACGGGCTTTCAAGATGTCGTTGCGGGCCGACAGTTTGAAGACTGCTGTGCAGGGGCTGAACTCTCTGCTACTTTGCTACTGCCGCTTTGGGCCATTGTGGCCGCCTTTCCGCCCACAGGCTCAGCCATCCTCGCTGAGAGCACAAGCCTCCATTCTGCTAGCAGTGGACGCCCCGACTCTTATGCATGCGTATGGAAGCGAGTTGTCAAGAAGTTCTTTGTTGGCTGTTCTCACTCAGCCTAGGTCCACTGCCTTTCCTCGGCACCGGACTGTAAAGGCAGGGCTGTGCAAGGTGCAGCCGAGCACAATACAGCAATACGATGTAGACCTTGAACCTGTGAGGAGTCTTCCAGGCCTGGCGCACCGTGCTCACCCTAGTCCTATAACATCCGACTTCGCCTCCACAAGATTCCCAAAGCAGAAGCCGAGAACAGCCAATTGGGCCAAGCGCTGAGGTACGAGCCAGGACCTGCAGCTCCAATACCAGAGACCTGGTTGTGCCGGTCTTCGCCAGGAGTCCAACATAGCCATGACATAGTCATGGTTTCAAGTCTTGAGCTCGCATCGACTCGCCAATCCACTCTCATCCCTTCGGAACTGGAAGGATCTGCCATGTCGTCAGCGCTCAAGGTCACCACCTCGGTCAGAAGTTGTGTGATGTTCCGGGGTTCCTTCGCACTCCAGAAAACCGAGGCTCTCGAGTGCTCGGGCAGCTGCAAGGAGACCCAAGGTCAGTTTCTGTTCCAGTCGGCAGCTCAGGCTACGAAGGCTACGAAGGCTACGAGATGCCAAGTTTCTAAGTTTCTTCGAAGTCGAGGGATATGGACGTGGGGGAAGGGGCGGGGGCCGGACCTGAGGCCGAGAAACGATATCCAAGCATTGCAAGGACTGCTTTGTTGTTTGTTCGGGAAATTGGGCTATTGGGGGAAGTGAGCTCGGACTGAGCAGGCAAGCGCGAGTCATTGCCCTCGCACGCGACAGGAGAATTCCCCCAAACTTTCCGCCGATGGCCCGGTACTGGCATCTCCAAAGAGTCGACCCACGTGTCTGCGAGCATAAGGCCCTGAAAAGATCTTAAGATGATCCTAAATCAACCCAACGGGCCCTGTGGACACCTGCGTGAGCTTACATTTCTTTAGGTTTCGCCCTTTCTGCTTTGAAGCCAAAGCCTATTACAAGTCTTGCTGGCGCAGCGATCCACAGTGATCTAGGCCCGAGTTGGCAGACGAGCTGTTGCCAACCTGGCCCGAGCCACTCAGAGGCAGTTCAGGGAACGCTCGCACTTTAAGGAAGTTCAGGGCTGTCTTGTGCGGGGGAGTTTGAAGTTTAGGGCTTAGGCTTAGTGTTTCAAGGTACATGGGACATGGTCTTTGCACATGCGCTTCGGTTTTTACGTGCTGCGTACACTGTGCTTTGGCATTTGAGGTTCGGTTCCACGCCCTCAGTGTAGCAGGATGATCCTTGTGAGGCCTGGCCATAACTGGCCATAGCTGGCCATAGCTGGCAATAGCTGGCCAATAAGTATGCCTGATTTAGTTGACAACCTGTCCCGAGGGCCGCAAGCAACCCCTCACTCGGGCAGATGCGAATTCAATTCCGCGAGAGCCATTCGAAGCACTTCGTGCTTGCACGGATTTGCAGGCGTGCTGTCGGTAGCGCAAGGGTCTGTTGCTGCTGGCAGATCAAGGCTACGCCTAATCAGGCACTACAACGTTCTACCTCGAATCTCGATTCGCTTGGAAGTGAGCCGTGCGAGAGTCTGAGAGCTGCTGAATGGCTCCATCGCGCGTGGCATGTGAACGTGCCTTTGGGGATTTTTACTTTGACCTTTGCTCTCTGGCGCTTGCGGAAAGCGACCAAATCCCAAAGATTCCCATTGCCAGAGGCGCCGTGGAAGGTGATTGCAGGTGGCAAAGGGCGACACGGGGTGTGCCGGTTCTGTTTTGCGCTTTCGCTTCCACATGGCTCGAGAACACTTCAACTTGATCTGGTTCTGGCGGTGGTTGTATTGGTTGTCGGACTGCCCAGGACATGTTCGTGTGGTGATGTTGGCTCAAGGCTTCCAGCTTGCGATTTCATCCCATGAGTCATGGCTACTCCTGGTGCTGAGATGAAGGCTTGTGTCATGATCGGCCAACTGGCATAGGAAGCTTGTGATTGTGTTGGTTCGATGTGATTGGAGCTTGGCATGGCCTCTGCGGGCGCACTTCAACTCCAAACAGCCCAGAAACGACCATGTGTAGCCATTCGTATCCCTGAGATCCGTGGTCGAGCTGCACAAAGCATGCAGCCCATTGCAGCCCTCATGGAAAGTTGGTGTCGGGCCGGCAGCACCAGCAGTTTGCGGCAGGAACCTAGCCAGGCCATCGCGGGACTAGCGACATATAGCCAGAGAAAACAGCCGCGAGGCAGAGCCAATTCTTCAAGCATCAAGCTACTATGGTGACCCTGACAGGATGTGTGGTTAGCCTGGCTCAGGTGGGTGCTCCCATTACGTGGGTGGAAGCAGGGCCGTGCCGCAAAGTATCCACCCGAGGCATGCCCTCAAGCGTGGGCGGAGAATTTGAAGACTTATGTCGGGCAGTTGGGCATGCGGGCGCTGCCTCCGTACAGGAACATTTCCACATCAGCCACATCAGCCTTGGGCAGCGCTTGCTGCGGCGGCTGTCCACATCTCGGCTGCAATGGCAGTGCAAAAACACAGAGGCTAGAGGCAGTTCGGAGAAGTGCAACAGTCGCACTCCTGTAAAGGCGATTAAAGCTCTTCACAGCTTGCGGCAGAAGCCTCTGGGCAGGCGGCACGTGCATGCCTCAACATTGTACTGATCTGGACCTCGACCAGCTCCTTTGCAAGCCATTCGAGTGCAGTTCTACGACCAGCATGACAGAAGTGGGCGATCCAAGTACACCAAAGATATTTCGTTTGATGTGCTCTACCCTGAAAGTTTTTGAGCCTCACCCGTCGGCTCGGCGTGGGCTCCCCTCAAAGTCGATGACATCCAAAACACAGGTGACAATACGACAGTAGCCATGTTAAAACCCTGTATGCAATAATGTTAAGCCTTTCTTTTTGTGCGCACAGTGTATGCCATCTCCTACCCCCCCTTCCTGCCCCCCTTCCCCGCCCTCCCCCCCCCCCATACCAAAAAACGGTTCCCACTACCCAAGACCTTGGCTCTAGGGGCCAGGCCTCGCAATAATGCCCCATTAAGGTGGGGCTGGTGCACTGGAGAACTGACGTGTTGACTGCGTGGGCTGCGGCACATTCCCGTAAACTGCAAGGTTACGGCCACAAGATGTCGGTCTCAAGACGATTCTGAAGAGGCACAGTTGCAGCATGAATCTCGGCTGAAAGCCTCGGAGATGGCAGTTGAGGGCTGATCGTGTGCAGGCACCTTCAGTGTTCCAGCAACTGCAAAAAAAGATTTCGGAGGAGCGTGCTGTCTCAGCAGCTTCCAGACATGTCTACACCGGCCGCTGCTGCGGCACTGCCCTGGGAGGAGTGGCATGAGTTCTGGTTCGGGGACTATTGGAGCGAAGAGGTTCCTGTGCGAGCCTTGGTCATTAACAGTAACAGGTTCGTGAAAATAAGGCCCAAAGAGGCCCTGGTACTTTTAGGTCAGCCGTGTGGCCTCAGATTGTGGCCGCCCCTTCGAGGTGACCGTCGACGCGCTCACAGTGGTTGGGATGGTCATGGTGATCTACGGGGTGGAGTACCTTTTGGCGTCGCCCTCATCGTTTGAATTCCTCCGAGTTTGGATCCCGTCTTCAACTTGAGGTGCAGCTGTTCCGCGCCTGAGTCCTCTCAACTCGGCCATGTACTATTGTGTCAGTGGATGCGAAACGGCTCCACAGCATTTGAGAGCAGGGACTGCTGATGGGCGTGCAAACTGCACTGGCCCAACACGGCCCAAGACCCTCTCCCTCTCACGATGTAGGCTTAGGTCCCGTCATCTTTCGGCGCGTCGCTACCGAAAAATTTGGCCTGAGGGCACGCACGCTGAGGATCCAGGAGCTCAGGAGCATCCATCTGATCCGACAGCTTGTTGGCCCCGGAAGCATGCATGATGCTAGCGATGCTAGTGGAGAGTTTGGGGACAGCGGAGAGAGAGAAGCGCCGGATGTTCTCAGCACCGGCGCAAAAGTACTCTGGCCATTCCCCAGAGATGAATCCTCTAGTCTCAGTGAGAAGCAGTAGTCCACTAGAGCCGAAGGGTTGCTCGATGCGGCCGAAAACGGCATGGTCCCAAGGCGGCATGGTGAAGCTTCAGAAAGTTCCACATTGAAAGTTCCATTGTTGGCGGAGAGATGCAGTGAGACCATGCACATGATGCTTGGTGGGCCCATCGGCGCAGGTGCTCCACCTTCCTTGCCGAAGCCTAATGCGGGCGCTGGCCAATCAGTTGTGGAAATAGCTGTGTATCTGTGAGATGCTATGATACCTGGGGCATGTTTTCGGAGCCATAGACACACCGGCACAAACCGCGGCACAAACCTCGCCTGAGGTTGAGACCTCCCTTCTCAGGCTTCGAGGACGTCCCCTTGAGCAAAGCCGTGCCCAAGATCCTTTCCTGCATTTCGTTAAGCTCAAGCTTTGAAAGCTCCGCATATCTCCGCATGCTCCACAGAAGGGTGACGTGAAGCACCCTGTGATACTGAGATACTGCTGCAGTGACTGAAGCTTAGTGAGGCTTCCTGCTTGAAGCATCTTGAAGCGAAGCTGTTCGACTGTGCAATATCCACTTGCTAAGATGCTGGCCTTCAGTTGCGTGAGCACAGAGGGTGTAGCTGATGTCTGAAACCTTTGGGGCTAGCTTCATTTGTTTGCTAGAACCCCTGTTGGGTGAGTGTGTGAGTGTGTGAGTCTGCGTGTGGGAGCTGTTCGGGCAAGGGGGCAGCCAGATTCTTCTTTGATGCCAGGCAACCGGAGCCCAGGTATACGGGTAGAAGGATCCGTGACAGCATGGATCGGTGTCAACACAGCTGCGTCATGGTTGGCTTGAGCAAAAAGTCAGAGTCGCCTGCTCTCAGAACGCTTTGCAGCGCACTTGCAGCCGAGGCCAAAACTGTCTGTGGCTTGGGCCGCTCGAGCCAAACGAGGCCGGGCAGCACTTGGCGCCAAATTGTCGTGGCACTGGGGGGTCGAACCGAGTCGAAGTATTCGAAGTCGCACTTTTGAGCGTTCTTCCTTTTTGAGTTCTGAGTGTGCGAGCTATCTTCGAGTTCTCCAGAGGTGAAGCTAAGCCAGAGTCCCGTGAGGACCGAGGCTCTCGGCTCAACCGAAGGGAAGCTCAGGGGGCACGACGCTGCGCGACATTTCTCTGCCAGGTCCCTTGGAAGACCTTGGAAGTGGGAAGAAAGATGGAGGTCCAAAATCCATCATTCTCTGAAGCCAACAGCTCGTTTGGACAGCAACTTTGGGCTGCCCCTTTTGCAGGAAAGCCCAATGAAAAGACGGAAAGGACGGGCGAAGGGGGGTGCGGAGGTGGTGGTGCCAGAAGTATGTGTGAGACATTGTGAGACTATCCAAAATGGCTGGGCTGGGTCTCTGTCAGGAGTGGTTCCTGCAGGGACGCGGAACTCAAGGGCAGCGAGCGCCCGAGCAATGCTCGGAAATTGGACGGTGGAGTGCAGGGCTGAGCTACGTGCAGTGGGAACAAGTTCAATCCCAGTGGCATCGGCGTCTTCAAAGTTCGCTTGCGCTCCAGGGAGTGGGAGTAGTTTTTGCGTCCTAAACTGTACATGTCTTCGCCCCCATGCGGGAAAGGCCAGAGAATATCTGAAAATGCATCTTCGCAGCCAGAGGGGTACTGACGTTCAGCATGTATGGTCGCGCCAAACCCCTCCGGAAAAGAGTCTCCATAAGAGCTTCTGCCTCGTAATGCGTCTTCGCCCCCCGGATGGTAGCCTGGTGAGTTCTCTCGAATTTCGCTTACTTTGTAACTTGGTTTGCTGTAGGGTCCCGACAAGATGTTGAGGGCAACCGTATCCTAAAAAGGAGATGGGTGGCAAACCGTGGCCCCCGAAAAGGTGGCAAACGTACAGAGCCAAACAACAATTGCAACTGAGCAAGGTGCTTGGCTACCTCCTCGAGGGATCATGCTGTTTCGGAGCACGCTTGACGGAAAAAGATGAAGAAAGCCAAAAGTTACAAACAGCAACAAAACGATACAGCTGAACGTGCTTCCGGCCGGACAGGCCCGGCAGCAGCTTTCGGCACTTGTCCAAGGTAGAGGCAGCCGCCCTGAATTTGCAATCTTCTCCGCCGCCCCCTGAACTGGCCCCCCGCCAACCATCAAGGTGCCACTTCCTCACTTAAAGCTTGGGGGGTGGTAGGAAGCTCTGCAGACTGCGTTGAGGCTTTGAGGCCCTAGCTGTGGGAAATGTGGAAGGCTCTCGTTTGTTTGTTCTTGCAAAAGACGGCTCTTCGACGAAAAGAGCTGCAGGTAAAGGGGCATAAAACACGAGCTCCAAGGGAAATTAGCGTCGTGGCTGCGCGAAGCGGAATTTGGTACTAGACGAGCTTCAGAGAAAGGACCCCACGGAAGAGCTTCGGCTGCGAGCAGACGAACTTCGGACGAGAGTGGCTTCGGGAAAAGAGCTCGAAGAAAGAACTTTGCTGGGGCTCCGAGGACGCGAAATATGCAAGGCAATTGGCTTCAACAAGAAGCTTGTGCAAAGATGTGCAAGGTACAAATGAGGCGAATGAGCAGAGCCGGAATTGAGCTTCCACGAGAAGAGCATCATCGGTAAGCTTCGCTTCTCCGATAAGAACAGAAGAGCTTCATGCAAAGATAAAGATTCCGAAAGCATCTCAACACGACTTCAAAACGTCACAGCAGGAAAGGTCACAAGTCGACCAGAAGAGGAGCTTCAACAGCGAGCTTCGAGTGAACATTCGGGGCCTACTTTGCATAATTTTGCATAGTGAATGGGGCAAGGTTTTCAAGATCGAGTTCAGCGACTCCTGGCGGACCGTGCTCTCCAATGCACTTCAAGAAGAAGACTGCAGACCTGAGGACTCACAACCTACCGAGGGGTTGATGGCAGCACGTAGTGTCATGTCTCGATATGATTCAGCCGTCCTTCTTGTAATTCTCATGATTGGGTTTTGGTGGGAGGATTAGTCTTAGGCCTTCTGTGCAGTCTGCTGCGTTCTCTGTCGTGCTGTGCCTCTCTGCAAAAAGCGCACGGAGGACTGCAGGGTCTTCAATCGGCGCGGCGAGCTGATTCCCTTGTTCTTCGACGGAGACTTCGTCCCGGCTCCGAAAGAGTTCCCGCTCCGAGTGGCTCTGGAGAAGGAAACGCCATCTGGGCTTCTGGATGCTTAACAGGATGCTTAACTCAGGGGACATTTTAAAAATTCGCACTCTTTCCATGGGAAACTCTTTTTGAAGGATCGCCAAAGTTGGGATGACACGAGCAAGTTGGACTGGCCCCGCATATCGGCAGAGTCTGACGAGGCCTCTTTTTGGACCATCGTTCACGGGACGGTCGTTCTCAACCGACTCTGGTTCGCGCATGTTATCGCATGTTTAGTTTACTATCTTTTCGGAATGCCCGCCGGAAGTCGGAAGGCGATCTGGACTGCCACGAGCGCAGCATCGCTCATATCGGAAGAGCAAGAAGAAGCCGATGGCTCGGGTCTAGCTGTTAGCTTAGCCGGAGGGTAAGTCTGCGTGCATGGTGACGAGAATCAAACCTTGAAGCGCAAGTCATATTGTCCGAGAAGTAGGAGAGAAGGAACTTTACCACTGGGGTTCTGAGTCTGTGCATGTGCGCTTGCGGTTGCGCAGGTGCAGGTGTGTATGTGTGCATGTGTGTTCTTGGATCAAGTGCGCAACCTTCCTAAAGTCCGTTTCCGTGAGAGTCAGAGAGCCAAGAATCCTGGGAGGAATGTCACACTGCATGTGTTCGTTTGTCTGCGCTCGTTGGCCTTCGCATGTGGGTGTCTGGGCGGGCATGGAGCTGCTAAACCCTACACCCTAAACTTCCTCGTTTCATCGATTACCTCAAGATGCATTTAGGTGCTGGAGCCCGCGGCTCTGGTACCAATGAAATAATGCATCAAAGAAACTTGCACTGGGGCTGTGTCGATTGATCGAAACTTTTGAAGCCAGATTGCAACTTGATGTACCGGTAAGTTCCGAGATTTAGTTTCAGAGTTGCATTGTAAAGCAGCAAAGAGCATCAGCCGCAGATCCGCCTAGCGCAAAGGCAGCTCAAATGTCCATTCAGATGCACACCTCAGTCGTCCTTGCGAGAGTGCGTGTGAGAGCGGGGAGAGACGGACATGGTTCAGAGAACATGCTGTTATGCTGGTTGTCTAATCCGGTGTGACTGTGAATACATTCGCTGTTCTGGATGTGTAGCACCTGTTGTGTGCATGATCTGTGAGCCATATACATACGATGCATGTGTACCTATAACACATATCCATATACACAAAGAAACATGTGAGTGTGCCTGTGTGTGCGGGTGCGCATACATGTGTGGCCAGTGTCAATGGAAACAGTTTCAGACAGGGCACATTCATGGACTAGATAGCTTCCGCTTTTGGCACAGAGGTTCGGAGAGCAGCAAGCAGCGTGGCTTCAGCGGCAGAGACTGACGACGAGGCAGGACTCCAGCACCCAGAAGGAGAGCAGACCAGTAAGCGAACAGCGGTGCATGCACAGAGCGCGGTTCCAAATGAATTAAACTAATTGTTGAATGTGTATATGTGTATGAACTACAAAGAGAAGTTTGGCAAATTCAAGGTGCCTTCTCACCTGCAAGCTGTTGCCAAGAGCCTTCGACAGTGGCTGGCCGAAATGAAGCTGGATCCTCGTGAGCTTCATGGTAGGTGGAGGTTCGGATTTGAGTGATCTACAGTGACCTACAGTGACCTCAGCCACCACTGCTGCTTACGATGCTTACTGTCTTCTACTGTGTACTAGAACTTGTCATCGTGAAAAATCTTCCCGTGACGCCGACTGCTGATGCTACAGCTCGGCCACAGTGTTGCTCTTGTAGCGGCTGTCCCGCCGCTGCTGCTGCTGCTGCTGCTGCTGCTGCTGCTGCTGCTGCTGCTGCTGCTGCTGCTGCTGCTGCTGCTGCTGCTGCTGCTCATCGTGCTTGCTGTGGTTGTGGCAGTGCTGGTGCGTGCAGTGGCGTGCAGGGCGTGTTTGTGGCCGAGGCTGCAGCACTTGGAATCTTCGGTCCTGAGATGGCCTGATCCTTGGTGGCTGGGATCATCAAGCACATCGATCACTGATTCTCAACCCGAGGTGTGACGAGATGGGTGCATGCTCAGTGAAGGAGGCTTGCAGCCTAAGTCCTGTGGCGTCTGTTTATGAGAAGCGCGGTTTCTTCATTGGGCCTGCTACCAAAGGGCTTGCGAGGTGGTCCAATTGGAAACTTTCGCCTTCACTTTGACTTTCCTCATCCTTCGGGAGTTAAGTAGCCAGATCAAGAAAAAATTCGGCACCGCAAGAAAGAGCCGCTGCTCAGTGACTCTGTCACACATGTGGAGAATTCCGTGTCTCAGCAGAGCTAAGGAGCTTCATCAGAAATCTCCGTCTGTCGCGGTGTAGGGAAAGTCGATGCACATTCTCGCAGCATTTAATTCCGGGCAGGCGAGTGACGCAGGAGTCAAGAGAGGTTTTGCAACACTAGCATGCAGCCTTCGACAAGCGACATGCCATGTGATGCATTGCCATGCGTTGCCGAGCACTTGTCTCACAGACTTCCTCCTTCTGTGCAGGTGGTCGAGTGCCTTGAGTATCTCATTGCCGCGCTGGATTTGCAGACGCTCTGGCACTCAGAGTACGCTTCCGTGTCCTGATGTGTTCCTGATTGAGCCACATAGCTCTGCTCAGGAGATATGTAAGAACCAGAAAGAATAGATAAGAATAGAGTCATATGCCTATCTAGGCTCAAGCAGACAGAAGACATGCGGAGAAGCGTACAAACTTTGGCGGCGCCCACTGGAAAATAGAAGAGCTCACCCGGAAGAAGGCATGGGAACACAGACGAGGTGTCTGGCCCCAACGAATGGATGCACACGAGCCCTTGCTGGACTTGGATCCGCTAGGGCTAGGGCGAGGCTCAGCGGTGAGCGCCAGCAGCTCAGCACTGGGACCACAGACCCTTCAGAGGCCGAGACCATCCCGGCGGACTCGTTGGACTCTGTGAGCCCCTGTAGCGGAGACACGTGCTGTCTCTGCCTCTTCTTTGATGAGATGCAGTTGGCTTTTTGTTGCATTGAATAGACTGCTGGCCTGCCGGCTCATGGCCGATGGTTCGGACGAGTGATCTGACTCAACATATGGCAAGTTCTTGACGGGGAGGCGAGAATGAGCACACCCACATAAAGTTTGACAAAGAAGCAAGAGCTGACAGCACCATCAGCACCCTAAACGCTTCCCAGCCGTTCCCCCAAGCCAGTACTAGGCGGGCTCTCCACCGTTTAATTTCGGAGGTCAGAAGTGCATTCGGCGAGATATGGCCGTCCGCGACTCTACACTGCTTCGCTGTTTACCAAAAAGAAGCAGGTTTTGTGCACTCCCAACTCGACATGGACAAGTGAAAGCCTGATTCCCAAACTTACCAACTTGGTGTAAGGTCGCCAAGCGAAAAACACCAGAAACGCGAGCAGCTTTGCCACCACCCAACTTGAGGAGCAGCACAGCAGCATCAAGTTCCTCCTTCCGTTGGCAACAGCTCACGAGCTAGTTGCCTCTCAAAAAATCTGTTATGGACAGTTATGGATGACTCCATCGGAGACTCCGAACGCGTTACGCGCCTCAGAGTGGAACTGCTCGACCCTGTGAGAGCGAGCTGCCCAACACTAGCCAGGTACGTTTCAGTGGCTGCTAGTCGTTTACTTGCCAACGATGTTTTTTTGAGCATGGGTACTGCAAGCTAGCTTGGCAATGCAGCATTCCTTTGACTGAGGGTAGGTTCCTTCCTGTTCAAGAAATCTACTCGAGAGATCTAAAGACACCGTGGTGCACTTCTCGATTTGGTATCCTTGCGCAGGGGCCATGCTAATCTTCTCTGCATCGTTCCAATTTTATCGGATGATTACCGAAGAAATTCCGATTTTGCTCGGAAATTGCCAAACAAGAAATCTTCACAACGAGCCCAGAAAAACACTTCGCATTTTGGGTTTAGATATGACCGTCCGTGTGAGTGTTGCACAGCAAGGGCTTGATTGTCTAGGCTGTTTCGGGTCTTATGGTTGATGCCATTGGCATGCTCTCTGAGAGCCATCACTGGGCCATCACGCACAAGCCCGAAAGCGACCGCCGATGCCATGGAACGAGGTCGGATGCCAAGAAGCTGCGTTCTGAAGCATCGCACGCACTGAAGAAGCTGAAGACACCAGGAGTCTGCCCTAGGAAAGTGGAGCGTGCCTGCCGTTTGTTCATTCGATGTGCCCTCGTCTGCCGCAACACAGAAGATAGAGGGGAGCCCTGAAAGAAAAACGTGCCATGTGGTTTCCGGCCCAGATACTGTGCTGCAATATGGCCTTTTAGCCGGATGTGCTGCGATAAGATGTTGGTCAAGCCCTTCGGACCTCCTGAAAAACTTGATTTGGGCAGCTCATTCTTCTTACAGCGTGCCCTGGGCCCCAGATTGCTGGAATCAAAGCTTGCTGGAGAGCACTGGGCTTTCTTGGCGGCTTCTAGGGTTGAACTTCCACTCACCACCGCTCAGTGCTTCGTGGTTTAGTCCTTGCGAGATTCTGGATATCGTCGGAACTTTGTCTATGGGGCCCATGATTGTCATATCAACAAGGTCCTCACGTGAGGACGTGCGCGCGCGCGGGTGTGGGTGTGTGTGGGTGTGTGTGTGTGTGTGTGTGTGTGTGTGTGTGTGTGTGTGTGTGTGTGTGTCTGTGTCTCTGTGTCTCTGTGTCTCTGTGTCTCTGTGTCTCTGTGTCTCTGTGTCTCTGTGTCTCTGTGTCTCTGTGTCTCTGTGTCTCTGTGTGTCTCTGTCTGTGTGTCTCTGTGTCTCTGTGTCTCTGTGTCTCTGTGTGTCTGTGTCTCTCTGTGTCTGTGTCTCTGTCTGTGTCTGTGTCTCTGTCTGTGTCTCTGTCTGTGTCTGTGTCTGTGTCTGTGTCTGTGTGTGTGTGTGTGTGTCTGTGCGTCTGTCTGTCTGTCTGTCTGTCTGTCCGCAGGAGTTTCGGCCCTGCGTTTGGACCGGAAGGCCTTGAGAGCTTGTTCTGGGCACTTCTGACTTCAAGCGACTTGATGCGCCTCTTCGAGTAGTGCCACGTTGCTCGATAGCTTGTGGCGCAGGTGCAGTCGACCTCGCCAACAACTCCCGCGATGGACACGCCTGCAATTTCGCTAACAGAATGATACAGAGAAAGAGAAGATGAGAAGATGGGAAGACACGGAGGAGAGGGACCGAGACGACATATACACACACACACAAGAGAGACGGACAAGAGAGACAAAGGAGACACAACGTGTGATACACCTGGTATGATACATATAAAGGACATAGTAACTTGGAAACCTCTGAGTTGGCTTTCTGTGTGTTCTTGCGGCGGAGGAGCGTGGCCTCACGCCGCTGACTCGCACGAGGCCTTGTGGGAGATCTTTTGACGCAACTTGTCGTTGAGTTGTCTTGTCTCCTCAGTTTCTCAAGCTTCTCACCCACAAGAAAGGGTGAGGTACCGAGTACCGTGTTGGGCCGAGACCGTTCAGGCAAGGCGAGAAGAAGAAGATGATGAAGGACCATGTCAACAGCATCGGCGTGCTTCCACTTAACATCTACACAAGCGCGACATGGCAGACATCAGCAGTGGCCAGCACAGCACTATACAGCACTACTGGGTTCCGATCTCCTAGAAGTGAAACTGCAGGACAGGCAGCGACAGTTGGCCTCCACGATGAGTGAGGCACAGCTTGTCTGCCCACGCATTCATACTTTCAGCGGGGGCTCAGCAATGGAGGTTTGTTTAGGCTTGCTGCCACTTGCTTCCTAGATTTCCCGAATTTGGTCGACGTCCTCCTTGCAGCCTCGTGTCCGCCTCGTGTCCAGGGAAGTGTCGTTGATGGCCTTCAGAGGCGCACCCAATGTGTCAATCTTGTCAATCTTGTCACATGGCCCAGCACTGTGCATTTTCAGGCCAGTACCTGTCTGTCACTACGGGTGTACGTCCCGAGGAAGCCGACTACAGACGAGTTTTCATCGGTTGAACTGGCAAAGGCCTAGTTTCGCAGTCATGCCCTCATGCCATTGTTCTGTATGGACTTTGCCTTAAATGTTGCCATTCTCGACATCAAGTT